TACACTTTTAGAGAGTAAACACTGTGGTCTGTTGTAGTACACTTTTAGAGAGAGTAATCCCTGAGGTCTGTTTTAGTACACTTTTGGAGAGTAAACCCTGTGGTCTGTTTTAGTACACTTTTAGACAGAGTAAACCCTGAGGTCTGTTTTAGTACACTTTTGGAGAGTAAACCCTGTGGTCTGTTTTAGTACACTTTTAAAGAGAGTAAACCCTGTGGTCTGTTTCCTTTGGTCTGTCTTAGTATACTTTTAGAGAGAGTAAACCCTGTGGTCTGTTTATCTACTCTTTTAAAGAGAGTAAACCCTGTGGTCTGTTTAACGACACTTTTAGAGAGAGTAAACCCTGTGGTCTGTTTCCTTTGGTCTGTTTAACTACACTTTTAGAGAGAGTAAACCCTTTGGTCTGGTTTAGTACACTTTTAGAGAGAGTAAACCCTGAGGTCTGTTTTAGTACACTTTTAGAGAGTAAACACTGTGGTCTGTTGTAGTACACTTTTAGAGAGAGTAAACCCTGAGGTCTGTTTTAGTACACTTTTAGAGAGAGTAAACCCTGAGGTCCATTTTAGGACACTTTCAAGGTGTACCCTGCAGTCTGTGAAAGTGCTTTTTCAGAATCAAAACCTGCAATCTGTGTGGATATACTTTCAGGGTATATTTTGAAATCACTAATAATTTCATTGATTTCGTGGGCAATTTAATCTCAATCCACAAATTCATATCTCCACAAAGTAATAACAAGTTTGACATAACGCCATTCTCAATATGATTGAGTACCCATAATCCACAAATCCATGTACCCACGGAACAGTGTTTTTTTCGGGAGACAAGGAAATTCTGGCAGAAAATATCTGATTTCACAGTACCCTGTACAAAGTGAGTACTTTTAGAGTATACCTTGTGACTTATATGAACACACTTTCAGAGTATTCCATGTTACCTGTATGTGAACACTTTCAGGGTATTCCATGTTACCTGTATGTGTACACTTTCAGAATATTCTGTTTTACCTGTATGTGTACACTTTCACAGTATTCCATGTTACCTGTATGTGTACACCTTCAGAGTATTCCATGTTACCTGTATGTGTACACTTTTAGAGTATTCCATGTGACCTGTATGTGTACACCTTCACAGTATTCCATGTTACCTGTATGTGTACACCTTCAGAGTATTCCATGTGACCTGTATGTGTACACTTTGAGAGTATACCCTGTTACCTGTATGTGTACACTATCAGAGTTTTCCATGTTACCTGTATGTGTACACTTTCAGAATATTCCGTGTTACCTGTATGTGTACACTTTCATAGTATTACATGTTACCTGTATGTGTACACTTTCACAGTATTCCATGTTGCCTGTATGTGTACACTTTCAGAGTATTCCATGTGACCTGTATGTGTACACTTTGAGAGTATACCCTGTTACCTGTATGTGTACACTTTCAGAGTTTTCCATGTTACCTGTATGTGTACACTTTCAGAGTTTTCCATGTTACCTGTATGTGTACACTTTCAGAGTTTTCCATGTTACCTGTATGTGTACACTTTCAGAGTTTTCCATGTGACCTGTATGTGTACACTTTCAGAATATTCCATGTTACCTGTATGTGTACACTTTCATAGTATTCCATGTGACCTGTATGTGTACACTTTCAGAATATTCCATGTTACCTGTATGTGTACACTTTCAAAGTATTCCATGTTACCTGTATGTGTACACTTTCACAGTATTCCATGTTACCTGTATGTGTACACCTTCAGAGTATTCCATGTTACCTGTATGTGTATACTTTCAAAGTATTCCATGTGACCTGTATGTGTACACTTTCAGAGTATACCCTGTAACCTGTATGTGTACACTTTCAGAGTTTTCTATGTGACCTGTATGTGTACACTTTCAGAGTATACCCTGTTACCTGTATGTGTACACTATCAGAGTTTTCCATGTTACCTGTATGTGTACACTTTCAGAATATTCCGTGTTACCTGTATGTGTACACTTTCACAGTATTCCATGTTACCTGTATGTGTACACCTTCAGAGTATTCCATGTGACCTGTATGTGTATACTTTCAGGGTATTCCATGTTACCTGTATGTGGACACTTTCAGAGTATTCCATGTGACCTGTATGTGTATACTTTCAGGGTATTCCATGTTACCTGTATGTGTACACTTTTAGAGTATTCCATGTGACCTGTATGTGTACACCTTCACAGTATTCCATGTTACCTGTATGTGTACACCTTCAGAGTATTCCATGTGACCTGTATGTGTATACTTTCAGGGTATTCCATGTTACCTGTATGTGGACACTTTCAGAGTATTCCATGTGACCTGTATGTGTACACCTTCACAGTATTCCATGTTACCTGTATGTGTACACCTTCAGAGTATTCCATGTTACCTGTATGTGTACTCTTTCAGATTATTCCATGTTACCTGTATGTGTACACTTTTAGAGTATTCCATGTTACCTGTATGTGTACACTTTCAAAGTATTCCATGTGACCTGTATGTGTACACTTTCACAGTATTCCATGTTACCTGTATGTGTACACTTTTAGAGTATTCCATGTGACCTGTATGTGTACACCTTCACAGTATTCCATGTTACCTGTATGTGTACACTTTTAGAGTATTCCATGTGACCTGTATGTGTACACTTTCACAGTATTCCATGCTCCCTGTATGTGTACACTTTCAGAGTATTCCATGTGACCTGTATGTGTACACTTTCAGAGTATACCCTGTTACCTGTATGTGTACACTTTTAGAGTTAAATCTATGGTCTAAAAAATATTTCCAACATCTTAAGATATAAATCTGCACAGAAAATGATTTTTTATTTTTCTATGAAAATCTTCTTGACTGATTTCCATGTTGTAAGAAATTACAAGTACATATATATACTTCTTAAATTAAGTAATTTCAGTAGAGTATGCCAGGATGCATGTTAAAAATTAATGTAAGTGCTCAAGTTTCTTCAGGTTGAAAATAGCCATAAAACAGTTTTCTTGCAAAAAGTACAAACAATGCTTTTAGACTCTGCAAAGGTCACTGACACTGAGATTGGCTCCGTCTCTGTTCCAAACTATCAACCTGGCTATGTTCATGTGGTGTATCCTCACAGATGGTTTCCAACAGATGGCTATATTTGAAGTTCTGCTGTCAAACAGGTAAAAAGTAGCCTCTTGCCACCCCCTTCTTCCCGTGTGTTATGCACAGGTCTGCATGGAAACGTAACTGTTTTATGTCCTAGTGCATCATTCTAAGTATAGCTAAACTGTACCAGGCACACAGAATGTGCAAGAATAACAGAAGTTTGTAGAAGTTAGAAGTTGTTTATCTGAAGTGCAGCCAGACTGATTCCCAATCAGATCACAGGCAAGAATTGATATAATGTTTTGTTTATTACGAATGTCAACAATAAAACAAAACTTTAAACATAATCTGTAGTTGAAGGGTTTTAATTTAATCACATCAAAGGGAAGTAATGGCATCTAAATGATCTAAAGTGATGGATGAAGACGAATGAATTTACAGAAACAAAATGTATATAAAACACGGCATGTCTTGGCTGAAGTGCAGAAAGGCAAAATAAATCTTTGGTAAGTAATTTTTAGCCAAGTGATGCTGTGACCTTCACCTGTGATCTTTAGCTTCTGTAGCTTCATAACTTTATCATTGTTCTTTAAGAACACTTGCTCTTATTTTTTCTATGAGAACACTTACAGTTTGTCTATTTGTTTCAAAACATGAATTTTGAAACTTATCAATTTATTGATCATAATGATAAGATTAAGACCACAGATTAAGCACAGTCTTAATCTTATTATTAAGATCAATAAATTGGTAAGTTTCAAATCTTGGGAACAGCTCTGTTCAAACAATGTATTCCAGAGTTATTTTGGTGCGCAAATCATAAGACCTTCATTACTGGTAGTTCTATGTAAGTCTCATTTTCTTCCCTTTTTTTCTTTATATATGTTGAACTGATAGTCATGTCCTCAGAAAATGCAGCACGTTGTATCATACTGCTGTGTATGAAACTCTCCTTTCAAAGTAAGGTTGTGAATAGTAAGATTGACTAGAATATCAATATATAAGAAAGACAAAAAGAGATTTCTGATTTCTGGCAGCAATACTTTTATTCTGATCAAGCAGCTTGAAGATCTAAATGAAATATGCAAAACTAGATACCAAGAAGAAACTACTCAAGAAATTTGAGAAAGATCTGTACTTTATTTTCTGAGAATTAGTGATAACAAACTTAGTGATCAAATTTAGGTTGCCATTCTTTTTTCTAGTCAAGCTAAAAATGAAACTACACAACTAAGAACCAAGAAGAGCCCATCTAGATAGAAACTTTGAGAAAAGATCTGTCCAGTACTTATCAGAAAAACGGCAATAACAAAATTTCATGTCAATATTAAAAATAGCCATATAGACATGAGCAAATAAGGACCAAATAAAACCTGCTTATGAAATTGGAGAAAGATCCCTCCAGTTCTTTTTGAGAAACAGATATAACAATCTTTCTCAAAAATCAAAGATGGCCACCAGGAGCCATTTTGTTTTTACGATCGGCCTCAAAATAAACTATGCACAACTAAGGACGAAGGAACCTACATCATGAAATTCAAGAAAATTCTGTCCAGTATTGATGCCCAGTGGACAAATGACGACTGATTACAGACCATGGATGATGAAAGGCGGTTTAGACAGCCCACCATCTGATGGTGAAGGACTAAATATGGCTGTTCTATTCGTTGAACAAGCTCAATCAATGCTTCACTTCACACAGTTGATATACACATCAAATGAAAACTTAAACAAAGTTATATCAACATGCGGCCAGTACCTGGCAACTGCCCCAATTAGGCCTCCAAACCATTTACTCAGCCAACATGGCATCTGCACAGATGAGCCCAGAAATCATCTGATTCTTAGAGGACATACATGTATATATTTTATACGAAGTAATAGATAAAACTTACCAGGTCAAGGTGTCCTTTACGAAGTTCCAGCACTCCAAGGTTATTATAGGCTTCTGCATGGTCATTGTTATTGGCTAAAGTTAATCTAAAACACTGGTACGCTAACGTCATATCTCCTATACCCTGTAAATAGACAAGTACAAAACACAGGTAAGCCAGGTCATATCTCCTATACCCTGTAAATAGACAAGTACAAATACTGGTATGCTAACATCATATCTCCTATACCCTGTAAATAGACAAGTACAAAACACAGGTAAGCCAGGTCATATCTCCTATACCCTGTAAATAGACAAGTACAAATACTGGTATGCTAACATCATATCTCCTATACCCTGTAAATAGACAAGTACAAAACACAGGTAAGCCAGGTCATATCTCCTATACCCTGTAAATAGACAAGTACAAATACTGGTATGCTAACATCATATCTCCTATACCCTGTAAATAGACAAGTACAAAACACAGGTAAGCCAGGTCATATCTCCTATACCCTGTAAATAGACAAGTACAAACACTGGTAAGTAAAGGTCATATCTCGGATACTCTGTAAATAGACAAGTAAAAACACTGATCGATCAAGGTCATATCTCCTATACCCTGTAAAAAGACAAGTAAAAATACTGGTAGGTCAAGGTCATATCTCCAATTCCTTGTGAATAGACCAGTGAAAACACTGGTAAGTAAAGGTCATATCTCGGATACTCTGTAAATAGACAAGTACAAACACTGATCGATCAAGGTCATATCTCCTATACCCTGTAAAAAGACAAGTAAAAATACTGGTAGGTCAAGGTCATATCTCCAATTCCTTGTGAATAGACCAGTGAAAACACTGGTAAGTAAAGGTCATATCTCGGATACTCTGTAAATAGACAAGTACAAACACTGATCGATCAAGGTCATATCTCCTATACCCTGTAAAAAGACAAGTAAAAATACTGGTAGGTCAAGGTCATATCTCCAATTCCTTGTGAATAGACCAGTGAAAACACTGGTAAGTAAAGGTCATATCTCGGATACTCTGTAAATAGACAAGTACAAACACTGGTAGGTCAAGGTCATATCTCATATACCCTGGAAATAGACAAGTACAAGCACTGATAGGCCAAGGTCATATCATCTATATCCTGTAAATAGACAAGTAAAAACACTGGTTAGTCAAGGTCACATCTCCTATACTCTGTAAATGGAAAAGTACAAACACAGATAGATCAATTATGAAAAGTTTCTTGTTACACAACCAATAAGTGTTTCTATGTGACGTTTCAATGACTAGTATGGTATGTACTCTATCACCTTCATCAAACAAATGACCAGTGAGGTGTATGCACACAAAGGTGTAAAATGTTTACTAGTTGTCCACAAATTGATGTCAATTTTGCTACGCTATAAGCGTATATACAATAGTTGTTATATATCTACGGAAATGACTCGATTCATTTGTTTACTTCTTGGTCATAGATGTGCAAGAGTTTATGAGCCCCCTCATCTCAATTTAGAACTAGCCCACTGCGGCGTGTCCAGCTGGCTTCCTTTATCTGTCGCTTTAACAGATTGCTCTCTCTGTCCAATACTTTGGGGTTATCCCAGTCAATCACATGATTTTTCTGTGTGGCATGGTCTGTAATTGCTGATTTATTTATCTGGGACTCCGACTGCTTACTTTCTGATCTAGTGAATTTCCTTCCTTCTTGGGTTTCCGTATCTTTACGGTGTTCACCATCCGGACCCCAAACCGCCATTCGGTCTATCCAATATATGATGCATCACAGTTTTTACATCTGATTTTGTATATGCATTCTGCGACGTTTTCACTGATAAATCAAGGTCATATTTCCTATATCATGTAAGTTGACAATTAAAACACTGGTAGGTCAAGGTCATATCTCCTATAAGATACCCTGTCCACTTGATGAGACTACAAACATGAAAAGTATCTTAAAATCTAAGGTTTTAATGAAAAAGAGTAAGAAAACATGGCAAGTATTGGCATTAGGATATATTTACTGACCAGACACATGGCTGGAGGGTGTCTATATAGCTGCTTACAAAGGATTGGAGACTCATGCATAAGGACCAGGAAGACGTTGATTTCCTTACATATCAAGGAACATCATTGTAAAATACTTTGGCAAACCTCACTGGTGGTTCTGACCATGCAAAGTAAACTTAAACAAAAGTCAACAATCCACATCATTACTGTTAACTAATGGCAATAGTAGTATGTTAGCATCATCCAATACTGATAATAGACTGATGATGGAGGATGTGCTGCTCAAGTGATGATATACGATCAGTTTCAGGGTGACAACACATACACAATACATCTACCTATGTTTGCTTGAGGATATCATTATGCACATGAACTGGAGAAATGAATGGGTCCATCAGTACATAAACCACAAAAATGTTTCATAACACTACACTGAACATATAACATATGTTCATTCATAGAACAAGATCACAAGTATTCATGAATATTTCATTTCACAAATTAAATCTCATAAATAGCAAGTTAAAAAGATAAAGCCATAAATATCCAACCTTCCTTAAAATGCATACCGATTTAGCTAATAGGCAAAAAATAAAGAAGCACACCTCAAAACCAGCCAAAATCAACTTTGTAATTTGATAAACTATTTTAAAGAACAAAGAAGTTTTTCATTCATAAAAACAATTGGCCACTACATTCCACATCAATCACATGTTTACTTAACTTCTTACCAGAAGATGCTGTTTTACCTTGTGATATAGCCTATAAACATCTAGTCATATGTGGTCCCCATACCGTCACGTGGTTTTGATTATTTACAATTGTCAAAACTCTTAGTAGTTTGTATGCTTAACATAGGCCTGTCCAGATCTATATTGCTTCAGGACTTTCAGAAAATTACATGGACAGTATACTCTTTGGTTGATTCATTAAATACATACGGATATGCCAGATACAGGGTATTGTATTTAATGTTTTAAAAACTGAGCAGATTAATGTCGGACAGGTATTTATGACAGGTGTTTACTAAATATTGCCACAAGACAAATATGTGATGGTAAGGCTCTACTCACTAGGTCCTACATTAACCCACGGAATGTTACCACATAAATCAACACATATATGCATATTTTTGTATAAAGTTATGTAAAAATATGTCATTAAATGTATATATATAACCATATAACCTTCCTCAACACCCACACATTGACGAAATGAAATTGCCTGGATTTGTTAGAATTCGGGCAAAAACATTGATTATCGTAGCTATTCTGGAGCCAAATATGACACTGGCAATCTGTGAATTTTCTAGTGAAACATGAAAATGGAGGAACGTTACTGAGGGCTTCATTGTGGTACCATGAGTGTGAGCGCAATATGGATTGGAGGGAGGTGGATGGTAGTGGGGAAGATGGCTGATAGCCTGTTTGGGATCACTCATTGGACTGGGAGAGATGTCCAGAACTATGGATACCCTCTGTGAGCCCCTATTGGATGAGATAGAGATAGTCCTGACAGAGACAAAAATTGAACATAAACCACTACGGACCAAAGGAACCTACTTACCGGTACCTACTTGAGAAAATTAAGAAACCCCCCTCCCTTCCAAGTACATCTCAAGAAATGACGTTAAGCAAAAAAGTACTGGTACTTTAATTGTCAAAATCCAAAAGATTGCCACCTCGCAGTCATCCTGTTCTTCCAACCAGTCTTAAAATACACAACTAAGGGCAAAGGGAAATTTACGGAGGAAAATTAGAAATCTCTGTTCAGTAACTGTACTTCTTGGGAATTAACAAAAAAGTGAAATATCTAAGAACAGATAACAGATGGACCACAGATGAAAGATGAGTTGAACAACCCACAATCTTATTATAATAGTGGCATTAAAAGGTCAGTTACTCTGGTAAAACTTCTAACACAGGTTCATTACAGCAAACAAAAAACAGCGTGTTTAAAAATATTGGATAACTTTTGGGTGTCCAGACAGGACCTCATCTAAAGACAAAGAGAAGGACATATCTGAGTATCTCTAACTTCACTCAGGGTTTGTAGGTGTATTATAATATTGTTACAGAAGAACACGGATAGACAACCTGATCCAGTATACCTCCTTCAAATGTTGTGATCGATAATAATGATGGCATGTTCCACAAATCATTGACAGATATCCTGATATTGGACTGGAGGGGCAGTGCTCAGAAGAAAGAAGAATGGCGAGATGATGATTGACCTCCTCATTGGAACCCCCTCTGAATGTACGGCTGAGTAAGTCTGTATACTGGGGCTCACTAATTACCATCAATGACCCGCCAGCCAGAGTTCTCACACCTGCCTACCCGTGTAATAGACTTCTGTGATAGACAAGACACTTTACTTGATTGAAACATTCCTTCATTACACTGGCCCACAAAACAACTTTTTTTTATTTTTTAGGAAAGGGTTGTTATGGTTACAACTTTTATAAAGTAGCAGGTGCCCCCATCTAAATGGCCAGTATCAGAGAAACTTGATGGAGCATTGTTAACAGCTAGGTGGGATAGTGGTGCTGTCATTTAGATGGAGGCAGGGGGCACCCTCCCAGACTTAGGCACTTCCTCTCACTCATCCCCACTAAATCAATTTTTAATTCATCTGGAAAATTCCTGAACCAGTTTGCCAGTTTGGCTACTTTAGTACAACTCTATCTAACCAATAAAAAGTGTATACCCAAAAAAATGTTTCCTTACCTATTTAGTTAGAAACTGACAGCAACATTATCTAAACAGTCTTATTTATCAATTAGCAGTTATTTACTTATTTACTTACCGCAGTATATATATAGAACAAAATTGGTGGTGTGAAGAAAGTCTGACAGATACTTACATCTCTTTGTGTTATGATCAGTACATTGTATATCATTGTAATTATCACTTGTAATCATTAAGCAAATCCTTGCAAGATTTTTTTGTAAAGAAAATAAAATGTACCACAATGGCTAAGAAACACAACAATGTAAACAAACTTGGGGGAGGGGCGGTGGGAAACAGCACGATTCAAACCCATAAACTAGTAAACCATACACAGCTACATGTACTCTACCGATGAAGTCACCGGCGATGGATCCAGCTTTCACTATTAATCATATCACTAATGTCATACAACACACTTTGCTGATTGATTTTGGAGACAGAAAACTGTAACTCAGACTTTCACCATCTCTGAACCAATGGCCGCTTCCATCCTTAATATATAGTCATGGGATAGCTAGTGAAAAGGAGCAAGAGCCAAGGAATGATGTTGTTTATAGGGATTCGACATCTTTCACCTTTGTATGACATCCAGCTGGGGTTCTATCAGAATCCACAGGTAGTATCTACAGGTGCATCATCTCAAACATGGACAGTATACTGGGAGCAAAGAAGCAACTCATAGTTCATAATCTATGGTCAGTACTAACCTCCTTCAAATAAAACATGTTATTGAGGCATGTATTTTTAAAGAGTAATAGCAGGTACATCTGTAATTAAAACTTACCAGTGCCACATGGCCTATGTTGAACCAAACTTCTGATATTGTTTGCTCTTCTGCCAAGGATAATGCACGCTCAAAACATGTCAAGGTCATATCATACTGCTGGGCATAGAAACAGCACAGCCCTAAGTTGTTGAACAGTTCACCATTATAGACACCCATCTGTAACAATCGTCTGGAAAACAATAAACAAACCTATATCAATACACAACAAACATTTCCATACACTATGGTCTGGAACATTTCCTCGTTTCTTCATTATTGCTTTTACTCTTTACACACCAATGTTAGCACATCACTTAGTTCATAATCAGAGACCCTCATGCATCAGGTGTCATAGAAACAACCCATCCTACCAACGCCCAGACCAAGACATCACAGTGAGGAACAATCACAAATGTGGCAATAGCAAGAGACCCCTTTAACACATTCTTCCCTGTATTTTGACGCGGGACAATGATATCCTTTGGTTTGGAGCAGTCCAAATATATCATAAAGTGTGTGTCATGGGTTAAGAAAGACAACAGAGAATGCTTCAACTGTGACAAGAAAGGGCAGAAACAGAGAGATTGTAGCTTCTACAGAGTTGGGGTTGCATCCTAGAGATATGGTGAATATGTCTCCGAGTGATTCTAGAGCAAAAGTTACACAAGCAACAGAGTGAACAGTCAGAGCAGAGTGAACAACAGGTAGATAATGAAGACATGGAACACAGGAAAGAAAGAAAAACAACAGGTAGATAATGAAGACATGGAACACAGGAAAGAAAGAAAAACAACAGGTAGATAATGAAGACATGGAACACAGGAAAGAAAGAAAAACAACAGGTAGATAATGAAGACATGGAACACAGGAAAGAAAGAAAAACAACAGGTAGATAATGAAGACATGGAACACAGGAAAGAAAGAAAAACAACAGGTAGATAATGAAGACATGGAACACAGGAAAGAAAGAAAAACAACAGGTAGATAATGAAGACATGGAACACAGGAAAGAAAGAAAAACAACAGGTAGATAATGAAGACATGGAACACAGGAAAGAAAGAAAAACAACAGGTAGATAATGAAGACATGGAACACAGGAAAGAAAGAAAAACAACAGGTAGATAATGAAGACATGGAACACAGGAAAGAAAGAAAAACAACAGGTAGATAATGAAGACATGGAACACAGGAAAGAAAGAAAAACAACAGGTAGATAATGAAGACATGGAACACAGGAAAGAAAGAAAAACAACAGGTAGATAATGAAGACATGGAACACAGGAAAGAAAGAAAAACAACAGGTAGATAATGAAGACATGGAACACAGGAAAGAAAGAAAAACAACAGGTAGATAATGAAGACATGGAACACAGGAAAGAAAGAAAAACAACAGGTAGATAATGAAGACATGGAACACAGGAAAGAAAGAAAAACAACAGGTAGATAATGAAGACATGGAACACAGGAAAGAAAGAAAAACAACAGGTAGATAATGAAGACATGGAACACAGGAAAGAAAGAAAAACAACAGATCCAGCACAGATGACATTCAGACTAGTCCAGATACTATGACACTGTCTGATTCTGGGAAGTGTGTGATTAAACAACCAACTATACAAGGCTCCCACCTATAACAGTATCATCAACACATCCACATTAGTAATAGTATACATTTGTATTTGTATATCTGAGAAAATTAATTATTAAATTTATTGTCAATTGAATACCATACAGTAGCCAGAAAACATTGTCAAGCTTACTTAATTTATATATGAAAAAAAACAGTATTGCTGTAAGACAGTGCAGTGTATTACGACAAAACAAAATTGGACATCATCATCAATTAAAGCGAATATTGAATGCAACAGGTATCACACTTACAAAAGAAACTTTATAAATGAGGCATCCAAATCATTTTCAATTTTAAAATAATTGAAGATAATTACAAATTTCTAGGGGTGTCACAATACGCCAAGAGTGTATCACAATATATTGCAATACAGAATGAATATATTGTGATACGTATCCCGATATATTGTCATAGGAAGGATGTGCTCAATTTTATAATAAGTTGTTGTCAGAATGTTATCAAACTTAATCATATATAATATGGATTACATAGATTTAAGATTTTTGTCAAACTAACCATCGATTACAAAAATTGGAATATTAAAAGCTAGGTGCTTCATGCTTATTGGCATATCTGTTAGAATTTGTTTTAACAATACAATTACAATATGATTCGGATATATCTGTGTATTGTGATATACCTGTTTTCCAATATATTGTGACAGCCCTACAAATTTCGATCAATATCTTACAGTTGTCCATCATTTAGATATAACAGTCAGCAAAAAAAAAGAGAATGCCAATAAACAAACAGGAAATCTGAAGAAAAAAAGCACATTTGAGGTATTGCTGTACTTGACCTTAGATATGTTTTGTATTTTGGTTAGTAGGGCAGTCCAGCCCCAGATGACCTATGGATGGTGTGTGCTTGTCTAGGTAATAAATATTTAAAAACCTTACTAGAACACTAACAGGTCAGCATCTTAAGGCCCCGTCATGTACCTTACTGTACCAAGGTCCCCCATGTTCTATTTTGAGCAACAGTAACCTTGACCTTGACCTTGATATTGAAAACTTCAAAAGCCCTTAATGCACATATAAGTATTACAGTGTATGAATATTGCGAATTTCAAAAGATGAGTCTTTTGGATTCCAAGATAATAAAAGTATCCTCCACCCCCAACCTTTCGTCTAGTTTTAGTAACAGTGATCTTTGGCCTTGACTTTTGAAAGTTTATAAACCCCTAGTATGCACCAACATACATGTATAACAGCTAGTGTATCACAATTTCAAACTTCAGACAGATTTGTCTTTCAGTTTCAGTGATAAGGACTGCCCTTCCGCTTGGGGTCATTTTTTTAGTAAGTGATCTTGACATTAAAAACTGTATAGACCATCATTGCAAATCTACATATGACAGTGTATTACCATGTCAAATTTTAAAAGTATTTGTCTTTTGGATTATGAGATAAGGTCTATACCCTCTCAGTCTATTTTAGATATCACAGTGTACCACAACGTCAAATTCCAAAATGATAAATCTTTTGGATTCTGAGAAGGAACTGTAACCCACATGGTCTATTTTCAGTAACAGTGACCTTGATTCTGAGATAATCTTTAAAAACAAAAGTATGGACAGACAGACAGATGGACACAGTGATTGCATTAGGCCATCCACACCTCCAAGCAGAGCTCTAAATATATATACAAAAGTACATTTGTCCTTGAACCTGAGCCTTCTTAAAGGAACATAAACATTTCATCATACCTGGTGTTATCTATATAATTATCTGCAACAACATTTCAACTCTAATGCTGACATTCTGACAAAATATGTACTGGTGCATAATGAATATTACTTCAAAAGATCATGGTTTATTTTTTATTTGTACAATATTACTTTATCATAGATCTGGAAATTACCTTACCACAAGGAAGATTTGCTGAATCAGTTACAGAAGGATCTGTTTATCTAAAAGAAATCTGTCATGATCCTTTACTGGCAAATATCAGGGACAGTCTCCTACAGAGAATTAACTGAGGAATTCAGCTGCTGAAACAACCATAACTACACCCACGGAATGTATAGAAATTTACTAATACATTTATACCACCCCAGTATTTCAACATGAACTTGATCAGGTTCCTAGTTAAACCTATTTCAATGGCTTTGAGATAGGAGCTATATCTTCATAACGATCTGGGAATAAGGCTGGCCATTAAAAGTACTGCTGCATTAATGGCCAAATAGTCCTGCTATGATTATGTAGACCCCAGCCACACCAGGAAGCTTATTTATGCAGATATCCTGCTTATCAGTCAACTGGAGATTGCATATTTCCTGTGAATCATAAATCATATTTTATTTGCGAAGCACTTAAACAGGTTCAATTGCAACAGTTGACTATTAAATGGGAATGGGATGTAGGAGGGGGCCTTCCTCCCAGTTTTCTCTGATTTATCATTGGTAATGCCATCACTTGTACAGTCGACAACATTACCAAATTAAATTAAGCAAATTATACATATTTTCATAACTGAAAATATGACTCAACATTGAAATCTAGACTTTCTATCATTAATTTTAAATGTTAGCATATCTCATTGTGTATAAATTGCTTTACAACCCAGTGAGCAGGCAATGTTTTCCACAAAAATATGCATTCAATAGCTAACCATAAATATAATGGGTTAAACATGTAGCTTCCTAGATCTATATTCACATTTCAATTCCCAAATGTGAAGTTTTATCAAGTGAAAGATTTAAAAATTGCATCTGCATGCACTGAACACGTGCAGCTTTATAAACATGGCCCTGGTGGGAAGGCCACTGTCAATGACAGGATGCAGCACTGGACTGGAGCCGAGGGGATATACTAGATCTATGTATACTATCATAGCTGTCAGCTATCTACAAAACTATCATCATCTTGCATACAAATTCAGCCAAAATGTCAGCATGATTACAGTGAGCTTATCGTTGGAGATATGTGATCTAGCTGTTAACTGAAAGGTTGTGACCTATTTTATTTGTGTGTACATCTTGAGTGATGCATGGCCAGAAAGCCTATTTGGTATGCAGCTCAGCTATGGCCTTCAGGCTGTGCATCGTATCATACAGCCTAGAACCAACAATTAACATAACTTCATTTTTTCCAGCAAGCAAATATTCCAAAGATGAAAGAGTTGTCTCCCTTTATAAAGTTGTAATCAACAAGATAGCACAGTCATATGCAATCTCATGTAAGCTGTTTGATTGGACTGGGTTATATTTGTTTAAAGTGGCAGGCCTTTATAAGCAATCTCAGTTTTTCTGTCTCCAGCCAAAAAAATGTACTTTTTTCTACTAATGAATGTGTCACTGAAATAAATGGCAGAACCAGATTTGGCCTTTCCCATGATGAGACCCACATGAAACAATGACCTGTAAGCTATGACAGTCACCGTCACTCACTCACTGGTTCTACAGTAAACTAGGGAAATTGGCATGATGCCACAGTAAGTAGCTCACTAAGTGTGCATAGTAAAGAAGCGTATTAAGGTTATTTGATGCAGCTCACTAAGTGTACTTTGCATGGTGTTACAGTAATAATGCTCACTAGTTGTATAAGTTATTCTGCCATACACTGTAGAAGCCTGGTACTGCTATGAAGGAAGCTCACTCACTGTACTTGATACAGAGAAGTGAGAAAACTTCGAAGAATACTTGTTATAATGTCACACTAAGAAGGCTCATTTTGAGTACCTCAGCACATGGTCATTCATCTGTCAGAAAATGAGAGTGATGTGTGGTAGATCCTTTATAGCCCTATACAGCCTTGATATCAGTATAAGAGAGTACTGGTTGACCTAAACATATCAGTGTGCTACCATTACGGGGGAGTAGATTACACCTCAATAATTACTTCCACCTGTCTCCACAATATACTCTACTTCACTGATAGGACATACTAACATAATGATGATTGAGAGGTGTGCTTATTATTCATGGCTGAAATGTCAACAGGTATTGATTTTATACACAATACAAAACACAACTTAACACAACTAATTACTCATAAAAGGTGAATTTGAACTTGAAGTACACTTGACTCGACAATTTTTGTCAATGAAGCAGATTCTGACAAGGTAACCTTACATAGATTATAGAAAAGGCTGAGGAAAAGTAGGCTTTCTCTCCATTGGATGTGTGTATAGTCGGTGTACTTTATGTTTTAAGAGTCAACCAGATATTCACTCATATTAAGAATGGATTTTTTTTCCCTTGCAAACTTATATCACATTGTACCAATTTTATATAGAGATAGACCATGTACACTTAACAAAAGAGGGCCATGGGTTCATGTTCACCCGAGTTAAAATACAATTGTTGCTAAATTACTAGTTGTTGTTATGCGACAAATAATAAAAGAACTTTTAACCAGATATGGCTTTTTGACTGTGGATTGACTTTTACAAAATGATGTTAGGGAGTGGTATATATCAGTAAAATGATAAAATGATATGATATATTAATAAAGTAAACATTTGCTCTCTCCTAGAGGGGGATTAGTGACCCTTGAGTGATGAATTAACAATTGAGATAAAGCACTTCAGGACCTTTCTATCAATGAAGAGTATTTGATTCTAGCAGAGCTGGGTCTGAAGAAAAAGATTCTTGAAATTTTAGCCAAGTTAACTCTCTTTGGCCTTGCCCATCAGGCTATAGGGTTGAGTCTTGGACTTGATTTTTATACCATCAAACTGCAATCATATGATAAGAATTCCAACTAAGGCTGAATAATTTCCTACTGAAAATCAACAAAATATAGTGAAAAGTGTTATTTCCTTATATAAACTACAGTAAACATTACCCCCTGCCCTGGGGGATATGGATGACACAGGAGTAAGAAAATTCACAATTTCGATAAACCTCTTTAAGACCTTTCCATCCACAAAAGAATTTGAGTCTAGCTTTTCTGGGTCTGACTTCGAAAATTTGAGTATCTCAGGTGACCTAGAATTCACATACAGGTAAATTGATGTAATGAATGTAATTCAAGAGTTACTATTTCACATACTATTTAGTCAGATGATGATTAGGGTTTAACATCATTCCAATGGCTTTGTCTTAGCAATGCTTGACTAATGTAAAACAATCATACACAATACATTTTAAAAGAAACAATGACAGTGACTCAGCAAGGTTTTAATGTGTAAATACATCAAACTAAGAAACAGCATTCATTTTTTCAATAGAGCTGTTAGGATTCTGAGAATAGAAACAAACAATAAAACAGTGTTTCTGAGTTCCAGGTTTTAAGCGAAGTCATGGAATCACTTAACACCACTAGAGATACAGAGCTACAAAACCTCAACAGGAAGTGGTGTTAGTGTCAATAACCACAAAACAACAATGTATGCCATACTTCTTAGTAATGTAAACAGGATCTAAAATTCTATTCATAGCAATGTAAACTTAACATAAGACCATCACACATCAAAGCAATTCCAAGTAATTCACCCCTAATTCGTAGTTATTAACCCCCACTTCATATGCAACTTATGTAGATTGAGTGTAACAGGGCTTATAGCAAAACTGGACATCAAAAGGTGACACAGCAAAAAGGATCAGTTCCCCTTTAAATCTGTTATATCAGAGAACTGGTAAGGAGAGTTACCTGTAGAATTTGAGTGCCACCTCTGGCTGATCTGTGTAGAAGTGGTGAGTGGCTATACAGGCTATAGCCTCCACATGCATACTGTCAAAATTCAATACATCCTTATAGAACTTCACTGCATTTTCCATGTCATTCATACCCTGCAATCCAATAACATACATTATAAACAAAACTGTATATTTCAAAGGATAAATTTTCATATAGAAACAATAATATATTAAAGCAATCCATCCTTGAAGAGATATCAAAAAGAATGTTTCCTAACCCCTTCCCCCACTAATTGTTTATCAGGTTTTGTTAGTATTTTTTCTTACCAATTTTGCAATAAAAATGGTGATGTAGGGGTAAAACTCTTGTTTGCCTTAACATGTCTGACCTTGTCTGACCTAAAAAGTGGTTAAAAGTCATTTAAAATTTGATAGCTCTTTGTCCCAATAAACTATAAAACAAATACCATTACTTTAGGTCTTATGGATTTCTATGAGAAGTGTTTTGAATTTTAAAAATATATTTGACCCCATTGACCTTTAAAGTAGATCAAGGTTACGTTTTTCAAACAGACAAATATAGTCCTACACCCAAGCAAGCTACAGACTATCATTACTCTGGATCTAAATGGTCTGAATATTTAAATACACATGATAATTGTGACCATGAAAGTGGTCCAGTTAAATATATTTGCAATTACATGTACTACAGTTTAATTGTTTTCAAGTACTTAAACTGCGTTTACATGTACATACATATGCACTGCAGTTTTATTGTTTTTACATGTTCGTTAGATTCATTTTCACCGGTTCAGAAGCTATCATACATGACTGTAGCTCTCCAGTTATTTAGTTCAGTGCTCAGTAACAGTATCATTACACTGCTGAACTTGACACTAGTATATGTATACCTCATAAATCCTAGCAATTCCTGACAGGAGAGTTGTCTCCCCCTGGAACTTCTCCAGTCCTTGTTTGAAGATGTCGATAGCTGTGAGAGGCTGGTCGAGTCTCACATACACTTTACATAGGTACAGATATATGTCTATAATGTCCTGCTGCTTCTGTGCAGACTTCAACTGCTTCTCAGCATCTCTGTACATTCCCAGCCTGGCAAAAAAAAACATTCATAACAACATCTACAGATATACAGACAAAATACACTTATATTTGATTTTACGGTAAGATTCTAATTAATGAAAAAATAAAATTACTTAAAAGTTATTATCAGATTTTTTTTCTTGAAATGTCAACACAGCTATGTTAAACAGTAATAAAACATTTCTATATGAAATATTGAATACAATATTTTGTCCTACCTTATAGACATACCTTATATTTACATATGTTTGTAAGTTAAGAGGAGTGATGGCAACACTGAAGTCTGATGAAGATAACTTTGAGGACTGTCACTATCTTATTAGGGGTTTTAAGTGATTTAAGACACAAACTCCATATCGGTAGTCTTATATTTAAATTCAAATGTTTCCTCCTATATATGAAACCAAAGTAAGTTGTATCATGAAACTGGAGAGTACTGACTTGTAGTAACACTTGGCTAGCTGGACTTTCCACCACCAGTCATTGTATTGACAAGATTCTGTGGCAAGGGCTGCCAACTCTAATGCCTGTAATACAGTATATATTTTTCTATTTTAAAATAATCCTTCTGCACTTGTCAACATGTGAAACATGAAAATATTACCATTCATTTCTAACAGCAAAATTGTTCTTTTTAATGCATCTTTTCATAGAATGATGATTTTGCTCTAATTAGATACTCACATTCCTAACATCATTTTCATGGTGGAATATGTATTCAAACAATGCCTTTGCCAGGTTTGGGCGTGCAGCATACTTGGCAAAATTGAGACGTGCCAGGTTAATAAAGGGGCCATCTGGAGTTGACAACATGGAAGCCTGAAAAGTCGAATCAATTTTGTATCATGTACCATACTGTAACATTTTATTAATAATGTAAAAAATAAAAGAATTACAGCGTATTAATATTGTAAAAATGCATTAAATCTCCAACAAACAAATATCAAACTACGTCCATACACAGATTTTAAACCTATAATTCGTAGCCATTCAAAATGAATGGCAGCAACGCTGGTCTCTCGAGACCAGCAACAAACTTTTTAAAGTACAACCGAAACTCAAACCACTATTCCCAGTCGGAAAGATCGCAGAGAGGAAGTTGTCCTCGCTCGGCTACGTACTGGGCACACATATCCTACTAATTTGTACCTTTTAAAACAAGAAAGATCCACCTTCTGCCACACATGTGACACTCCATTTACAGTGGAACATTTTCCAAAGAATGTTCCAATTTTTAACACATTCATAATAACTACTTTCGAGTCCCGAATATGAAAACTCTTTTCGGTTCCGTGGACTCGAAGGCATTATTTAACTATTTGAAAGACATCTGATGTTTTTTAATCCAACTTACCCTTTTTGACATTATATATATCACATATATACCGTAGTCCATATCATCTATCCGTTGTCTCTTTTATTATTTTAACCCCCTTTTTATTTTAATTATCTACACATACAATGCGAATGCTTTTGAAATGAACCTTTTTATCTGATTTGATCTTCGCTACTCACATGTTTGTTTAAAAAATAAAATAAATAAATAGATCATCATGGCCCTAAAAAACCACAGCCGTCGATGGGCCGTTTAACCCAAACAAATAAAATTTATTAACATTGTACATTTATAACAAGGCCATGTGGTAATTCATTGATACTGTATTTGATTTCTGAAAGGCAAAAATTCTGGCCCCTCTAAAACTCTCAGTAAATAGTATTAACTACTGAATGTAAGAACTCACAGTTCCAAGTCTGACATATCGGCCTGAAGCACTCGTGACAGGGCGTGCTGTATGGGCTGTGCGGGGTGTCCTGATTGCCTGTTCCATGGTGCCAGGTCGTCCTCCCTGAGTACCTGGTCGGACAAACCCTGATAAAGGACGACCAGACTGGGACGTGGGTCTACAGAAGAAAACACAATGAGATCAGCAACTCATCTGGTATTTTATCCTCAAAGAGACATAAGATTAGTGACTGATAACTATAATTTCAAGGTGAAAACTGGTGAAATTTTGCAAAATTGACCAGTTTAGTTTTGTTGCTGAACTAGTATGTGGTTGTAGTATCTGTTCAGTTTTATACATATTATACTTTTCTGCATTGTGTACATTTTTTAATGGGTTTATTTGATTTTGGATACGTAGATCCCATACAGAGCTGCCATACAGAAATTTTAGTTGGGCTATTGTATGCATGTGATTTACTGTGGAGTGCTTAAATTTTGAGATAGTGCCTGATAATCCTTGTGACGTAACTGTGTTTTTCTCATTTTAGAGACTTGTTCAAATTAAGCAAGAATATGGCTGTGTAGTGTGTACCAGTAATTGAGTTTGGTCTTCTTTATTTGAAGATGCCATTTAGCTGCTGTTTCAGGGGTGAAGAATTTCACTAACCCAACAACAAGGGCAAGTAGACATTTAGTCAGCCAGATCAGCTGAGCTAGTAAAAATATTTCAATATTCACAATGAAAGTGTAGGTTGGGCTTGTAAAATAATTGTAAAGTCTGCTTGTGGTCAATTGCATGGTCTCAAACCTTTTTTTAATTTGAAATCTTTTACCTGACACCAGGACTTGGTCCTCCCACTCCTGTTCCCGGAACCTTTAAGGAGGTTCCTGGACGCGACACTTGTGCAATGGCATTGTCATCCATCAACATTTCTGCTATCCCTTCTTCATCAACATCAACCTCATCCACATACACTTGGGCAGTCAGAGCTCGTGTCTTCAGCGTCCATGAAGCCTTTTAAACAAACATGAAATATGGTGTCAATCAAAAATGGAGGATGAAATAGAGATATTACTCACAATTTTGAAAGTGTATTTTAAAACTTCGTACTGCACAGGAGTCTGACGTTTAATCAATATAAGTTTAACTATCTGTATATAAAAGAATACCCCTTATACTACTATTTATAGTATAAGGGGTATTTTTTTATATACAGATTGTTATAGTTATATTGATAAAACATCAGACTCCTGTGGCTGCTGAGGTGATATTATATCAAAGATCAAGTATATATGCACTGTATTAATTTGCATTACTGAGACTCAAACCAGGATGAGAACAGCAACTCCAAGAGAACAAGCTAAATATTTAACTTGTTGAAATTACAGGCATCTGCATATGTAATAAAGTAGGGTACAGTAGAGAAGATTATTCCATGTTTTCACATATTTACATACCAGATGCAAATGCTTGTACGCTCACTCTTTGCACCCCTGGAATATGTCATAACAAGATTGAAGGCACAAAGATAGCTGTTTAATTGGTCTCATGTAAAAAAAAACATGACCAATCGCTAGGTTCATACCTGACCTTTGAAGATTAGAAAGGAGCGGCACCCGACTTCAAAGCCTGTCAATTTTTACCGTTACATGACTGCGAGATTCTTTTACTTACTTACTAAGTTAGTTTTACTTAGTTGATTATGAATGCAGGCCGTTATAGGCCTCTATACTCAGATCCAGTTCCTGTCTCTTTACTGCTATAGGAGCGAACTAGTCTTCTTGTCTCATTAACAGGGTGGCGCACACTTAGCCTTCACTTTTGCTACGACATATTCCAGGGGTGCAGAGAGTGTAAACCCTGGAGTATCGAGGATGGTACATGCACTACATTTCAACACATGTACCACAGATAGTGAGATACTAACCTTGTCTGTCAATACACCTATAATATAATCATTATGGGAGTATTGGCAGACGAGTCAGGTACCTGTGATACATGTGTTGAAATGCACTTGATTATCGAGAAACTTTGGGGTTAGTTCCCAACATTCTGTAGTATTTTATACAAGTTTAGATTAACATTCCTTCCATACAGAGAAAGCAATGTTTATCAAAATCGTACTGGCTAAATCTCTACATTATTGTAGACAACTATTCAACAGTAATCAACATTTGGCGACCTGTTACCTGCTACCTGCAACCTGTTAGTCTTGACCAGTCTCACCAGGTTACAGGTAACACTAACAGGTAACCTGGTGAGACTGGTCAGTCGTCCCCAATCTTGTACACGCTTGTCCTAAATATTGTAACGGATTCATAGTTACCTGGTCATACGGATTCTTTTCTAATAGTTGAGAACATATTTCAACACATTCCTGGTATTTTCTTCTTCTAAAATAACTGTACGCGAGAAACAGAGGATCCATTTCGACGATGTTCAAGAATGTTGTGGAGTTGTCAACCTGTTTGAAGACCGGTACAAAGGGAAGTAATCCTACAAGCTGGACACGCAACGGTGTTACGGCAAAACTAATGTCACAATATTCGTGTCTTTACATTTTGAAAGAGAAAATTGCATCTCGTTCGTTTTATTTTCGCATTTGTTTGTTATTTATATTAGTTAATTCCAATAATTTAAATGCAGATTGATTCAAATATCAATAGACAATAATTCACGGACAATAATATAAGATTATATATAACAGAGTAACAAATTCTGGTTACACATTGTGAAAAAACGTGAGCGGTTAGGAAGCGAAATGGGGATAGATTCATTGCTTTTCATCTTCTCGGTGATCGACGAAGGAGCGCTGCTCTTTCTCGTTGTATATTTTGTATCCTTTCCATGACATATTTTCATCTATCTGGCCTTCCTTGGTTAATACATTCCCCTCTATATGAAGTAGGACAACAGTAAATGAACAGATATGAACACCGGCTCAAGATTCAGCGTCGGATCCAAAGACTCTATCTGGGGAGTGGGTGGGGCGTTCGCGTTAAAATGAGAAAAGTCTGAAAATTACATTTTTAAAAAGATTTTTGACAGACCAGACATTTCTTTAAGATCTCAAACCTCCTTCATTGATCCTCTCTGTGATTCTGATAACAGCTCTCAGAGTTACCCGAGTTTCAGTTCCCCGAAGTTTTATTTGTGGAACCTTCTTATTTTTTAATGGTTCAACATCGGTTTTTTTGCTATAATCATATATTTCATCTAAATTATTTTTAATCTTTTCTTTTTGGTATACTCTTGTTCAGTATAAAAACATTTTTTCAAAATACAGGTTAAAAAATTAGGATAGCTCCAGCGGCAAGTGTTTCCAACTAGGACATAACCATAGTGATGCATATCCCTTAACAAATTGAAAACAAATATGTAAATAACACATGATTGTCTGACAAAAAGCTCAATACGAAGGCTGATAATCCATTGATTGACTATTGAATTGGTGCAAATGTAAATGTTTTAAAACAAAATGAACTGCAGAGTAAATACATTGCATTAACAATATTATATGAGATGTGGCAGATTTTATGTACATAGGATTACGGTCGCCTTCGAGCTCAAGGGAACTTCCCTTTAGCTCATGATCAGTGGTAGAGTGTCCGGCTAGGAACCTGGAGATCGAGGGTTTGATCCTTGGTGGAAGCACGCTATTCTCTTTCCTGTTACAAATGGTGTCTGTGGCCCTCCCTGTGGTGACCGCGAGTTAGAACCTGGGTTGTGGTGTTCGAGGGCGAACACATTTAAAAAGGGGGGAGTGGTGTGGCAGATTTTCATTGTACATAGGATTACGGTCACCTTCTAGCATTGAGCTAGAGGGAATTTCCCTTTAGCTCAGTGGTAGAGCGTTCGACTAGGAACCTGGAGATCGAGACCAGCAATGTGAGATAAATCTATAAATCTAACTATGACAATATAAACATAATTCATTTATCAACATTCTTCATAGTTGACAATGATAGCATTCCTAACGATTATGCCTCAGTTTTGATTTTGCAAGACATAAAAGTTTTCTGTAAAATGAGACAGCAAGCCTGTAACATTTTGAGGGCCAAAAGCCGATTTAGAAGACTCAAATTGTAGCATTGTTTTAAATCTTAACAATTTAGCATGATGAGGAATCGGCGCACTCACAATATGTATGCAGAAAATTAAAAAAATACAGAAATTTAGGTTAAGATTTAATGCTTGAAGAGTGCTAAAATTAGAATAACACTATAATACATAAACTTACTGTATATTTTATCTATGTAATATTTTGGTTGGTTCAAGTGTTATTATCCCTTTTCATTTCACATCCATTTTCATTCTTTTTGGAGGGTTAAACATATACACATGCATATTCTACTGGGGTATATAACCTTCTGAGCTTAAGTAAAATCCTCTTGGAAACTAGTTTAAAATAATGTTATCAGTCTTAAATTTCAAAGTGTCAACAATGACACCATTGAAAAGGCTGTTTCAAAAACGAATTTTGATAGGAACTTTTCTAAAGTGATTGTTTCCCCTAGTTTGATAGCCGAATACAGGCTGCTTCCCCTAACAAACAAGTGCTTTATTTTTCCAAAGTGAAGAAAAGTTAGGACGATCTTCCCCAATTTAATGAAAATAACACTACAGTTTTTCAATTCCTGCAGGAACTAGCTATTGTAAAGAAAACACTGTAGAGTTGATGTACAGTTATATATCATTAGTACATTCAGAATTCCTTGACTCATACCCCAGGTGATAACCTTGTCAGATTTAGAGTGTGACTATCTAAATGCGACATCATGCTGCTCAAAACTGAACAAGGTATACACTTCATTTTCTATCAATTCAACTATACAATTGAAACGGATTGATTCTTAAAGTTCATTTCTTATGACAGATTTACTAATTCAAATTTTATCAATAACAAGATTGTTACCTTAGATCATGGCTTTTTCTCTACCCTTAACCCTAGTAAAACTTCATTTAAGAAGGATATATGAAAGCTAAATATTTTAAGATAAAATCAACCAAGCAGTGTGAAAACAACAGGTAATACAAGTTGAAAAATTCAAATACTTAGTTCAGAAACTCGCATATTTGATATTGCTCTGTAAGAATTGAACTTAACGCTTAACTTTCCGTGTCTTTTCAGTGGGTTTTACCGGAACTGATTGCCCAATCAGTGCTAGCCTTCTTCCTACTGGTGACAGGTCACTGGATTCTTTTCCTAATGTACACACCTGTTACAGCATGGATGGTGTACAAGTAAGTGTCCGTATCCTGTTTCACCACCTTTATCCTAAATAAATACCGGGTATTTACAAAAACAGTGCGGAAGTTCATTTAGTCTGCACACTATGCTTTCACTTCAGGTAAAAAATATGTACCTGGTATAGATAATGATTTAATGAAATAACCAAAAATGTCACCAAAGAGTAACTACAGTTCTGACTAGAGTATTTAGTGTTCTGTTTTGTGAATAAAAGTTAGCTGTATTATCAAAGTTTAGAGATTTAGGAAGTGTTTGAATCTGATAATGTTTTAATATTGTTCATTCTTGTGCAGCTTTTGGTGAAAATTGTCAATGTGACTAGTAGTTGTATCAAATTATAGATATATATTTGACAACCTATATGTGGAGAAATTTTGTCTTGCAACACTTACAATTACATGATTTTTTTTATAGGAAAACTACAATATGTTGCATGTACCATTCAATATATAAAATGGTAACAAATGTTACATGCATGTAATAGTTTAAGTATTAAAAATAGTTTCTCTGATGTTCATTAATTAGATATTATCATTTACATGCATGTAGCTATGGCAATTGCTATTTATCTTTCTGAAATGTATTATCATTTATTATAACAATTCTTTTCTTCTCAAGGTATGTGACAAAACCCTCTGGGAATATTGGTCTCTATGACCCTACAGAGATTCACAACAGACACCAACTGAAAACCTACTTAAAAGAAAACCTCATTAAACTGGGATCACACCTTATCTTCTTTTTTGTTTTCTTGTATTGGTAAGCTGTTTCTTCAGTCTGTTTTCTGTATATCTTATATTGGTAAGTTGTTCCTTAAAGCTGACAGTGCAAGTTACAAAGCTTTCAATTGAGATTTTTAAAACAAAATCCAAAAAATCTGATTTGCTTTTTATACCTCGCGAGACCCATACTCGTTACCAAGCAAGGACAAACTAAAATGTTGGTGCTTCCTTGGAAATGACAGCCAGAAGAGATTGCCACTGGGGAAGACCCTAAAACCAGAAAAAATGAAACTTTGCACTGTCAGCTTTAAGTCCAGTTATCACCTGGTAAGGGAGGCGACCCATTTGACCTGTCATTAAGAGTGGAAATTTGTTCCAAGCTTACAGTATACATTGAATTTGTAGCAGATTTGGACTAGGTTGATTGTTGGTGACGAGAATTCTCCAATTAAAAAACTGTTTATAAAAATATAAATGGTAGTTAATGCTGTGTTTAGCACTTAGCTGTATTGACCGAGTGTTTGTCTGTTACAGGATGATTTACTCATTGATTAAAGGACTTTGATGACTGACAGAGCATGATGTACCTTTGTAACTTCCTGTGCAGCTGTGTTGCCATGGTGATGACGTGATTTACATTGCAGGATGATCATCTCGCTTTTGACCAATGAGGCTACGGGAGCGTTTGGCTCGCAGGCTGCTCTATTGGCCAATTTGCCGGATGTACAAGATGCACAGGAGGTTACGGATCGTCTTGATGGATAGAGTCTGAGAATAACAATACAGAATCAGGGAACTACAGTGTAGAGATTAAATCTGTACTATGATAGTCACATGCGTGTCATCGCTGCCAGAAATCCTATAGAGAACCAACGAACACAGTGTCTGAATGTTCTATTTACCGCAAAACATGTCCTGAGAAACCCGTCTTTACTGACATCAAGAGGGACTGAAACTTTTGATAAAAAGGTCAACTTATCTTTGTGGGCCATAAAATCAGGTACAATATCTAATATACCTGGTACCTTCAAGTAAGGTGTTGGTTAAGTCTGGTATTGGTAAATAAGGTGTCGGTAAAGACAGGTTTCATTATATAACTAATTGATATCTAATATCAATCTATTGATGCATATGAATAATTTTGGTGCAATTTATCACTCATTTTAGTTTTTAAATTGAGGTACCTTTAATATTAAAAGTACAAGTTACTTTGTTGATACTGTTGGCTTTTTATTGTGTTACATGTCCATTTTTATACAGATAAACAAAGTAAGGTAACAATGTAGGTGTTTGTACTTCTTCAACGATGTGCCATAAGTATTCGGTCAGAGTAGCAGCTATGGACAATTTCGAATTTGTGATTGAAAATCAGAAAGTGAAGAAACAAACAGAACTTGTGACTTAATGTCACAATAATTTGAAAAGCTCAATAAAATGCATGTGATTATCATTGACAAAGGTTTGACAAGGCCAAGACCATTCGAAACACCATGAAGTTTGGGTATGCAAACATGCTGCAGTTTTGATTAAATACTTTTCGCACATCACTGTACCTCATGAGGCTCAATACAATAGTGTACTGGCAAATGTTGAGTTTAAACCTTTCAATTTGTCCTATGTGAGATTTTCTGGCTGCATGAAGGAGGAATATCAACTTTATTATTGCGTTGTGACAGTTAATTTATGTTAAATATACTAAGGAACCATGTGGAACAAATTGTTGATATAAAATAAATGTGTTTCAAGTGCTTGAAATTCATAACTTGTACTAGAATAATAGGGAAAATGTCTTACTAGAGACTAGTACCAAGGGAGATAATCCAAGATGGCGGTCTCCCAGAATCGTCGATCTTTTCCTGAAAAAAACTTGAAATTTTCTATACCTGTGTATTTTACGCACCCCCCACTTTGGGTATTAAATTTCTGAAAAAAAAGTGCGCAAATTACATGGGTTTTTATGGTAGGTGGAACAAATGTCGAAAGCTTCTGGTCCATCTGTTGTAAGATTTCCTTTGAACATCTTAGCTGTAAGTCAGAAAGGGTTTGAAAAGATTTTGTTTCATGAGAGGAACTTAGCCTGATTTACAATACCATAATTCTGATATGTTTTGTAGCTATGGTTATATCATAAATCTCTTGTGAAATGTTAACTCATTTTTATCAATGTAAAAAGTCCCAGTACAAACCAGCCACCTTATTTTTATATGAGTAAGAAAGTGTTATTCATTGAACCTATTCCATAGAGAATTTGCACCAGCCCTGATTGCTTATGTTTGCATTAACAAGTCCGTGCTAAAGTGCAACAATTACGTTCCAAAAGCTAGAAAACCTATAAAGATTGGTAATCACGTACCAAGACTGTTTAAATTCTTTGAACTTTACACCTAAAGAGCAGAAGCCATTTATGTTTAAAATCATTTTATATTAATGTTATAAACTTCTATGCAAATATATACTTGCAATGTTGTGATGCCTTTTGGGCTACCAGTAGTTAGGTGTAAATATTGCAGGGTTTTGAAGCTCGAGTGATTTAATCTCATACACAGTGTTAAATAGAATGTTTCATCCCCTTAGGAGAAGATTTAGTTGTCAAACATGAGGCATTTGGCAACTTGTAATTTAGAATTTTACCGCGACGTTGAGGTCTCCCCTCTCCCCATCCCAAAGGGTGAATTATTTTTCTCTTAACCCTGTTGGCCCTGTCATATATGCAAATTTGACATAAGAGAGTTTTTATATTATTTATTTCCATGCATCAATGACATGACATCAAATGTTAACATTAGTTATGACTGGAGAGTTCCCTTGTCTCGACATGACTGGGAAAAGTGTAGATATACATGTCTGAGTAAGAGGACCTCTTATCTAGGCTTAAAGTGAAGATATACATGTCGGGGTAAGAGGACCTCTTATCTAGGCTAAAAGTGTAGATATACATGTCGGGGGTAAGAGGACCTCTTATCTAGACTTCTATGTAGGTGCATCGGTCAAAATGTCTTAACATGCAAACAAAAAATAATTAAGATTGTCTTAATTGCAAAAATTGGTAGTGCATTTGTTTATAGAATGCAACTTGATGCACTTTGTCAAACATTCCAAATCTATTTGAAGGTAAAAAGGGTTTTTTTCTATTCAATGTATATTCATTTAGAAACTGAGGGAAGTTACCCAATACCCAATTTTAGCGTGCAACTTTAGTTGTTTTTAGTAAGATTTTTAGGTCACCTGAGCTTTGCTCAAGTGACCTATTCTAATCGCTTTCCGTCCGTCGTGCGTAAACTTTTACATTTTCAACTTCTTCTCAAGAACCAGTACTTGGTCAGAATCATCCTTGGTAGATGAGGAATTCCTACCCCAACATTAGGGCCAGGGCGGGGCCCCAAAGGGAAAATTAACCAATGTTTCAAAAATCTTCTTCTCCAGACTCAGAGGTACTACATTCATTTTCTCTGCATGGAAAGAAAATCATCAGGGGCTTTATTTAAATCGTAAATTTCAGGACCCCCGAGCTATTTGTTCTACCTCCGGGGAGGAGGTAAAGTTTACTATAGTTTATATAGGGAAATAACACTTTTGGGTATATTTTATCCATTTTAAGCCAAATATTACTCAAACTTAGTCAGAATCATCTTTGGTGAATGAGAGTATTACTTTGTAAAATTGGGATTCCTGCCCCCTCCCGCAGGGGCTAGGGCGGGGCCCCAAAGGGAACATTTACCAATTTTTTCAAATTCTTATCCTTTGATGACATGACAAGTATTGTATTTCACTTAGTTTACATGCTGATTTCCATATCACATCTAAATAATAAAATAAAGCTACCAGTACCTATGATATAACTCAGGTGACCGCTAAGGCCCTTGGGCCTCTTGTTAATGAGTGTAATCAAGGCAACACTTTTTTGCCAGGAGCCCTTGTGAAATGTGACTTGTGTACACATAAATATATGCCTTTATGGGATCCTATGTAGGTAGCCCTCATTACTTCTGTCTTGCATATATATGATATTTGTTTCTACACACAGGAAACTACGCACATGGCTGTTTTCTCACACAGTATTCCTTTTTAAACATATTCATCCACAAATGACAGTACCAATTAAAGTGTAACCGAGTTATATAAACCCGACACTGTATAAAGGACTCGCACAACTAAATAATTTACTATATGTTATTACCAAACATTTTAGCTAATAACTTTAATATTTGAAGTTCAAGACTAGTGACAACTGTCTAGATTCATAAATACATACCTTGCAAAGGCTACAAAACGACTTTTTTGGTAGGTTTAGTGGCATATTGAAGTGTCACAGCGCCAAGAAGTTGACAACCGGAAGTTTACAAGCAAAACCGGTGACCCAAAACAGAAACGCCCCCAGACATTTTGCCCCTGTGCAAATCCGCACACAGATATGGAAATATATCAAAAGTATATATTTTTCATTTATCTAACAATCTGTCATCAGTTCCTTATTAAACTCCTTCAGTGGCCCAGTAATTAGCCGGAACTTATTTCAGATAGGAACTACAAACGTATGAAACACTTGCTGATTGGCTGATTTAGTTGTGTGAGTCCTAAAAGGATTTTTTACATCAGTGTTATATTTCAGGATGCAGTGAATCCATATATTCCTACAAGATGGCAAACATTTCTTATAAGCAACCTCAGCGGTGAACGAATAAGCACTTTTCCATATTAATAGCACTGGATCAAATGAAAATGGCACCAATGTTTAGCACATGTAGGTGGTATCAGTATCCAAAATGTACAACATTAACTAGTTCATCATTCACACATGTTTTTTCTGATGGAAGTAAACATGCTTTCTTACCTTTATAATATAATCAGTTTAATTCATGATACCATTAAACTTGTTCCTATAACCACTTTTAATGTTCCCTATTGCAGTAATTTCAGTGTGAACTGAACCATTATTAAGAGACACCTGTGTTAGGTTGCCATTTTTTGGACTTCTCAATGGTAGTCAGGTTTGACTAAATTAAAAAAAAATTAGGCTTGCTTGGACACTAAACACATATGCATACTAAAAGTTATACACACACAAGCTATTCCAGAAAGTTTGTCTTAAAACTTTCTATCGACTTTTTAGCGCTGGAATTCTTCTGTACGTTGAGATTATGTTTCAGGCTTCAGTAGTACATGTAGAAATACTGATCAATGTTTTCAATCAGACTAACTGTTTACTTATGTTGAGTGCTACCAAGGATATCTTACCAGTGATAATTGCAGACTTGGACAACAAGCCACTATGTATCATAATAGAACTTCTTGGAATAGATGAGTGCACAATTAAATTATTTGACCGAGGTGTTGCTATCAAGGTTAATTCTATATTTTTGTATGTCACAATATTTTTTGTAAATACATTAACATTGTTAATTTTTGTACTTGTGATTACTCATTTGTATGAGAACATCCAGTTAAACATTTACTACAGAATTGTAAGTGTGTGTAAAAGTAATTCCTGTGAATTGAGATTAAATTTCTATTCTTTTCAGTAAAGATTTTTTTTTGCAGCCAGGAACTTATTTTATTTGTGAGGTGTCTTGTATAGATGGTAATGTTAAGTAATTTGTAATGTAAATTACCATACAGGTAATTTTGTTTGATGAGTGAAGTAAATTCCATGTTTGTCAAACAAACGTGCCATTGTTTTGTGTGTTTACTGCCTTGATCTCGCATCCTAGGGAAACTACTACTGTTACACTCTTTATCGTTTACTAATAAAACTTCTCTAAGTTTTTTGTAAAAAAAACGAACGTGTCTTGTTTTCATTTTATTTGTCATCTTGGCCATTCAGACATGTCTGGAATGTTTGCAGTAATTAGTTGTAATCTTAAAGCGTTATTTTTTTCAAGTCCTTGCACACAACTCATTTCAAACTAGTAAGTCCTTGTACAAACAGTCCCAATCAAGCCAGTCCCTGTACATCTTGTTACCAGCCATTAAATCCTTGTACAACACATTACAAACCACTAAATTCTTGTACAGCCAATCACAAACCATGGAGTTCTTGTTCAAATCACAAACCCTTAAAACCTTTTACAACTCGTGAGTAGTTACCAACAATTAATTCACCCAGCAATAAGTTCACCACTAAGACCTCATTTAACAAGTTACAAAGCAGTGACCTTGATTAAAGGTCAAGGTAATTTCTTTTCTGTAGTTTTGTAGCACTCTATTTCAGCAAGCTGCTCGCCACATATTTAATGAATCCAGGCCTTTTGGTTTTCAGAACAACCTGTTAATGTTTGAAATTTGACCCCAGTAACCTTGAAATATGTTAACATCATTTCCTGTTTGTGTTTCAGAAAAAAGCCATTTGAGTGTTTTCACAAATTTTGGAGAGACCCTTGTGACCTTGAATAGGGGACAAGATCAATTATTTCCCCAAAAATTTGCAGTGTTCCATTCCAGCAAGCTGCGGGGCATTTATCATGACTCTGGGGCCATTCGACTTTCAGAAAGAATTCTTTGAATAGTATAACAGATTTGACCCTGTGACCTTGAGTAATGGTCAAGGTAATTTCTTTTCTAATCCTTTGTAGCACTCATTGCAGCAAGCAAACCACTGGCTATATATCATGACTGGGCCCTTTGATGTTTCGGAAGAAAGTGACTGTTTAGCCTTGTGACCTTGAATAAAACTCCCAAGTCATTTCTTTTCTAAAGTTCTGAAGTTTTTTATGCACTCCATGTCAGTAAGCTATTTGCCATATCCAGGCCTTTAGGTGTTTGCGTGTTTTGACAAATTTGACTTGTGACCTTGGATATAGGTGAAGGTCATTTTGTTGTTTCTATATTTATGGCACCCATAGCCAGCAAGCTACTACCCATATATAATGACTATAGGCTGGTATGTGTTTCAGAAATATCATTGTGAGTGTTCGAACAATTTGAACCATGTGTCCTTGAATGGATAAAAATCAACTTTGTAGCATTCCATGTCAGCAAGCTGCTCTGCACTTATAATGACTATATACTTTTGATTCTTTAAAAAATATTCTTCCACTGTTTAACAGATTTGATCCCAGTGACCTTCAATAAAGGTAATCATTTCTTTTCCCAATTACGAAGCACTCCTAGCCAGCATGCTACTGGCAAAATATCCTGACTGAGGCATCTTGATGTTTCAGAACTAGTCATTTGAATGTTTTTACAAATTTGACCTCTGTTACCTTTAGGTTAAGGTCGTGGTCATTCATTTTGTACACTTTGAAGCATCCCATGCCAGGAAGTTGCTGGCTCAATATCATGAATAAGGCCCTTTAGCTCTTAAGAAAAAGATATGTCAGTGTTTAAACATTAAAGTACTCAACAATGTATTGTAAAATGGCCCCATTTATAAACAGATTTTATTTTCCTTTAAGAACTTTGTAGAACATTTACTAAGCGTGCTAATTAATGAATATTAAAATCATGATAGACTGCTGGTTGGTAACAAGATTTGTTTAGAAACCTCAAATTTTACCCCTTTTTTGAAATTCAGGGAGGGCCAGCCCATTCTCCTTCAAAAATCTAAATCATCATCACCACGGAATAGGTCCTACAAAATTTTATTGTAATTGATCAGGTGGTTTTTGAGAAGACAGCAATAGATTCCAACAGTTCATTTGGGCAAAGTGAGCTAAAGACCATGAAGGACTATATAACAGGCAGCCAAACTATCAAGATTTTTACCAGTAAGTGGGAAATCAAAAAGTTCTGAAACAAGTATCCATTGTGTGGTTGCTCCACATATCCATTTATTGTTGATGATGATGATACTAAGAGGCCAAAAGGGCCTGTACCACTAATATGGATATTTATGCAATCAGTTTGAAATATTGCAACTATTTACACTTTTTGGGCTCAGTATCCAGCAGGATAATATGCACGCAGGCTTTAAATATTTGATTCACAGGTCCCAAGACCAATGATGTGTAATAGAAAAGTTTGAGATTCATATGTATATGTGCATATGGTTTTATGGTGGGAATTTCAATATTTTCCGTGTCATGACCATGGGATTCAATCCCTAGGGGTAGGGCTTTTCCCAGTAGCATGAATATATTTGTTTCATAAACTCTGCTAAGAAATAAGATGGAGACCTCAACCATTTTTAGTTACGACCCAAGGACCCTCTGTCATATAAATTAGGTCAATGTAATTTATATGAGGAAGCAGTCAAGCAAAAATCAAAATATCAGAATACAAAACACTTTAAAAGTATTAAAGCAGATTCAAAATATGCAAGTACCACATCAAAACATGACATCATTTTAACATATATATCTTTATTGATAATATATGAAAACCATTTTGTTGTATTTCTTACATGTGTATTATCATAAAAAGAAAAAAATTGCAGTATTTTTCTCACTGACAAAGCTGGATGTAAAACTAATTTTGCCCCCCGGTTACAATGGAATATACCAGTAGATAGTAATCATTTCATAGATAGATTATGCATGCAGATACTTCCACATAGTTCTCCATTCCTGGTGACAGTAATGTGTTGAAAATTGCCCACCACACTCATACTTGTACACAAATTATCACATGATCAGGTTTTCCATTTGGAATTTGCACAAATTATATTGACATTCATAAATTGTGATTGTAGTAAAATTGGAAAATTTGAATGAATAATCTTTAAATTAAAGTGATTTTGATTTTAAGATGAATTATGAATAATAAAGAAAAAAACACATATTAACCCTTGGACTTTCATGTACAATTGTACTGCTATTTTACACACAATATTTATGTTGACCTTTGATCAAGAATTTTTGAGATAACATTATTCGGTGATTACTGTGTATCTGGTAATGGCACAGTAAATTTTATTCCTTGAAAATATTTGCCGGACACAATCCTTTCCGTCATATACAAAGATGGCATCAGTTCAATGCCAAATTATTATTTTGCTGACCTTTAGAATGCATTAACTTTAATAAAACCTGCATGGTGAGATTAAACTGCAGTCAGATGATATCATATTTCTTTAAATTTTTCTTTTAAATGCGGTTGTATTTTCTTTCAAATATTTTTTGATACACTTCTCTTGATATTTCCTTTTCAGGATCAACGGATTCCTGTAATACATGAATTAGAAAAACAAGACAGATTTTTTTCAGTATTAAACATTCTCACAAAGCATGCTCAGGGTTGGATCTTGCAGGATGGAATGGTACAGAATTTGATGCGACAATCACGAGTCAATATCTGTAGTACTAAATCTCTACCTTAAGACCATCAACAGTCCCAGATCTACAAACTTCACACTTCAGGGGTTAAGATATTAGTCTACATTTAATCTACAATCATGTTGCCTACAACTGTCTCGCTGGCCTTCAAACCTCACAAGAACAAGAGATCTACACTACATTAAAATGTTGATGTATAAAATGTAATTCTATAAGGCAACACCACAATGACTGACATGGCAGCATATTGTTTTTGATCTGATCACATCATATGTAACCAAATACTCTACACTGTACATATAGTAATATATGTATTACTTACCTCAAAAATCAAACAATAACTCCCAGAAACTTGATAGATTCGATCTATACAAAGTTTTTATGTACCAATTCACTCATCACATACCACATGCAGGTACATTGTTCATAGAATTCTGGTCTTTATTTCAACTTAAGGATCCCTGTACCACTGCCAAAAACTGTATTTTGCAGTGAAAACTGGCACTTTTTGGAAAAATGATTAAGATAAAATAAACAATATATAATCAACAACAGAGTTCTGAGTGAACAAATTCAGTTGGTCTAGATTTGAACCCTAGGTCTAGATTTGAACCCTAGGTCTAGATTTGAACCCTAGAGTTCACACTGTTATACAATTGCTCAAACAGATTGAGCTACCTGGTCAACGGCAGTGTCTTGGCCCAACTGTGGTGCAGTTTTATCCAAAACAAAAAGGGGAAGTTACTGTATATATACGAAAACGACAGTACAGAGGGTCAGGGATCCTTAAAGAATAATCCAAGATTCTGAATAGTAACAAGAGAATATATAATCATGTCTTTTGTACATTTTATTTGAATGCATAGAATGCAGTAATTTCACTGATATAAATCTTCAGTAAGAATCAAGTGACCTCTGTCAGACTCGTGCCATCATTGAGTAATCACTGACCTTGACCTGTCAGACACATGCTATCCTTGAATAATCACTGACCTTGACCTCTGTCAGACATGCTGTCAATGAATAATCACCAAATATCTATCATTGAATGATCGCTGACACTGACCTCTGTCGGACACTTACCATCATTGAATATCATTGATACTGACCTCTGTCTGGCACATTCCATCACTGAAGAATCACGGACAACATTACAGGTTATTTATCACTGGTTAATTATACCATTCCCACACAGGACAGAACATAAATAAATGGGCTCTCTTTCCATAACAATTTGTTTAATTAATCAAACAAAAAGATAAAAAGGAAATTAAAATTCAAAGATAAAACCAACAGAACACTGAAGTATAACAGCACATGATGTTACAAGTTGGATGACACCCAAGCCAAATAATGAGTCTTCCTTGCATCCATGAATTTGGTAAAAGTTCATCTCAAAATAATCATGAAAGTTTAGACTTTTTCACGTACACGTACAATGAACAATGCTAGCAGTCAGGTGGATTCAAATTCAGCTTCCAGAAAATGATATCTCTGGCCACCACAAAGGTTTCAAGTCAGCCGCCAGCCAAATATTTCAATGGGTAAACTTTTAGTAACCCTTTTTTATTTTAATGTAATTTCTGAGTACATCCGATATAGAAACTGTCACAAAATTGATGACATCAATATATATTTTTTTATACCAGTACAATACCTGTACAATTAATGGTTCAGTTTTCAACCCAACAGAATATGAAGAAGAGCCATGGACATAAACGATGTACTAAAAAAGAACAGAGTCTAAACCAACTTGTAACACCTGTCCTTCTACATGCTACCTTTAAATATAGACAATCATCCACTCAGAACTTACACACAAATTAACTTAGATATATATATTATATACATTGTAAAAATATGAAAACATGTATCATAAAATAAAAAAAAAGTGGCATCGTCACTGTTCTTTCTTTTTTACGTGTACTTTCATTTCTCAAAAACATGTGGCCTCCAAGCAGTGTTGTACATTCTCATTAAGTACTTTCATTCTAACAACAATTGTGGTTATCAATTTTACTACATTTTCACATTTTGGTACAACAATCAAACCTTGTATTACTGCCAACAATCCATTCAAAAATTGCTACACGTTCAGAATTGATAGATAACATAAGAATTGTGAAATGACAGATAACAGGACAGATCAAGAGGAAGAGGAAGTGCAGAAAAGGGGGAGATAAGAATAGCATCAGCACTGGACAGACAGCTACATATATAGTAGCATATTCAATATCAGCTATATTTATACAACAGAGGTTAATTATATTAATTTCAAAGAGATCTTGGTGTTATAGCATCAGATATCAATCTGTTACGTGGTATGACGTAAAAAGCACAAACACATACAGTTATCAAGATTTCAAAATATCTTGAACAAACACGAAAAAGGTTTAGTCTCCTCAGTTTCACTGAAATAACACTCAGGCGTCAAAATTCGTGGAAATCAGACTACGTGTACACCACATTGCTGCTGTATGCATGTATGTAGATAATTGTAGGTTGATTATAGCTGAACACATCAACTTCTACTAAAACCACGGTCTATTTTGTCTCTTATAAATACAAAATGTACCAGACAAAATAGGACTGGTAAAGGGCACACAAGTCACTTTTCAAGTACACTACAAGATCCCTTAGGTTGAACGTCTAGGGCTTAGGACCTTAGTAGAAAACTATGTGTTCATAATGTCACATGGGCCTCTTTCCCACTAAGCTTAAATATCATCAGATTTACCATAAGTACAGATGTCTATCATTTGGACTGGGTATAGAAATCATTTGCTGATTAATCGGGCCCAGGTGTTGAAAGCCTGATCAGTTTAAAATTTGTTCATGTTAATTTTCAAAATGTGAGTTAATCTAACTATATAAACATTTGCATTTATTTTTTGTCATTAGATCATTTTAAATATTTAAATATACAAATTGAGTTTTCGATTTCCATCGTTTGAAAATAATGAGTTTAAAATGCTGTGTTGGTGTATCCCAAAGCTAATCAGACCTTGGACACCTAGACAAAGAACTCCCAATCGTTTATTATTAACAATACATGTAATAGGAATATCATAGTGCTTTCTAAACAATCAACAATAAATCTCTGATGGATTAACATTATCACAGAAGCATCTGGTAGGTAAAACGCTGTAGGGAAATTTGGAGGTCAAGTTGTCTCCTGTAATATTTGTTGACAAACCTTCATAAGTAAGTATTAAACTTAAGCTACCAAGCTGTTTCAAACAAACAACATTGCTCTAGCACTGTTTAACACTGCACAGGAAACATTAAACCCAAATATGTATGTGGCTATACACGAGACTAAGGATCGTGATACATGTAAGAATGGACATACTAAAACAAGTAGATGTAGTTCCCATTACATATATTCACAACAAGATTTTGCACCTCTTTTCAGGTAGATTAAAACAATGTCTGTACACAGTTCCTGGTGTTTAGAACTTCCAGGTGTATAGCTGGGAGCTTCTTGGTATGTGCAATATTTTGGAAGCCCTAATTTTTACTGGTTTTAATATAAAACTGAAGAAGTCGATTTTCTTGTTTGACATTTAAGACATGGAGTGTTGTGCTTATATATAAAGTATATATACAATGTTGTTGAACATCCACTACAAAACACTCTGGAAACTACATTTCAGTATCAATTGCAACTCTGATGCCGTGTTCAAACACTGCAACTTTAAAATGACCAACCTGTTTGGTACGATTCTATGGGCATCCGTAAATCTTTTCATCACTACAATATCAAACGTTGGACTGACCATCCAATACGGCCCAACACAGTATACTATATCCCCAAATGTTTTAAATGTTGGCTACCTGTTGAAAAATATCTGAGTGGAGACAGACAGTTTCGTGTTCTATCACATAGTGAGTGACACATCTGTTAACCTTTGGTACAAAGGCTGTGACGCCACTTCTGGAGTGGCACATTGAGTATGAGAAAACATGGACAATGGTGGTATGAATGGATACATCGATGCATCAAGGAATTATAATTTCTTTCATAAGATATCCTTTACATTCAGTAGCTACTGTGATGTAACGTGTGTTTTACTACCACTCATAAATAATAGAGAGATGGAGAGATGTCTGGTGGAGATGTGTTGATGATCAGAGCTGGCAGTCAGACCAGACAGTGAAAGATCTATTGTCTATGAATAACACTTTGTCTTTTGCTATACTGGTGTACTCCGTCCTGACTCTGCACCATTACCTGAAATAGAAATGTGTAGGTCAAATCAGGGAGAACAAGGAATTACTGTCAATAAATACTTACAATCATCTCCCAAATTTAGTTTTAAACTAATTTTCCTGAGCATGTTTGATATGGAACATTGTTCTAACGCTATCATTTAGCCTACTTTCAATTTTAAATTGACAAAAATGCAAACTCGTAGGCAATCAGCATTTTGTAAATATTTCTACAGATCAACATTACTATGTCACAATTATTTCACATAAAGAGGTAGCAAATTTAACACAAATGGTTTTCTTTGTGTCAAACATCTCCTTTTATAGTACAACTTCATTAATTAATGATGCTTTGAAATGAAACTGATTTTTTCCCTCTAAAAAGCCTGTCAATTAACCAGTAACATATGAAGTGGCTACCTTTAATGCACTACCCATACATTCCAACACCTACCTATTTTCACTTTATCGATAGGTCCCCAAATTCGAACAGTGCCATCATCTGAAGCACTAGCTATGATCCCAGGCACTTTGGGGTTCCAGTGAACACAATTAACTGTCCTTGTATGACCTTCTAACACAGCTATAGGCACTTCTCTTCGTAAATGCCATATATATACTTTATGATCTGTAAAACAATGAAACACAGCATACAACTTGAGAGTGTATATGATACAGTATTAAATTTGAAAATTGTTCATTGTTTTTTCTGACAAATTCCAACTGTTTAATAGTTAATGCTCTTTGAAACTTCACATGTTTTCCTTACAATACTTAAGATTATTCAAATTTTAATATTTCTATTTTATTTCTTTTTTCATCAGTTAACTTGATAATATATTGATCCAAACTTTTATCAGATAAAAGGTCTGGACTACATCATGCGTTTCATGTACACCGATAAATGCCTACCTTCACTGCCACTGGCGATGAAGTCCTGGTTGAGACCTCCAAAGCATGAGTGTATTGTGTAAAATCCTTGTGTAACACCTTGAAATTTCCTAACTAAGCACCTATCTTTTAAATCCCATAAATGTACACCCTGAAACAGGAAACATTTACAAATTTGAGATAAATTCAACAGTAGATAATATACAAACATAATTAATTTCAGAACTATCAATTAACTCTGATCTATTTCGGGAATATCACCAATTAATTTGGGTTAACTTTTTTCAAACATTCTATTCAACACCCATCACCAACACACGAAACTACTTAACTGTATCAATTCAATATCATTCACACAGAAGTGATGAGCAATCATTAATTTAAAAGAAATCTTTGTCATACAAACAGATAGAATACATTACCTGAGTCGCGACATTCAATAATGCTAATCTCCCCGTTTCGTTTAATGTGAAAGACATGACGGGATGATCTTCCTGAATTCTACAATAAAATGGGAACAGGTTCTGGGTTAATTGTGGCCTCTTAATGGTTATCTACATTTCTTCAAGTTACCCTTACTATTATTATTTTATTGAAACAAGAGGCCCAGGGGCCTTAATAGCTCACCTGGTATTTTATTTTTCAATTTAAACAAAATTGATTCTTTTCTCCCTAAGCATGCTTCAGACTGCATTTGGTTTAAATCCCTTCACTTGTATAGAAGGAGAAAAAAAATCCTCTATTTCCCCTATTGGGCCCCGCTCCTATGCCGCCAGAAGGCCCACACCCTCCGTTTATACAAACTTGAGTCTCCTTTGTCCAAAGATGCTCTAGGACAAATTTGGTCAAAATCCTTCAATTGGTTGAGGAGAAGATTTTTAAAGATTTACCTATTTTCCCCTATTTGGCCCCGTCCCTCTGCCCCCAGGGGGACCATACCCTCCGTTCATACAAAACTGAGAACCCTTTGGCCAATGATGCTCCAGACCAAATTTGGTCAAAATCCCTTCATCGGTACAAAAGGAGAAGGATATTTGATGTTTTCCTCTATTTCCCCTAATGGGCCCCACCCATCTGCCCTTAGAAGGAGGCCCACACACCTCAGTTTATACAAAATTGATTCTTTTGTCCCTAATCATGCTTCAGACTGCATTTGGTTAAAATCCCTTCACTTGTATAGCAGGAGAAAAAAAATCCTCTATTTCCCCTATTGGGCCCCGCCCCTCCGCCCCCAGAGGGGCCACACCCTCCGTTTATACAAACTTGAGTCTTCTTTGTCCAAAGATGCTCTAGGACAAATTTGGTCAAAATCCTTCAATTGGTTGAGAAGAAGAACATTTTTAAAGATTTACCTTTTTTCCCCTTATTTAGCCCCGCCCCTCTGCCCCGAGGGGGGGCTATACCGTCCGTTTATACAAAACTGAGAACCCTTTGGCCAATGATGCTCCTGACCAAGCTTCAGACTGCATTTGGTTTAAATCCCTTCACTTGTATAGTAGGAGAGAAAAAATCCTCTACTTCCCCTATTTGGCCCCGCCCCTCTGCCCCCAAAGAGGCCACACCCTCCGTTTATACAAACTTGAGTCTCCTTTGTCCAAAGATGCTCTAGGACAAATTTGGTCAAAATTCTTCTATTGGTTGAGAAGAAGAAGATTTTTAAAGATTTACCTATTTTCCCCCTATTTGGCCCCGCCCCTCTGCCCCCAGGGGGGTTATACCCTCCGTTTATACAAAACTGAGAACCCTTTGGCCAATGATGCTCCTGACCAAATTTGGTCAAAATCCTCTGAGCCATTCAGGACAAGTAGCATTTTAAAGGAAAAAGTTGACGGACGCCGGACGACGGACGCTGCACCATGAGATAAGCTCACATGGCCCTTCGGGCCAGGTGAGCTAAAAACTACTATTACCACAGATAAAAATGTCAAAACACAGAAACTTGAATGCTCGGATAGAAACCAAGATAGAAATACAGCAATTATCCTTTCTCTAATTGTGACTTGAGCTTGAATTCATAACCATTTTGAAACTTCAATGAATATGATAAAATTGTAATGAATTCTTTAATTATTATTTATCAATTTTTATGTGTAAATTAATTCAAAGCATAACTAAGCCCGATGCTAGTTATGTTTTAACAAGCTGGAAATGAGAACTACGAAGTCAAAAATATATACTGACATGTTGTAGTCTGTAAGTTCATCAAAGTTGTAGCCTCGTATTCTGTGGTGGGTGTCAGCGGCCAGGACACTCTTGCCGTCATTCTGACAGGCCATACACTGGACCCTTACACCTTCCCATGAGTCCATCATGTTACCATCAAGGTCCTGTCACACAAAGACACAAATACTTTTGTTTCAAATCGACCTCACAACATTTGGCATTTCATAATGCAAGTATAATTTCAACAATTGACACTTTTAGGTGGTATTGCATTCATGGTCAATTACATACATATACTTCAACATTAAGAAAGTTATTTCTTAAAGACATATGTAACTACATGTATCTCGTATTATGATAAATTCACGTTTTATACTTGTGAATACGGGATAATACATTGCCACTGTAGCCTAGTCCGACTAGTGTAATGCCACCTTAGCCTTTACAAATATTTTAACTTTTCTGAATCTGTAGACATGCAACTTTCACCAGGAATTTTTATGATTTTGAAAATATACCAGATGAAAAATTTGTGTCAAGTTGGTTTTAAGCTGATAGTGTTTTGAGCAAATACTTTTTTTCTCTCTTTACCTTGCATTGTTTATTGATATTAAAGGAAAGTAAAGCATTCACCTTAAATTAACAACTGTACAGTAAAAGTAGAAGAAAAATAAAATGTCAACATATCTTGATATATAATGTATATGTAATATATAAAACAAGCACTGATATTATCCTTACACATTGATAGAACTGTCCCCTGGTGCCTCCGGTGACAAACTTTTTGCCGTCAGGCTGCCAGGCTGCAGTGGTTAAGCTATCCTCTGGGGATTGGCTCATCTTTACCCTCAAGTCTCCAGTCTGTAATGGAAGTAAACAATATACACTACCTCACCAAGGCATGATTTGTAAATCCTATCGATGAGTAAGGTGACAAACCTTTACTATCAATTGAAGGCAGAACGATACAATAGCTCTTCCTTTGAGGGGTCCAGACATGCCTGACCGAAACTGAAATGCTGACTATAGCTGTTAGTGTTATTTCTTTATAAAACAAGGTCATGCAACTTGTAGATTTTAATATACGTTACATAATTTAATGGAAGCATGTAAGAAGGACATATTATTCTTGATATATTGTTATTTATTCTTCAAAACTGTATATATTTTAGCTCTGCCAATGGTTCGGTCCAAGTGCGTTCGTTTATCATGGAATATTTCTGCGCCACCTGAACCATTTCAACTAGGATACACGAATGTTACCTAAATATCATTGATTACGAAGGTGAAAATTAAGCTTTTAAAAGCTATTCTTGAAAAAGTGGCCACATTTAATTACTCTGGTTTATTTATTTATAGCCCCCAATAACACTGTCTACCTCTGCATTCCAGAGCCAAAGATCAGAGCAGTCATCTGGGCCACACGCTATGATGTGTGTACCGTCAGGACTCCAAGCAATATAGGACACCCCATAGGAATGACTGTCTAGGCTCTTCATCCGTGTCAGCTCATATGTCACCTAAAACATGACAAAAACACACAGTCAGTATAAACCCCACTCAGTATAAATGTTATGGTTATTCCATAATGTATTGAATGGGGGAGGTGAGAGTTACCTTTATTACTATTTATTATGGGTGTGGGGTTAAAACCAGATCTGCCTGACTTTCCTTATATTAAATCACTTTTAAGATTTTGTAGTGACGGGCAATCGGTTTATAACCATTATCGATAATCTGTTTGTAATTAGAAGTAGTAAACTGATCGATGATCGATTGCATAATCGGTTTATAATTTTTTTGGACTGATTACCTAAATAAAGTGAGAACATTACTATTCAATCAATAGACAGAGTTGTTAACTAAACAATAGGTTTCATTCTTTTATACTGAATGGATATCAAGCAACTTTTATGTATTTTTATCAATCATATAGTATAAATCATAACAATCTCAAAGCATACTTTACATGGAAGATCTTTAAATATTTTGATTTCAATGATGAACAGATTATATCGATTACAGAATTTGTAATCCATAATCAGAATCGGAAATTGTCAAACTAACTGATTTTCGATTATGATCGATCACTTTTATAGATGTCTGGGTCTCAGAAAATGTTCCTCCCACCCCTCCCCTACAGTTAACTCTGGAACAGCCCTTACTTAAAACAGGTCACATGTAAACAACATAAATCTGATGGACGGTCGTCTTAATAAGGGGTTGTTTGGTTGGTCAGTCACGACTTATTCTGTAAAATGTTATGGTCAGACTTTTTTTATTAATCAACTGTCACAAGAAAGTAGGTCCATATCTTAAAGGCACATTTTTCAAACTCAGAAGGCTTTTAGATATCTTTGAATTATAATTTTACATATCTGTTCTAAAGCAGTCAATACAGATGAACTTATATGTATACAGTTGAATCATATTTGGATTCTTCAATCTATAAACAGCAGGAAAATTAAGCTTTGACAATGCTGTTGCAATGTTTGCCTATGAAAAGCACTGATTTTGTGGAAACTTCTTTACATGTATAAATTTAGTTCAACATAACTGAACAAGACAATTTCCTGTGGAAATCCCTGCAAAGGTGGGTCATGCAACCTTTTTTAATATATACAACACTAATTAACATGACAACCAACAGTCACAACCATTTTTTAATATTAGTTTTGTGGTAGAAAACAGTATTACCATGTCTAGTTCCCAGATGATCAGTGAGCCATCTTTAGATCCTGTAGCAAGCTTTGTACCATCAGGAGAAAATCGGCAGAACCAAACTTCGTCACAGTGCTCATTGAGAACCTGTATGGTGGTGGACGGGAACTGCTCTCTGTAAACACGAACACCACGTTACCACCAAGATATTAAGTTGTTAAAATTAAGGTATCTGCAGCATTACCGTGAAATATACCTCCTTTCCATAAGGGTTTCAGGCCACAAATTTATTGTTATTAGGTATCTGTCATGAATGGTAATTGGTTTGGTTCTCATTTGACAGGTTCACAAGAATGCATGCCTTGTTAAGACTGTAGGTATTTCTGAATGAGAAAATGCTTATCGAAAGGGATCTAAAGACAGAAAATGTCTTCACATACCATAGGTACAATGTGTAAGTTAGCAGATATATCTATATGTTACATTTAATGTATCAATTATAAGTTGATACCTTACTATGTATGAACTTCTCATATCTTCAATTTCCATAATATATTGTTCTGTATTCAAATAGTGTACTTAAACTTGAAAAGACAGAAAAATTACATTAAAACTATAAAAGGCAGCTTGTCTCAATTGGATATCAAAAAACAGAATATGTGCATAATGAAAACTATAGCCATCAGATAATGACTTCTCCCTTTAATAAAGCGCACTAACATGGTTAAAAATTTCTACCTATATTTCCCTAAGCATTGATGTGATGGTTTGTGTTTGTATATGAGGACAGGAAAGTGCTAACCTGCTACAGACATGGTCTATGAGGAGGGAAACAGCATCAAGATTGCTGTCGAACTTTGTGTTGTGGTAGGGACATTTGTCCTTCTGCATCTCAACAGCTTGGTTTAGTAATGTCAGCAACCGGCGAGGTGGTAACATCACAGTTGGTGGCAAGAATGCTGCAAAACAAATCAAGAAATGGCACCAATAGATGAAACTGGAAACTGAGAGAACAAATTCAACTCTTTTTTTTATCTATTTATGTATTGCCGTACATAATGAGAGATTTAATATATACGGATTATCAAAAGATATAAGGTTATGCATGAAAAGAATTCTAAAAGAGTGACATTTCTTTCCAATGAGAACCCAAAACATGGAGCATAGATAAATATTTAATTCAGTATATTTTATATGAAAATTAACCTTGTTAATATTTTAGAAAGCTGTTATAAAATTTCCCTTTAACCTTTGATCATCTTTAAGTTTAATCTTCATCAGTAAATAAAACAAAGAAAAAGAGTGGCAACTTTTGTAGCATGGTTTCCATAAAATATATTCTTCTTTTACTTAGTTGCAGACATGTTTCAGTATCCATATACATGATAACAAACATCTAATTACTTGCTCTTGATACTCTGTTTATACATACACTGAAGCTTTTCCACAAGCCTGGTTCGAGACTCTATACCCCTCCCTTGCCACTCTGCTGTTTCCCGTAAATCTTCAGGGTTACAACACATCATGTACCTGAAGTCAATGGGAATTACACATAAGTAAGACATTACGTACCTGTCAAACATAAATGTCAAATCAGCTTGTCCAGTATCTGAAATAGATAATACACTAACCTATGCTGAAGTATTTTGATGGAGCTCATCATGTATTTCACCTCATAGACAACAATTGTTGACGCATTAAAAATTTTAAAGATCTCTTTGATGTAAATATACCTGGTACAGATATACAAACATAGGCGGTTGTTTGCCTTTTCTCACATACACGATAGCTAAGGATCGGTGAAGCTTATTCTAATGCCTGGCAATTCGAAAAATGTACAGCATCTATTCGTTTCAAAACTTATAAACATGAAACTTTTTTATTTCATGTTAGCATCTTCATTTGTAATTAAGGATTGTTTAAAGATTAAAATCAATGGCAAAACATTTTATCAGCTTTAAGAATAGCTGTAGAATATTTGTATTTACACACCCTGACAACACATGCACCCTTTCTGTGTTGAATTTAAGGGGAGTGAGCTCATGTCTGAGACAATGTAAAGCGTCCATCTCCCGACCGTCTTCTAACAGCTCCAGATACTTCTGCTCCAATAACAGGAATTTCATCTTCTGTAAACAGAAAAAAATCCTATTCTCCTGTTTGCCTTGTCAATATCTAGCTCAAACTAAAATTAGTTTTTCATATAAATACATTTTTCACAGATTAGGCAAGTTATACAAGAAACTTTATGGGTGCAAAACTTGTGTAGGGGGCCTGTAGTCATACCTGTATTCCCTCTATGGAAAAATTTTGTGAACATATTTTTCAGATAATGCATTCTCATGTAAAGGCTAGATATAAAAAAAAATCACCCCATTTCTATTTATAGTTAAAAATGTATCACCTTTCTCATACTTACAGATATTCCTTGTGGACTATCAATCAGAGTTTTGAGTTCCTCCAGGTTTAGTTCTGCCTGTAACAATCGGCATGGGATTATGATTAAAACATCAAATGAATCTACCTTTCAGAAATCAAACCTTACCATTGCCTTACAACTCTGTCAGTTGCCAAGGTAATGATATGAAAGTTTAAATCATGTGTAATCAAACTTCACCATACTGACAAATCCATACATCTAAGGTGAAAATTAAGATAAATCTTTGCAAATCCTTCATCTCCATATAATGATTTTGACATAATGATATCATTTATTAGTGCATACATGTATAGATTTCAATGGAATTTACATCCTATGTTGGATATTACCTACTGGGATATTGCAAGTTAGCTATCATGATATACCGGTCATCGTGATGTACCAGTTATATCATGATGTACCTGTTATCATGATGTACCATCTATCATGATGAACCCGTTATCGTAAAGTAACAGATACCATGATGTACCTGTTATCATGATGTACAAGTAATCATGATGTACCAGTAATCATGATGTACAAGTGTTGTACAAGTAATCGCTATCATGATGAACCCGTTATCGTGAAGTAACAGATATCATGATGTACCTGTTATCATGATGTACCTGTTATCATAACCCGTTATCATGATGTACCAGTTATATTGAAGTAACAGATACCACGATGTACCTGTTATCATGATGTACAAGTAATCATGATGTACCTGTTATCATGATGTACCCGTTGTCATGATGTACAAGTTATCATGATGTACAAGTAATCATGATGTACAAGTAATCATGATGTACCAGTAATCATGATATAACAGCTATCAAAGATTACCATCTGCTATTAGAAAGTCAAATACCCTGGCCAAATTCAAGATGGACATCAAATCTCACCTCTTCACGTCTGCATTTTTAGGCTCTTTACAAAGACGTCATGTACAACCACCCTATATTTATTCATTTATGTGCACATTTCGATGACTATCTGCTTGCTTAATGTATAAAAGTTATTGTAAACCTTTGTTTTTGTTTCACAATTATAACTTATTCTATTATCCATATGTTGTGAAGCGCTTTAGAGTAATTTACAAATCATATCGGGCACTATATAAATGTTGTATAATATTATTATTATCATGATGTACCAATTATCGTAAAGTAACAGATACCATGATGTACCTGTTATCATGATGTACAAGTAATCATGATGTACCCGTTATCATGATGTACCAGTTATCATGATGTACCCGTTATCATGATGTACCCTTTATCATGATGTACCTGTTATCATGATGTACCTGTTATCATGATGTACCCGTTATCATGATGTACCTGTTATCATGAAGTAACAGATACCATGATGTACCCGTTATCATGATGTACCAGTTATCATGATGTACCCGTTATCATGATGTACCCTTTATCATGATGTACCAGTTATCATGATGTACCTGTTATCATGATGTACCCGTTATCATGATGTACCTGTTATCATGAAGTAACAGATACCATGATGTACCCGTTATCATGATGTACCAGTTATCATGATGTACCCGTTATCATGATGTACCCTTTATCATGATGTACCAGTTATCATGATGTACCATTTATCATGATGTACCCATTGTCATGATGTTCATGAAATCATGATGTACAATTAATCATGATGTACAAGTTATCATGATATACCAGTAATCATGATATATCAGTTATCATGATGTACCCTTTATCATGATGTACCTGTTATCATGTTGTACAAGTAATCATGATGCAGCTGTTATCATGATGTACCAGTTATCATGATGTACCCGTTATCATGATGTAACCTTTATCATGATGTACCAGTTATCATGATGTACCCATTATCATGATGTACCCGTTGTCATGATGTTCAAGTAATCATGATGTACAAGTAATCATGATGCACAAGTAATCATGATGTACAATTAGTAATCATGATATACCTGTTATCATGATGTACAAGTAATCATGATGTACCTGTTATCATGATGTACAAGTAATCATGATGTACAAGTTATCATGATGTACATGTTATCATGATGTACCCGTTATCATGATGTACCCGTTATCATAATGTACCAGTTATCGTGAAGTAACAGATGTCATGATGTACCCGTTGTCATGATGTACCCGTTATCATGATGTACCTGTTATCATGATGTACCAGTTATCGTGAAGTAACAGATGCCATGATGTACCCGTTATCATGATGTACCAGTTATCATGATGAACCCGTTGTCATGATGTACCAGTTATCATGATGTACCAGTTATCGTGAAGTAACAGATGCCATGATGTACCCGTTATCATGATGTACCAGTTATCATGATGAACCCATTGTCATGATGTTCAAGTAATCATGATGTACCATGCCATAATACCAGTCACCATGATGTATCCATTATCATGATGTACCAGTTATCGTGATGTACCCGTTATCATGATGTACCCATTATCATGATGAACCAGTTATAATGATGTTCTAGTTATCATGATATACCATAATACCAGTCATCATGAATTGATGTACCAGCTATCAGTATGTACCAATATCACGATGTTCCAGTTACCATGATATACCAATTAGCATGATGTACCACTACCAGTTATCATAATGAACCAGTTATCGTGAAGTAACAGATATCCTGATGTACCAGTTACTGTGATTAACCATTATAACTGATAGATCACAATAACCAGGCTCTAAATAATATAATGTACAGTACATAATTTAATCTTGCAAATCTCAAGTGCTTTACATTGTAGTATATAACTACAATCGCATACCTTTGTCCATTCTCCATTCATTACATGAGAACGAAGTTTGGCAGCAGCAGGATGCTCCAACATACATCCTGATTCAGAAATAAGTTGCTCAGCAGTTTGGCTGAAAAAAGGAAAACTGGAACTTAATATTTGCATTTTAAAATAAAAAGTACTGTGATGACAGAGTTGATAATATATATCCTTAACACTTTACTGTTTCAGTGAGTGGTTTGAACTATAAATTGTACATCCATGAAAGGTAGACCGACGTATTAGTAACAATGACATCAGCAATTATTCTGACCTGTCTATTAAAATGTTATCAACTGAACAGGTTGGGCACAACCCCACATATGGGTAAAAATCCTGCATACGGCTAACAGTTACCCATGTCAGTAATAATTTTATTACAGAAATGGGTAATAAAGTGAAATAAAAACACACAAAGTTCTTTTACACACTTTGAACAAAAAAGGGTGTCATTCTTTCAACATAATCAAATACAAAATACAATGAGGTACAATTGTGTACAAAAATATGTAAATTCAGTTGTCTAAATTTTTGTGAGTATGACGACATTGTATCACCTCCATTGCTTATAGTGTGTTGTCAAGTAGCTATAAATAGCACACATACAAAAATCATGCTCACCTGTCACATTTGCACTGGATAGTCCCATTGACTACACACTGAAGTCAATGGAGAACAAAGTCGGTGATATGGTTTGTCCTTTTCACAAAAAGTTAGACATCAGATTTGATAAATTTTTGTGCACAAATGTACTTCATTGCCTTATTTATTTGATTTAGTTGACAGAATGACGCCCTTTTTTGCTCCAAGTGTTTAAAAGAACTTTGCGTGTTTTTATTTCACTTTATTCATTTTCAGTAATAAAATTGTTACTTAAATGGGTAACTGTTACCCAAATGCAAGATTATTACCCAATACGTATGCGCCGTTGTGCCCAACCTGCTGAAGACGTTAAACTTTATTTTTTATGCAGATGTTCTGATACAGCCCAAATACCATGGTTACAGTTACTCTCTGCTGTTTCAATTTAATTAAATAATCAATTAATGAATTTGTTAATTCTTATGCAATCAATATACTGTGATAATTAATGAAAATATACAACATATGTATAATTGTAATTGTTTGAAGTTAAACTGGTGATCTTCATGATTATCTCATCAAGTAATGAGAAATGCTCTATCCATGCATGACATTCACTGAAGTAGGAATGCCCGACATACAGTAGGGCAACCGGGATATGTACACAAAGAAATCAGCTGATCCATTAACACATTTTTTATTTTTTTTGTTTTAATCCGAAATTCATCAACAGAATTTTCATTTCACCACGGAATTACTCAATATTGAAACACTACGACACAGATCTTAGCTCTCTGGCTTTTTATCTGTGTGACACGTTTCTGTAAATCCTGTTAGTAAACAAAGCAAAAGACAGACGGTTTTTACGCAGCCGTCTAAACTGAAAGAGCTCCTTACTTCAAACCAAGTCCTCTCAAATGCTGCACAATCAATCGGACGATATCTTGGTCAGTTTGTGACATTGATTTGGGAGGTACGGGCTTGTCTAATTCCCCATTTGTGAGAGAGGCACACGTTCCGTTTTGCTGGGAAGTTGTTGCTATCTCAGTCGCTCCATTGTGCTGGGGGCAGCCATTAGCCTGCATGTTAGTGGCAGAAAATCGCTGCTTTTTCCGCGGTGGGGGCGAAACTCCACCGTCTTCTGAACCTGACGAGGATGCCAGTATGTCTCGAATGAGTTCGTATGTGAATATTGTTGATTAAACCCATGCAAAACGGCCCACGACTGATCAAAACATAGGTCCTCTCTCACCTCACTTCGACGGTGACCAAATTTGTTTTGCTTGATGACGTCAGGATTCGTGAATGATGGGAAATTTTTCCAATTTCATCCACCCGGGAAATTTAACTTGTTGCACAGTCACCAACTTTATTAACGAGCGATATTTTGCCAAAGACTAACAAATTCATATATTTTTGTATCAATCGGCCACAAACAGTTCAGGTGGAATTGATAACCATGTCTTTTTTTCTGTAAAATAAAGTTGAAAGTATCTGCTGAAGGTTACAGAGGCTGACAACTGCACCACCTCAGCACCTGATCAGGCCCTAAATTAGAATCCTAATTGAAATCCTAATACAGTGGCGGATCCAGAGGGGTTTTTTGGGCTTCAGGAAACCCCCCCACCCTGAGAATTTTCTTTAAAAATCATATATTTTGACCATTTTCCTCAATTTTTTCCAACATGGAACCCCCCCCCCAGGAAANGCCTATTATCACGGAATTAGATTGCTATCTAAGTCCGTGCTTATATTTAAACTTTAAAGGATCTTTTCGACAAATACATGTGAACGTATGCTCTGCCAAATAAATACCATTGAAAACTGTTGTCTCTTNAGAAGAATCTAGATAGCATCATATTATCACGGAATTAGAATAGATTGCTATCTAAGTGCGTGAATTTAAAAAAATCCTTTTTGTTTTAAAACTTGTTTGCTTTCTCCAATATCACTTTATAATTTAATCTTGTTTGTTACAAGTAATTTCATCAGCTTAAAAAAAAATGTTATCAGCCCATAGCGTATATACACCTCTGAGAATTAAGTCAAAAAATTCCTGTATTAAACTTTTTTTCTTATATTGATTTTTGGAAAAAGGAGATAATGGCATAGTAGAAAAAGCTAAAATATATATGTCCGTGTGTTCGTTTTTGTGCTATGATCGGTCAAAGATACCAATTTAACACAATAGGTGACTTTAGGTGAATTTTCGGGTTTTGACCATTTGCAGAACAAATTCAAAATTAAACGCTTGATATAAAACATTCCTGTATTAAACTTTTTTTGGTATTCAATGAATCAAAAGAAAATGTGTTTCTCTTTCTAAAACAGCCACAAAAATGGGGGGTCGGTGTGCTTCTTTTTTTGTCCAATTATTATTTGTGTTATTTTTCACCTTTTTCGAGGTCAAAAATCAAAAGTGCTTCAGTTACCCTAATATGTAAAAAAAATACCAATAACATATAGCTGTCCACTTTCTTGCATATTATTTTAATCAAAGTGAACATTATAAAGTTGTACAGCAATATTGAACCTGCTACATTTAAAAATGGTGACACAATGACAATTTAAGTGATTAATCTAGTGTCAAAAAAGGTGAAATTTTGCCCTTTGTGAAGGGCAAAAAATTCACATAAATAAACTTTTTCAAAATGGCCGCCAAATTGGTCATTTTTTTCAAATTCTTGTAAAAATAATCTACACACAACAGACATCTAGTTTTTTGACATGTTTTTCAGATCTGTGTTTGCTATTAAACCTATCATAATTTGTTAAATATTACAAAAACCCGTTACACCAGATCAAAATGAGACTTGAACGTGACTGAAACCTCAGAAGAGTACATCCTTAAATATATACCATAAAGGAGACTCAGTACCTTACTTCTATGTCATAAACAAGTCCTAACAGTACTTTTGGGGGTATTTTTTGTCAGAGACGTATAAAGCGTGTAAGTATATAGGCCTATAGATATGTCTCTGGGTTTTTTTTACAAGGAGACAAAAGCCACACTTTTCTTTTTTTTCTTTTTTTCTTTTTCTTTTTTTTGGGGGGGGGGGGTGTCTTATCAATATCATATAGATCTATGTCATTGTTCTTTTGCCTTCTTTTGCCATATGTTATTTTCATAATAAATTTGTTGGGAGTAAGAAAACATCCTGGCGAAGTTCCAATGTTACAAGTTTAGACAAAGTCGCAGCGCGAAAGGATTGCTTCTTTTCTTCATCTTTTTCAAAAACATATATGTCTAGAGGATCTGTCATAAGTTTCCCTTCATATTAAGAGTTATGATACAAGTTTTGTATTTTTCATAGGCTCGCGAGAATATGAAAAATCCAAAACGAGTATCATAAATCTAATATAAAGGGAAACGAGTGACAGATTCTTTTTATCATATAATACAAAGTAAACTGTATAATTGTGATCTGAAACGAAAATATGTTAAAAGCATCTGCTTCACAATGATGTGACGTCACATTGATTGTTCCTATTCGCTTGTGACGTCATTTCCGGAGTGATATTACACACGTTACACAAACATAAATTATGTGATGGCTTTATGACACTGCACTACACGGTATTCATATGATTTAAGGATTAATTAACTTGAATATATTTTTCATGTTATGGAGATATAACACAAAAAAACGGAGTGTAATCTAAATAAAACGCGAATCGGTTTATGATGAGAGTTCACTCCAGTTTTTTGTGTTATATAGCTCCAAAACATAAAAGTCAATCCTTATAATTTAATCTACTATACACAATCCCTGTGGAAATCCACTCTTATTGATGAACTCTTTTCTCTTAGAAATTATTACGCCACTGTATCAGCCAATCAAAAGCGACGTTACAAACGGCAACGTCATTTTTTTTACGTTATGGGCTGTTGCAAACAAGATTGAATTATAAATATATATACGTAACCCCATAATACAGAGTTATTGCCCTTTGTCCATATTTTATAGTTTTGTCTGAAGCATAACTTCTTTGCTGTATCAACTATGTTTGCCAAGCTTAGTACACATGATGCATTTTGGCGAGAGCTATGTTTGGCATCCATTTTATATTGAATGTCCACATATGTATTGAGATATGGCCCTTCTTATCCTATGTTTGCCCACAGACTTAGATAATCTAATTCTGTGGTTTGCCTAAACTTTTTATCTTTAGTAGATAAGATTTATGCTCATTTTCTTTTGAATGACACTCTTCTTTTTAACACCTTCAAAATTAAAACAAAATGTTTCACTTGAAATACTATTTTTACACTCATAAAGTATTCTCCCCATTTTTTTCTTCTTCTGATCAGATTCAATATTTTATTGAATTTATTCCCTATAGTCAAAAGGTTATCACCAGGGCAGGGGCCCTGGATTTGAAAATCGTTAAAAAAAAAATACTTATCAATGGGGTTTCTCATTCATTGTTCCCCATTCCTTTGATTTGATCGTTTATGCATAATTCTTTAAAAATCAGTTTTTAATCAGTGTCATTTTTGTAATACTAATATTTTTTACTTTACACAGAAACACAGATATGCATATATAAATAAAATTTAATTTTGTGACGGTAAAAATGACAAAACACAAAAAAAAACACAAGAAGACTAATTACAAAGGCATTTGGCTGTTTCACAGTGCTTTAGGAGAAGGAAGTTTGTCATTCAATTTGTTATTATTGAAGGCCTCATAGTTCATTAGAGTACATGCATTGTTTGAAGATTTCAATAGAGCAAACATGATATCCCTTTTACACAAGCAACTAAGCTACATGTCTTACATCATGAACCAAGGCCTTCTGGTATTAGAGATGGATTTATGGAAGATTTTAGAACGTTTGACCCTTATGTACTTTTATAATAATTTTTACTAGGAAAATGTTTTCTTTTATTTCATGCCATGAGAGATAAAACCTTCAATGACCTCAAAATTCAACACATTTCACTCCTGTGTCCTTGAAAGTTGGTAATTACTATTCATTTAAACAAACTTAATTGATAGCTATTCACCACAGCAATATAGAAATCAAAATTTATGACTGTATATTTCATAATGGTTTATTCCAGTAAGTCGCATGGTTATTGTCATGGACCTAGAGTCCTTCTGGTATAGACAAGTTGTTTGAAGGTTGAATTTAATGTTCTTAGCCCCTGTGTCCTATGTGTCAAGATTATTTATTTAATAGCCTCCACTCTTGCAAGCTACAGACCAAATATTATAATGCGCTGCCTCACAGACCATTAAAAGTAATTGTATGAATATTTAAAATACTCTTTGTAAAAACAACTGAATATCTTCCCTTTTTAAATTGAGAAGATATTTGTTTCAGACTATTGACCTCTGTGACCTTGACAATTGGTTTTATTCATTTATATAAACAAACATGATAGCCATTCACACAAGCGACAGGTCAAATATGGTATCATTCTTTCTGAACATCATGGTTCATAAAAAGCATTTTTATATTGTTACCACAGGATAACTTGAATGTGGGTCATGGTGATTCAAGAAATATGGCAGCCATCACTTCAGCAAGGAAGATTTCAAATGTCTTGACCCTAGACTTTAAGGTTCTGACAGACTTCTTCTTCTTCTTCTTCTTTTCTTTTTCTTCTTCTCCTTCTTCTTCTTCTTCTTCTTCTTCTTCCAATTCTTGAGTGGGCATCCCAAGGATGGTTCAACACTCTGAGCGCATGCCGGTTGGCGGTTAAAAACCTCTTGGGCAGTATATACAATTAAAATTCTAGAGTACAAACTTATCCGGAGAAGGCCTTGTGACCTGCTGGAAGGCTGTCCAGCTTGGTCTTAAAGGACGCCGGGGTTGGGGTAGTCACCGTCTCAGGTGGGAGGCTGTTCCACTGCTGTGCTGTTCTGGGGAAGAAGGATTAATTGGAACATTCCTTATTTGCCTGTACTGCACGTAGCTTAGTAGATCTTCTTGTTCTTGTGTCAACACTTGAGGTATATTTATCAGCTGGGATATCCACCAGGTCATTCTGGATCTTGTACATCATGGTCAGCCGAGCTTTGGGTCGTCGTAGCTTCAGACTTTCCCATCCAAGTTCTTGAATGTTGTTGGTGACTGTGCCTGGTGTATATGTGTGGTACTCTACCGTGACAAACCTAGCTGCTGCTCTCTGTGTCTTCTCAATGGTGCTACTCAGGTTGGTTGTTGCTGGGTCCCATACTGTTGAAGCATACCCTAAAGTTGGTTGCACAATGGTTTGATAGGCAGCTTCCTTGACAGGCTTCTTACAATTCCGTAAGTTCCTCTTGATGATTTGATGTTGTTGACATGGTCATTCCACCGTAGGTCTTCACTTACGGTCACTCCGAGGTACTTGCTCTTCTCCTCCCTCTCAAGAATGTGGCCGTGAAGAGTATAGTTGGTGATTATAGGGCGCCATTTGTTGCCAATATGCAGTACACTTTTTCGGATGGAACGACATCTGCCAGATGTGCTCCCATCTTTCCAAGGTTGTCAAGACGACAGATGCAGCACCATAACATCAGTTCATAGGAAGTGACACTTTATCACTTTATGCCAAGTGAATCAAAAATGTGTTGAACTGTTCCCCAGAAGAGCATTCTTAGCATTTTCGAATAAAAATCACATAACAATTATATGCAGTAATATTTTATTGAAAAATTGGAATGAGTTTAAAGTCAATCAATGACATATATCAATGACAGGATGTTATAAAATAGGCAGTAATAGTAAAAAACTACATTTCTAAAAAAATGCAATTACTAGAGAATGAGTGGTGATGAACCCTACCAGATTTCAAAATGATGAACACACATGAGGGACAAGTTACATGAACAAGACCGTTTTGCTTAAAAAGGGAAATCACTCTGCAAATTAACAATTATTTGCATCGGTAACAACTATATTGCATACAGATAAACGTTAAGAATTACAATGAAACATATGCAGCACTCTCTTTTCCGGTTTTTAAACAATATCTTTATTATTAATATCCCAAGATATATTGCTAAACAACTTTATAACAGCAAAATCTCACAGGCAGAGGGTGACACACTGCCGTGACGTGGGTCGAACTCGCAACCCTTCGGTCATGAGCCCGGCGTCGTACCACTAGACTACCATGTCTCCTACTTTTACTGTATTCTTCACTTTTTAAAAACAGATAAGACACCCAGCATCCAGGTAACTCCCCCATACCTCCAGGCAAATCCAGACCAGACTTCGCTTCTTGGGTATAAATCTTGGCAAACTCTTCATTATTAGGTAATGCTAATCTAATGCTTCATATGGGAGGTGAATCCAACACAAATCACAGTCATAAGTGTAAGGTAGTATATACAAATGTATCAAAATGTCATATACACATTCATCCAATTAAGATTATCATATTAGCAAGTACACATACATGTACCAAACTCCACAAGACCACCACCACCACCACCGAGTAGTAAATGTCATGTCACAATAACCTTCCTGCTATATTAATAATGAGAGAGCACCTGTACTTTGACAATATATGACTGAAGTTTTCTACAACAATTTTTTTTCTTTCTATTTTTATGTTGGCTGTGAATGCCTGGAATTATGACAGTAAATATTAATATTTTCAGGCAGATAGATCTGACATCAGTTATATTTACATTACGTTCTGTTTAAGTTAACCCTAAGCTTTTCTATTTTATAGCATCCTTAATGAAAAGTGAAGGATTTTTAAGTATCGAAGTGTACAACTATTGACATTATTAGGCTCTATTTTGTCTGCAATCAAATACCAATACCACAGACTTAGATAACTAATCTAATTTCGTGCCAATACCTATAAACATTCTTCTCTATCATTAAAATTTAACAGTTACCCTTTAAAGGTAAAAGAATAAATCTACTGCAGGCCCACAGATTACTGAATCAACAGAATAGATTACCAATTTGCATATGTATTGAGATATCAGAGTCAAATTTTTCTTGTTACTTTTACAGCAAATATTCATTTATCTTTCATTGTAACGACAAAATGTTATAATATGACTAATAAGTAACAACCTAATTCAGGTCAATTAAATAATGAGACAATATCCAGAGAATGTTCTACATATGAGTACACTGTAACCTGTACTAACTATGACATACACATGAAGACAAATCTGGTCGATATTCCCAGTGATTTCCCCAGAAACCTGCACACAGAAATCCACCAGGTCCTTTCCATCCAAAGTCTGGCCCTGTCACCACATAGTCGGGCAGTAGATTGGAAAACTGTGAAGAAAACCATGAATCAGAGTTAACTATGAATAGCATGTCAATTGTGTATTTCAAAATATCACATATCAACTGTGTAAAACAGTGTTTGTGAAAGGTCAGACTTACTGGTGACCTTGTCATGGGAGGAATGGTAGGTGTGGCTAGAGACACTACATCCCTCAGACCCTCTATAGAGTTAGCTGACAGGAACATCACCAAGCCATCCTTCTGTGTCTTGTGAGGGGCAAGTGTCATCAGACCACTCCGAGGCTCAGCAAATTTACAATCCCCAAGTTTTATCACTGAATCTGCACAGAAAGACAGACTGTGTACAGAGATGTATAATACGTCTCTGCTGTGTATCACAGAAATTATCGTTTTTTTCTAAATTTGTTATTTTACTTTTTATTTTTTGTAATGTTATAACAAAGTAATCATCTTTTATCAACACTATGTATTTCAACCTATCCTTTACAGTGATATCACAACTGTAAGAACTGTTTTCCAGAGCAAGAAACAAAATAGTATGAAATTAAAACCAGAAATCAAATGAATAGGTAATGGGAAGGTAGATAAATGCCTTTTACCTGTTGAAGTTAGGTCAGGAAGCAATTCTAACGCTCCAAGTATGGTAGGTAACAGGCTTAAGATAATCAGGTTACTTTCATCTAGATAAAAAAAATCACATTAAATACATGTATATTTCCCATATTAGGTAGACCTTAAACTCTTTTGGCCCATACATAAAGGAAAACATTAAATTGTATACCAGGTAGACTGTTTATGTCCAAACACCATATCCTATCTCCGAAAATATAAGCTACTTCTATTCTAATAAATAGCCATTAACATCATCAAATTGATTAGGAAATGTCTTAATTAAGAATTACCAACTACTTTGTTTCATTTGGTCAGCTCCAGGTAAGTACAATGTTCAAAAAAGAACATTACATTTACTCATATGTGGTAATTGAATAGATTTAAAGATGAACCTACCTATGGTTTTGTCTGTGACATCACTTAGTCTCACTATGGGAGCGAATGTATCAGATGTTAGGAAGAACAGATTAGCGATGTAAACAGCCAGACTCTGGATCTCAACGCCATACTCAGAATCCATATCTGCAAGTCATCAACATCATGGGTTTTTATGCTGTATTAATCTAAATCCCAAATAAGAGTAAGGGCTTAGTCTTCATGTACATTTTACATTGACAATGCAAACAAAAACCTAAACTGTAGAGTACAGTGGGATGTAAGATTACAATGAATATACAATAAAATTACCATTACTGATATGAGGAGTCCAACTCCTGACCTCTTGATTAAACACCAGGGAACTTAGTCTACTGCACTACTGGAATTTTGTTCATACGTTTCAGCAAAATCATTTGAAATATTTTCAAGATGTTTTAACTCACTAAAATGGTCACAACTTAAAGTACTGGGTAGTCTTTTTATGAATATTGAGAAAATAGCAAAAGTTTATCAGGGAAATAACTTTTCAATGCCTGTACATATATGCATATATATATATATATATTTCTTTCAAGTATGCAACTGCAAGACAGAAAAATCCTGAAAAAATTGGAACTCTTCCTTATTGGAGATATTATAGAGAATGCTAAGACTCTAACCTTAAAACATTTGTCAACTCCCTAAGACATTACAATCCACCACAAAATGTAAATAGAATTAGAGACTGTATAATTACCTATAACAATAACGAATGGTCGCTCTGCTACTCGTCTTGCAGGTCCATAGGTCGTGGCCTTTCTCCCTTCCACATCACACTGTACCCAATCACCTGCAATACAGAATAGTGTAAATCATCAGTGCTTAGTTAACATATTCAGAAACTTTTACAAAATGATTGAAAGTTACTATAGTTCAGATGTTCTAATATATGAAATTATATCCTCAAAACAACTTTGAAATTCTATTCATTAGGTGAATTTGAATAAATATATTCAATGATTTTCACTGTTTGATTTAAATCATATGAAATGAACACAATAATGCAACTGTAAAGGAAGTGTTTCTGTTACAATTTCTCACCAAAATATCTACTTTTTCATTGTAGAATAGCAGTTCTTCTCCAAAATATATGTTACAGAAAATGTTTTGACAACCTTGCAGATGTACACATGAGCTGTCCTCACCTTTTTTATTACAAAAAAGCACACCATCAGTCTCAAACTTGTTTGTATCTTGAATGTCCACAACAGTGTCATCAATCTTTAAAAGAAAATAATCAGCACTGATTGGTAAATATATATTTTACCAGTATACCTTGTTAAAAATATTCTATTTTAAAATGTGCCAGATAGTCACCAAAGACAATTTGTCATTTTGACCTTCATAACCTTCACATCTTGCTAACACTGACCTTGAGCACTTTGTTTTTCCACTCCATCCTTCTTATCTTCGGTTCCATCATCAAAAAAGATCGAACATTGGTTGTCTTCAGCCAAAATTGGTCATTTTTTGTAAATCCCTGAAATGAAATAAAAAGAAAGTGAACTTTCTTAGATCTTCTGTTCTTATGATGAAAAGCCTTTAAAGTGGAAATTCTATGAAAAGAATGTTAATAATAAAATCAAGAGTCTATATTAATTCATTGTTCTTAGTCATCCTCATAAGAGATGAGTAGAATTAACAGTTGATATTGTGAGGATGGTTCTTGATATTTTCACACAGCAAACTGCTACACTGTAACAGTAAAGTTAATATTATAAACCCATAAAGATTGGTTTATAATACCTATGACTATTTCCACATTTTTTTTACAACTGATAAATATCCAGCAAAAATAAGTGACTGTCTTAACTCTATATCCTACCCAATCTGCTTGATGTCACTTTATTATTGAAAATACATTTTTGCAGTTATTGATGAGGAGAATCAATTGCGAATCAAAATAAAACCTTGCAAAACTTAATTCAAACACATTTAAACAAGGTTACCGCGAAGGGGTTCATTAAAGTACGCCCATCACACATTTAATGAGTAGCTGTTTGCACCATTGAAAGATATGAAATATTTGTGAGTAATTAAGTAGTTGAAGGAGAAATAATTCAACATACCTGGTAGATCAATGAGTGCAATACAACATTTTGGAATGGATGTAGTACTGTATTAATGAAACCAAGGGGAATAAGTCTATCAATTTTTGTCAGATAATTGTGATTACATTCTCACCTCTGATTCAGGGGGTATAACTCTGTAAATTACCGTTTGATAATGGTGGTTTTCCAACTAAGCTCTCATGAAAGCTCTCTTTTGAAAACCACTCAAGATATAGAGCGTACAATGTTTCAGCAATTGAATAAAGGGGCATTACTCCCTATACTACTGTCGCTTAACGACGGTTATCAAACTTCTTCGAGGTTTCAAGTCATTAACCTACTCCTGAAGTTATAAGTTAATCTTTTGAAAATTACTCAAGATATCAAACAGACACTGTTTCAGCAACTGATTAAAGGGGAATAACTCAGCAAATTAAAGTCTGATAATTAAGGAATTTAAGTGATCAAACTTGTCTGAGCTTTCATGGTAATCTATTTTCCTATGAAGTTTGAAGTTAATCTGTAGAAAAGTACTCGAGATACTGAGCAGACACTGTTCCAGCAATTGTTCAAAAGGGCATAACTCAATTACAGTCTGATAATGATGGTTATCGAACTCGTTCGAGCTCTTATCTTCCAATGAATATTGAATTTAATTTGTTGAAATTTCTCGAAATATCCAGCGGATACCGTGCATGCCCACCCAACATACTATGTCCCGACTTTCGCGGGCATATAAAAAATTAATGAGATGTTCTTCCCATCAATTCAAATGTCATTTGTACAATCAAGAATTTAAAATAAATGAAATTGTAATCAACAAAATTAACTGATACAAAGCATGTAGTCCAAACTAAAACTTAACATCACAACAATGCTACATCATAGGTCTCATTCTGTAATATATTATATACTATACTAGAATATTTTAATGTTTGAAGTTATTAACTCTTGAATGACTGCCCTCACTTCTATTGTACTGAGGCGAAGTGGTGCCCTCTGCTGGATGATCTGTAAACCATTGAGACCCTCCCCTAGGGCTGGGTTGTAGCAGGTGTAGATAAACTTTTCCTCCCTCTTCAATGTATATTTATTGTCCTTTGCACGGTCACAGCCCTCACTATCACAGCTGGCATCTGTCTGGGTAATACTATCTGTAAACTCCCTCAGTTGTCGGTCATTCACAACCCCGCCATCATTGGTTTCCCTGGAAGCGAAGAGGATTAATATGAACTGATGCGGCAAGCTATCAATGTATCTTTTCATACCTTTGAAATATATTTCATTAATCTTCTGCGCCCACTTATATATCCTGCTTTCCAAACACTAAAAGATATTCCATGTACATCTCATCTCTAGTACCAACTAACATACTTTGTCCCCAGTACCAACTGCATATCCTGTGTCCTGAATACCCACTCACATACCCTGTTTCCCCAGTACCCGCTGACATACCCTGTGTCCCATGTATCAACTGACATACCCTGTGTCCCCAGTACCCACTGACATACCCTGTGTCCCCAGTTTCAACTGACATCACCCTGTGTCCCTAGTACCTACTGACCTACCCTGTGTCCCTAGTACCTACTGACATACCCTGTGTTTCCAGTACCCACTGACATACCCTGTGTCCCCAGTACCCACTGACATACCCTGTGTCCCTAGTTCCCTCTGACATACCCTGTGTCCCCAGTACCCACTGACATACCATGTGTCCCCAGTACCCACTGACAAACCATGTGTCCCTAGTTCCCTACGACATACCATGTGTCCCCAGTACCCACTGACATACCCTGTGTCCCCAGTTTCAACTGACATCACCCTGTGTCCCTAGTACCTACTGACCTACCCTGTGTCCCTAGTACCTACTGACATACCCTGTGTCCCTAGTACCCACTGACATACCATGTGTCCCCATTACCCTCTGACATGCCATGTGTCCCCAGTACCTACTGACATACCATGTGTCCCCAGTACCCACTGACATACCATGTGCCCCCAGTACCCACTGACATACCATGTGTCCCCAGTACCCACTGACATGCCATGTGTCCCCAGTACCTACTGACATACCATGTGTCCCGAGTACCCACTGACATACCATGTGTCCCCAGTACCCACTGACATACCATGTTTCCCCAGTACCCACTTACATACCATGTGTCCCCAGTAACCACTGACATACCATGTTTCCCTAGTACCCACTGACATACCCTGTATCCCCAGTACCCACTGACATGCCATGCGTCCCCAGTACCCACTGCCATGCCATGTGTCCCCAGGACCTACTGACATACCATGGGTCTCGAGTACCCACTGACATACAATGTGTCCCCAGTATCCACTGCCATACCATGTGTCCCGAGGACCCACTGACATACCCTGTGTCCCCAGTACCCACTGACATCACCCTTTGTCCCCAGGACTCACTGCCATACCATGTGTCCCCAGTACCCACTGACATGCCATGTGTCCCCAGTACCCACTGACATACCATGTGTCCCCAGTACCCACTGACATACCATGTGTCCCCAGTACCCACTGACATACCATGTGTCCCCAGTACTCACTGACATACCATGTGTCCCCAGTACCCACTGACATGCCATGTGTCCCCAGTACCCACTGACATACCATGTGTCCCCAGTACCCACTGACATACCATGTGTCCCCAGTACCCACTGAAATACCATGTGTCCCCAGTACCCACTGACATACCATGTGTCCCACCACCAGTGTTCCTTGTCTGGCAGTTCTGTATAGTTGATCATGACTTGTATCTCGCTCAGTAGTCGGTACATCCTTCTCATGAAGAATGGGTGAACAGTGCGGTCATTTGCACCAATCCTGGCGAACACAGGGATGTCCTTCATGAAACACAAGGAAAGGTGTATGTCACTCTAAATGACTTGTAGTTCTTATGACAATTTATTTAATATTTGTGCCAAACTACCAACCAAAAAATACCAATCTGATATCTGCTACTTTGTACTATTGTCAACATAGAGTTCACAAGATTTTGTAAATGTATTCATTTAAAAGTGAGTGTTCAGATTAGACATTAAAACAACAATGTAAAAAGTGTGAGTACTGCATGGCAGAACAAAATACGCCTGTACCTTGCCTATTTGACTACTTTAAATCCATCTGATGTATTATTGTATCACCAAATGTATGAAAATATGGAAATGTAAAGAGATGTGACAGCAAAATGTGTACTGTATTACTCAGGAAAGTTGAAAACTATTCCTGGAATGAAGTGAAAGGAGAAGAGATACTGTAATTGACAACATATATTGAAGCTATATACATATTTCCTATTTCAAAATAAAATTATTTGCATAGGAATTGTCTCCCTTTGTACATATTTCAAACCAAGAAAATTGAAATTGAAATTGCCCCTTTTTGCCAATAATTGATTCATCTAACACCATTATAACCAAAAATATGTCTTGTGTTTATTAATTACAGGTAGATTTTGCTATTAAAAGAAGTATAAATGTTGACCAAGTCTTATCAGAAATCCTGTCATATTTGACAAAGTTATTGTGCAGAAACTATCAACCAATCAGAGCAGAGTATGCTTATAAATTATGTGTGATTTTTTTGCTCAACTTAGAACTTAGCATCAGTCTTTGTATAATGTACATGCATACCAATTTTCATCAAAATCAAACGATATTTAAGCAAGTAATCTGCGGAAACGCATGTTTGGAAATTGACCAAGGGAGCAAAGTATGCTATTAATTACCAGGGGTAGTTATGCAAGGATTTTGTTTACTTTGAACTAGGGGCTTAGACTTCGTATAGTGTACATGCATACCAAGTTTCATCAAAATCCAATGATATTTAAGCAAGCTATTTGGGGAAACCAAAGTGTGGACAGACAGACAAATGGACACTCCCAATACCATAATATGTCCCTTCATAATTTTTGACGGGCATATCAGAAATATTTTTTGTAGTGTTAAAGAATGATACTACTTGATGTATAATAAAACAATTTAGAGTTGAAGATAGTTAGCTCAAACCTATTTGAATGAAATAACCCTCAAAGTTAGCAAATTATCTTTTAATCAGGTAAGCTAATTACCTGTAAGTTGGTGACATGTCTATCAGCATCGTTCTCCGCTATACAGGCCTCCATCACAGATTTGGTGGCAGGATCAACATGACTTGTGGCTAAATCATGCCTGCAGTATAAACAGTAGATGTTAAAGCAACTACAATTTAACAACAACTTTTGATCAAGTAGTACATGCAATATAATAGATGTGATGACAGTTTTGTACAGAAACTGCCACCTAAAAAATGATCTGCTTATTACCGCTATGACTTTAAATTTAATATAATGGAATTTGAAACAAAATATGGTTTTAAAGACTAGGACAACTCATTAAGCCTGAAGATGTATTTCCAATGACGCCCCTGATTTTATCAACAAAGCATGTATCAGTATGATTCAGAAGCTTTCAATCCAAAGCAGACCTGAAGAAAAGGTTGCTGTCACCATATTCCTCCTTCTTGATCCATCCTGCAAGTGACAGCAACCCGAGGGCTCGGTCAGGGAAGTGTGTGGCTAGGTGCCATGCTCCATGTCCACCCATAGAGTGACCTAGAGGTAAACAGTACATACACATGTATTAGTACGCTGTATAACCAAAACATTCAGCAAATGACACCAATGGAAGAACTTGGTTAGGGAAGTTTGCGACTAGGTGCTGCATCTAAGGTCAACCCATAGAGTAGTCTAAAGGTTAACAAGTATATATTTATCCTGTTCATTAAGTTTTATCGACGGTAGGGATAACTGTAGCTACTTGCCAGCAAACAGTACCCTAGAGTTGTCTGCCTTTTCAGTGATCCATTCACAGGACTGAGTTAGCGATACCAGTCTGTCCAGAGCTGCTATAGCCGTGAGACTGCCAGGACCCTCCCAGTTGTGGGCACCATGTCTGTTTATACATAATACATGAACAATTACGTTCTAGAAATCAAGAATAAAAATATAGTACATATACCATTACTTTGTTAGCTCTTAGTATTTAAATAAAATCAAAGACATCATTATTTCCTACTTATGGAATTCAATAAAATGATAGAATACTTAGAGTTCAGCTGGTTATAAATATCAAAACTACAATGTCAAAAGTAACTACATGTACCAATTATTTTTTCGGAAGATTTTCTGCTACACTCACCTTGTTGGAGCCAGCAACCAACCATGTGGGATTCCAAATACATATTCTCCATTCCTCATCACCTTGTAGCTGTCAGCCTGGTTCTGTGGTGGAACAGTGGTGCCGTGTAGTGTGAGAAGGGTAGGACAGGCGGCACCTCCACAGCCACTAATAGGAGCTATGGCTGCTGCATGCTGCACAGATCCATCATGGTCTAAAAATGTAAAGAGGAAGGACTCTCCGGGCTTCCTACAGCGGAGATTGACCTTGAAGGGTATGGTCCCCATTGATGTGGTAATGGACAGGATCACATTTAAAGTGGTGCACCTTGTCAACACAATCCCGTTATCGGCAGTCTCCAATGAAAATAGGACCGACACAGTTTGACCTGGAGCAATATTAACAGGATGGAGCAAATGACTCCTCAGTACATGTCCTTCTGACTGGTCAGTCACAGATACCTTGGAAACCCGAACCCATTTAGAATGATGGTTATTTGTCATTGGAACAGCAACATGTTTACCAAATAGGTGACCATTTACAAGATCAGGAAGGAAGTGAGAAGGGAGAATTTCAAGGCTAGATTCAGGTATCTTTATGGAACACTTGAAAGTTGCAGACACTTTCGAGCGTAGGCGAATGTAGATTGTATGGACACCCTGCGACAAGTGTGTAGTGGTCCAGAACACATCCCTACGGTATACATCTCCTGTCATTGGTCTGCCATCAATATAAAATGTGTGGACATCCAAACACTGGAACACCACCAGCTGGTCTTTCTCATTCACAGCAAACTCCCCTACTACCCAACCCTGCCATTCAGTAATCCCGATGGAACTGAGGGAGTTTACCAAGTCATTCCAGTTTACTTGTGGGCTTATTTTAATGGTTTCACCAGCAACTGACTGCTTGAATGATTTCCATTTTATTTCTCCTCCAGGAACCAACTCAGAGAAAAATTTAATATTTTTGTTGTTCCTTTTTTTGGAAACTTCAAAAACACCACCAAACGGTTCCAGTGGATCACCATCAAGCTCCATTTTTCCTATGACAAATGGTCCAATAAAATCCCAGGAGGTAACAAATGGGCTGACCTTTCCAGACAGTTTTGATGCATGTTTGAAACAGGAGACCGCTTGAGATGTCTGACCTTTCCTCTGGTAAAGTGTACCAAGTGCAGACCACTGGAATCCATCATTTTCCTTGGCATCCAGTGCAACAAGTATGCATGATATTGCTTGGTCAGTCTGTGATAAATTTAGATATGTAAGATATGAATAAGGAAAACTTTTGTACATGAGTAAAGGTCATCAAATTAAATATTAAGAACATACAAATATTTCTCATTACAAAGGCAAAAAAAATGGAAATGCCTGGCAGTTTTGAAACTGATCCAATTCTTTTTTCACAGCTCAGCGAGAAACAGCTATGCTATACTTCACCACCAAAAGATCTTCAATACAAAATACATGATACATAGTAACAAAGCTTTCATTTAAAGTTGAAATGTATTAGATATATCTCTTCAAACACTTTACTTGCTTAAATTATAATGTCTCAATAAAATCATGATATAAATTTCAAATTTGATATTGTTGACAATTATGATAACCAGGTATTTTAGACAAAAAATGTGTCATTGTTGATAGGTCCAATGATGTGTGACACTATGACTAATACAGTTGTATACTGTACCTCCGCTGTCCACCTTAAACGGTTGATGCTGCTTGATGTTATCTTTTTTGGACAAGGTGCCGTAAACTTCTTCTTTTCTTTGTCTAAAAATTCTCTTACACCCTAAATAGGAAAACAAAAATCTAAATTCACTAAAATTAAATTAACACTGCACATATCCCTGTTATCTGTATTAATTTTGTGGACATTTTGGGTATAAAACTTTTTATTTTTTTAAAGATAGGACCATGCTTAAAATATGGTTGAATAATAGGATTATCAACAATAAATTCATTATGTGATTAGCTACTGATCACCCACTGGTATGTTGGACCTCTGGTTTCATGCATAAAATGTACCCCCTACCAAAAATATTTAGATACATTTTGTAACTACATTAAATGTGTCTCTCCTAAATAAAATAAAATCCCCTTAAAAAATCCATTATTTAGAAATAATCTAAAATAGTCAAAATATGAAAAGGTCGAAATAGGGGAATGCCAGCTACCCACCCCCCAGCCACACTTAATCCTAACCCTAAAATGTTCCTGTCTGGGAAAAGAATCAGACCTATTGATAATCGCTGAGGCACCCTGCATTTGAAATCTGCTATTTCTCAAGTGTCGCCATCCACATTTTAGAACCACTTATTGAGTTGTTGTTTTTTCAGAATGCTTGAAGCAGTGAAGAGTCCTGTATCTAGTCTCTAGTGGTCCAGTTTGGTGATGAACTTTGATGTTGGACCTAATCGAAGGCCCTTGAAAGTCCCATACAACAACCAAATAAACCTGGTCCTTGCTATACTGTTGATAGATCACTGTTGATGGCAAGTTGTGACTCACATGATCTGTGAGAGCAAAATATGTACTAGTCAAGTGTTCACAGACGGTATAGCAAGTATCATACTGATATTTTCAATACATTACAATATAATTGTATTACGGTGTTCTCTAGCAGTTCACAGCATACTGAGAAAAGAATTACTGGGTGAAATACTAAAAATTTTGTTCAACATAACAAAAATACTGGTCAACATGACATACAAAAATACATAACAGTTATATACATTCTCAGAAGAAAAAAAGAAAAAAAATTAACTACAACTCACTACACCACACCACTACACTACACCAGAGGTCCTATATCCTGCATGGACACACACTTGAAGTCGTTGACAGTGCTAAATACCTGGGAGTGACCATCAACAAAGATCTGACCTGGACGAAACATAACAACCAGACAACAGGTAAAGCCTCTAAGACCCTTGGCTTTCTACGAAGAAATCAGGGGAGATATATACCACCCTAGTTCGACCAACCCTAGAGTATGCATCTCCAGTATGGGATTCACATCACAAACATCAGGGAAATTGAACAAGTACAGAGTAGAGCGGCACGGTACTAGCTTCGTCTGTCAATAAACCTATACTATAATCGTATAGGTGTACATGTATTGACAGACGAGGCTAGTACCTGTAATACATGTATTGCCCTATCACTGACAAGTACTCTTGTAGATACACACAATGTTTCAGCTCACAGGAGTCTGAAATTTAGTCACAAATATGTTGACTAAATGTCAAGCACCTGTAACTTAGGCCAACCGCTTATACTTACGAAACTATCTTTCTTTTTCGATAATGAGATTTGAATAAATGCAGTCACAAAAAGGAGAGGAAAAATTGTGGTTTTCATCGTTTAGTTTTGCTTGGCTTGACATCAACTCTGTGATCAATATGCTCTTTCCAACCGGTCTGCCAAAATGTAAACAGCAGACCACATGTCAACTTCCTGTTTTGGCGGTGAATAGTGAAAAAACGACCAATATAAACAGAAAAAAATTGTTCGGTTACATGAAAGTTCCGTCATTACATAACGTAGAATATTAATAAATAATATTCTGAATCAAATACAACTTCAGTATTATAAGTAAAAGGCGTAAAGTAAGGCTACCGGCATTAGTCCTTCGGAACTTTAAACAGCAGGTAAAATGTTCATGTTGCACATAAAATGTCAAATATCTTTGATCATGCATACGCTTTAATGTCAAGGGCTCAGCAGTTAAGCATGTAAAGTACATTGAATATTGATCACCCGACGCTTCGCAGCCAATGGCAATGTGAAAAACTGATAAAAACACTGGTCTTTGGAATTTGGCCGGTTTCTCTGCTTGCCTGCACCGTCCAACAACATTCATTATGGAGGAACAGTCGAGAAACGTTTGGATCAAACAAGGTTCTGGTTTTATATTATATTTCACGTCTTGTTCATTGATTTGATGACGTCGTTCATCGTGAAATGATCATACACTAACGATATCATCAGATCATATATATGGTCATCATCATCGAATGCATAAGACCCCATATCTACTGAATCAAGGACATACCAGCATGCATTATTTAGGACACTCTATGTCATGGGCATGCATCCCTCATAAATGCAATATAAATAGTTTACCCAAACCCCAAAAAGAAACAACTGTCAAAATACCTTTATAACTTACAATAATGAATATGACAGCTTTAGGAGATTCTACATCAGGGCAAATATTGCCACATGGATTCCTTCCTTAGTTTGCAACAGGGGTCTAGTTTTAGAGCGAGTCTGCATGAGCTTTATTTAAATGTTTGTACATAGGTGCACACACAATGGGTGTCAGACGTTTCGCCCCAAAACCGTTACGCCCCAAACCAGTTCACCCCAAATTTGATTCATATCGCCCAAACCAGTTCGCCCCAAAAACTCCATAACGTCCCAAAAAACCATAGCCCCAAAAAACCATAACGCCCAACTAGTTTGCCCCCAAAAAATATAACGCCCCATTCCTAAAAAAAGGAGCTTGCTTATTTTCCCATTTATTTTGTCATTGTGTTTACCGTGCTTAAAGGGGAATAACTCTTGTTTTGTGTATACTACGGAAAGGTGGGCGCATCGAATATATGCATATTATTTAAGTTTTGCAAAGACGGAATAGTAAAAGAGATATGTTTCCTTTAACGTTCGTTTTCAGTTTATGTTTCCTTAAGATGTGACTTACGGAAATGTAGCATTGTGTACATTCTTTCATCATACACCGACGTGTTAGGCTTTAAAATAAACAACAAATCCATGATTTCATGTGCTATTATAAAGAACATATTTCTTTTAGGTATGTGTACATCTTGTCATCAAACTTTGATGCCTGTAGCTATTAAACAAACAGCAAAGCCATATATAACGACAATCTGTAGTAAATTGCTTAGATCAGATAGGCAATTATTTTCCTGGTTCCTGAACATTTTGTGTTGCTGCATTGATGGCAGGTGTTATTAGAATAACAACGTTAGGAAACTGTATCCACAAAAATATTAAGTGATGTATTGTGCATGATATATATCTTGTTATATTATGTTGTATCATTTGTTAATGTAACCTGTTGTTGTTGTAAGTAATTAATAATTAACTCTCTCAATGTATATGTATATTTGTACAATAATATTCAGGTATATGTAAAAGATAATGAGATTATTTCCACAAGTGCCGAAGGTAGCTAACGTATCATATCTATAATATCTATGTTAAGCATGCATTTATATATTTTAGATCATATATATGTTTAAGTAATTAGATTATTTCCACGCGAAATTATTCGAAACAAGAAATGATTAATTGATATTGACAAGGAAATAGTCACAGCCCTTAAATTGAAAGAGTTACCTCCCATTACCTGCCTTTTATAGTTCAATATAGGTTCGTAGCGATTGGGTCGATACAGAATTTTTGGGGCGAAACAGATTTTGGGGCGATATGGTTGTCATACTTGGGGCGAACTGAATTGAAAATAGGGGCGATGTGAAAAAATTTTGGGGCAAACTGGTTTGGGGCGAAATGTCTGTAATTCCACACAATCACGAGTTTGTTGACATCATTGTGTTCGTGAAGCAGCCTTATATAACAGGTGAAGTGTTAAAATTAAAAATGGCTTCCTTCTTTGCAGAATATGTGTATTAATAGTTTTTAATCAATTTCGAGAATAGGATGACCATTTTGATATTTATTTTCCTAACGTCCTTTAAATCTGATATATCAGAGCTATTGTACGTATACCAGGTATGTATTCAAAGAAAGTTAAACCTCTTGAATATTGAATGACCTCCCTTGGTGATCATACCTGACAATAACTGTTATCCCCAAGAGGTAGTTTTAGAAACGCCAGTCTCAACCAAATCCTTCGTTCCATTCTTTTCAATACACTGATGTAAGTCTGACAACACTGCATCAGAAGTCTTCTTATGACCTATACCTAGTCAATCAGTGCTGCCCACACAGTTTTTGGTATTGGAAAATGTACATGTAACCATACAGGAATGGAAAGAAAGGTCAGCTGATGTAACGCTATCAGATCTGATGCTCTAGTTTATTGTAGAAGACCAAAGGCTCTTGAATTTCTACTTTTTATCACTTTTCTGAACAAAATTTCAACTAAGTAGCCCTTCTTCCTTATTTGCAGTCAACTGGATGATATTTATATAATTTTAACACAAGAAGGGATTTAAATGTAAATTGATTGATTATGAGAAGTTCTTTTTACACAACCAATAAAAAATTCTATGGTTGTGTAAAAAGAACTTCTCATAATCCATACTTACCAACCTGAAGAAAATGTTTAGAAAAAATTGATTGATGGTTTCAGATGATCCAAAGCTGGTGTCCTCTAGACATAAGGACATATTTGAGGATATTCTAGAGGACCGCAGGCACTCGAGTGATGTCGGATGGTGCCTGCGTACAAGGGATGTCCCTACATACAAAAACAACAAAACCAGAACAATAGGCCAGATAAAGGAGCATGTCTTGGCCAGTGATCGTGTGAAATATGCTGTTGAACAAGTGAGACTTCCAGTTAACAAAACTAGTGTTGTTCCAATTAATCAGTGTCTGATCATGTTTCCTTTATAACAGAAAGCTTTTAAGAGTTATTGATAATATAGCAGACCTGTCAAATGATTTAATGTACAATTTCATTAATAAACATTTTACCATAAACTGCATAAAAATATAAAATGTATCAATATTTTTGTGATTTTCCAAATTTTTTAATGCTTTCTCTATTCATTTCCTGTTCTTCTTACGATTGAACAAATATGACATTTAAATTGAAAATCGAATAAAAATTATTATTGAGTTCCCTTATTATGAATCTTGTTTACAGGTCTGTATGGAAAGTGGACTGCCAACTGATGAGGTGTGGGGTCAAACCAAGGAAATCCTGGAGGAAATGTCACACAACCTTAAACTTGGTGCTATCAGGGGATTTGCTGTGTTCCTTGTTAAAGTTCTGAAGGCACTATTTAAAAGAATTTATGTCAATGAGGAAGGCATTCAAAAGGTACATAAACTTATCAGTAAAGCAGTTTACTAATGTTAAGCCACTGTACCATGATGTACATCTCTTTTCCATACAAACTTGTAAGATAATTTATGATTTTATTTATTCAAATATGGACTTACCAGGTAGTTAAATTAAAATTCAAAAGAATGCGTTGATTGTTATTAAATAGACCTGTATTATAAGGAAGATGTGAAATAAGGACAATAATGACAAAAATCACAGATATAATGCTTAAACCAACATACACTATACAGACGTTGATAACACTTGAGTAGATCTGTACAATAAGGAAAATGTATTAAAATAAAGGAGAGAACACAAATCACAGGTATGATGTTAAGGTAACATATAGCCTTAAATAAAAGAGTTCTATTACATTTTATTTCATATTTTCAGCATGGTACAACCACTGGTACAACATAAGTCATTTGAGAGATGTATATGTACATACTACCTGTCAGTCTTACCAGACAAACAAATAACTTGTCTTCATTTTTTGCAGGTCCGGGCAATGATTAAAGAGTACCCAATATTGCTGACTCCCAGTCATCGTAGCTACTTTGATTTCCTCCTCATGTCGTTTGTGTTTTATCACTATGATCTACCATTGCCTGTCATTGCTGCAGCCATGGGTAAGTATGGTACTGCTTGTAGGAACATCTTATTAATCTCTTTAACCTTTTACCAATTTCTCATGATGTTTATTTTAAGCAAATTCAAGGCTTGTTTCTTTTATTTTATTGGTTGATGTCATGGTTGATTGAATATCTTATTAATTGTTACAAAAACTAAGTTATATAATAATAAGTGTTGACACAAAGGATACAATTTAAAAAGTCATGTAGTTTAAATTTACAACCTGTAAAACAAATTATTGAAAGTTTGGAACAACTTCATTCTACTCTGATGCTTTCAGATTTCATGGGAATGAAATTCTTCGGATGGCTGTTGAGGAATTCAGGTGCCTTTTACATTCGGCGTAGTTTTGGTGATGACCAGCTGTACTGGGCTGTTTTCACAGAGTATGTACAGACACAGATATGTAACAGTGATCACCCGCTGGAATTCTACGTGGAGGGCACTCGCAGTAGGACAGCTAAATCATACTGTCCAAAGTTTGGTATGTCATCCAAAACTGAACCAGATGGTCTATTTCTTATAACATTTATAACTGCATGTCATATGCATGCTGTCATCTGACATCTGGACATTTCCTTTCCCAATATTGTTCTGACCAAAGGTCCTACATATTTTTCTATGTTCATATAAACTATAAAATGGCAGTAATATTTTTCCTCTGTACATCTTTCCTTTATAATGTTCATGTGTTTTACTATTTGTATGGACTTTGAACATGACATGATATAAATATCCTGACACCTTGTTTTCTATCCTTTATGTTTTTCTCTGTATCAGGAATGCTGTCAGCGTCACTAGAGCCATATTTCAAAGCCCACATTCCTGATATCATGGTCATTCCTGTCAGCATTAGCTATGACAAAATCCTAGAGGAGAAGCTCTATGCTTACGAATTACTTGGAGTCCCGAAACCCAAGGAGTCCACTTCAGTAAGTGTTTCCAAAAACAAAATGTTAACTTCTGTAGTTGTTCCATAAAACTGACCAGGTAACATGAGGACATGTTCCCAATCTAGAGGAGTTTAACTCAGTATCTGTTCTTAATATCTAGAAATTAACCTTCTTACGACCCTGACCATTCCTGAAAATATTTATCATTTAACTAAGTAAATATACATTAGATTCAGATAGGCCTTTCTTTTAGAAATGTTGTCAATGTGTTTGTAACAGAAAATAAGTAATCTTTCGTTTTGAATATACATGTATTATTTGTTGTTTTGTCTTTCTCCATGTCTTTGATGATGCCTAAAAATTTGACTTTTTTTGTCTATAGAAGGAACATAATCTGTTTGTATGTTCGTAATTAAATTAATTCAGTGGGTTTGATATAACAGACTGAAATCGCAAATAACCTACATTTGTTTTATGTTTAATAGGCATTGTTTAAAGCGAGAAACATATTGTCAGAAGACTTTGGAAATGTACACATACATTTTGGAGATCCCCTATCAATACGAGAATACTCAGTCGGCAAAGTAGACCGAAGCATCCACAACCTGGCACCACGGTAACTACTCTCCATCTGTTGGCAGATTTAGATAGACTGAACAGCTACCCTGTCACTTTCAGTTCTACTTGCATTTTCATATTTAAACCTTTCTAGGAAGGACACTATTGATAGATTTATATATAATGTCGTTTTTATTGACAAAAACACAACTGGAATTATAAACTTCACCTGTATTTTATCATAGTGCATTGCATTTATATTGATATCTTAGTGGGGTTTTTTATGCCAAGCTTCCTTATAATTTTTAAAAGGGGATTTTGAGAAGAACACTAGTTAATCATTGTTTATCATCTTACTATGAAAGGAAAATTAATTTTAGTAATTAAGTCATTCACAGTTCATTATTGCAGTAATTGGTAGATTTTTTTCTCAACTTTTTAAGAATATTACAGATTTAAAAAAAACACAAGCGTATTTGTGTTTGAACAGGTATATTGCCAGTTTGTCTGCACAAGAGACAGATCTACTGAAGAGCCTTGCCTATGATATTGTGTTACTTCACCTCAAACACATGGTTATCTCCCCTTGGTCTTTGACGGCAGCAGTGATGGTACAGAACAAGGAGGGCATATCAATGCGACAGCTTGTCCGAGAGGTGGAATGGCTCAAACGCCATGCCTTGAATCTGGGGGCATACATAGACTGGCCAGGTTAGTGAGATGTTATTACATAGACTTGCCAGGTTAGTGAGATGTTATTACCTAGACTGGCCAGGTTAGTGAAATGTTATTACATAGACTGGCCAGGTTAGTGAGATGTTATTACTTAGACTGGCCAGGTTAGTGAGATGTTATTACCTAGACTGCCCAGGTTAGTGAAATGTTATTACATAGACTGGCCACGTTAGTGAGATGTTATTACTTAGACTGGCCAGGATAGTGAGATGTTATTACCTAGACTGGCCAGGGTAGTGAAATGTTATTACATAGACTGGCCAGGTTGGTGACATGTTATTACCTGTTATAGAGCCGTGGGGCATACATAGCCTGGCCAGGTTAGTGAGATGTTATTACCTAGAATGGCCAGGTTAGTGAAATGTTATTACATAGCCTGGCCAGGTTAGTGAGATGTTATTACATAGTCTTGCCAGGTTAGTGAGATGTTATTACCTAGACCGGCCAGGTTAGTGAAATGTTATTACATAGCCTGGCCAGGTTAGTGAGATGTTATTACATAGTCTTGCCAGGTTAGTGAGATGTTATTACCGAGACTGGCCAGGTTAGTGAAATGTTATTACATAGCCTGGCCAGGTTAGTGAGATGTTATTACATAGTCTTGCCAGGTTAGTGAGATGTTATTACCTAGAATGGCCAGGTTAGTGAAATGTTATTACATAGCCTGGCCAGGTTAGTGAGATGTTATTACCTAGAATGGCCAGGTTAGTGAAATGTTATTACATAGACTGGCCAGGGTAGTGACATGTTATTACCTGTTATAGAGCCGAGGGGAATACATAGACTGGCCAGGTTAGTGAGATGTTATCACTTAGACTGGCCAGGTTAGTGAGATGTTATTACTTAGACTGGCCAGGATAGTGAGATGTTATTACCTAGACTGGCCAGGCTAGGGAAATGGTATTACATAGACTGGCCAGGGTAGTGACATGTTATTACATAGACTGGCCCGGTTAGTGACATGTTATTACCTGTTATATAGCCTTGGGGCATACATAGACTGGCCAGGGTAGTGACATGTTATTACCTGTTATAGAGCCATGGGGCATACATAGACTGACCAGGTTAGTGACATGTTATTACCTGTTATATAGCCTTGGGGCATACATAGACTGGCCAGGGTAGTGACATGTTATTACCTAGACCGGACAGGTTAGTGACATGTTATTACCTGTTATACAGCCTTGGGACATACGTAGACTGGGCAGGTTAGTGACATGTTATTACATAGACTGTCCAGGTTAGTGACCTGTTATTACGTAGACTGGCCAGGGTAGTGACATGTTATTACCTGTTATAGAGCCTGGGGGCATACATAGACTGGCCAGGTTAGTGAGATGTTATTACCTAGAATGGCCAGGTTAGTGAAATGTTATTACATAGCCTGGCCAGGTTAGTGAGATGTTATTACCTAGACCGGCCAGGTTAGTGAAATGTTATTACATAGCCTGGCCAGGTTAGTGAGATGTTATTACTTAGACTGGCCAGGGTAGTGAGATGTTATTACCTAGACTGGCCAGGCTAGGGAAATGGTATTACATAGACTGGCCAGGGTAGTGAGATGTTATTACTTAGACTGGCCAGGATAGTGAGATGTTATTACCTAGACTGGCCAGGGTAGTGAAATGTTATTACATAGACTGGCCACGTTAGTGAGATGTTATTACTTAGACTGGCCAGGATAGTGAGATGTTATTACCTAGACTGGCCAGGCTAGGGAAATGGTATTACATAGACTGGCCAGGGTAGTGACATGTTATTACCTAGACTGGACGGGGTAGTGACATGTTATTAACTGTTATAGAGCCGTGGGGCATACATAGACTGGACAGGTTAGTGACATGTTATTAACTGTTATAGAGCCGTGGGGCATACATAGACTGGACAGGTTAGTGACATGTTATTACATGTTATAGAGCCATGGGGCATACATAGAGTGGCCAGGTTAGTGACATGTTATTACCTAGACTGGGCAGGTTAGTGACATGTTATTACCTGTTATAGAGCCTGGAGACCTTCTCTTTGGGAGGGGCTGTATCTTTACACATTGGTCCAATTCCAAAAAATGTATATCTTCTAACAAAAGTTTACATAGTTAACAATGACATGATCAGAAGCCAGGGTCCAATGTGGTCAGTTTTATCTCCTGAAAAAGCTGGTTATGAATATATGCTTGTAGACATGTACCATGCTGACAACAACAGAGTGAGTTTGATTTCACACCTAAGATATTCTTGTCACCTTGAATTTACACAATTCATTGCAAGCAAGAAGCTATTATAGTATATAAGCCTAATGAAATGTTATTGATCACAGTCGAATAAAGATAAAAAAAATAAACAGGTTTAATGAGAGTTTACACACAAGAGGGTACCATAGGGAAAATTTGAAAACATACATCATATAATTATCTGCAGGTTTAAACCTAAAATAAATGACTCATCTTAAACAATTATCTAGATGTTTTGAAGATGTTATTAATTCAGAATGAATGTATTCCAAACAAGTTAAGTGACTGAAACATGACTAGTTTTACGCTTCGGCTAGGAAGACATTTTTATGTTAACAAAAATCAAACATGTTTGCACATGTACAGTTAGTTAGAAGTTCACCAGCAGCTGCTGATAAAATGTATAGCTATTCCATTAAGGATGTTTTCACTATTGAATTAGAATGCAAAAAAAACATTGGCTCTTGTCAATTTTGCTACACAAATTGTCCATGAGGAGTATCTAACTAAAAGATGGTTATCATGAAGTATTTTGTGACAAGGTTATTAAAGAAAATACTTCTCGAAATCGTCCAAAAAGTTGTTAAACAAAAGAAAATGACATGGAATTCCTTCAAAAACAGAGTCAAGTCTGGGACATATTTACAAATTTCAATTAAGTGCCTAGTTATCCACTGAATACGATACATGGAATGATAAATAAAATACTGATACTAATATGGTAATATTATTATGATTTTGTATTCTACAGGTAATGAATCATCTGACACTGTGGTGAGAAGTACGCTACAACTCCACAAGAATATTGTAGCCATCAACAAAGAGGATGTGATCGAGTTAATATCAATGGATGTTCCATCACATGTAAGTGAGGACCAATTGATGCAGTCAGCAGCCCAGCATCTGATGCTGTCCATCTACCGCAATCAACTGATGCACATCTTCGTCCGTGTAGCAATGGTATCCCTGACCATCAATGCCTGCACCCAGGACACTCTTCCCTTAGGTCAGTGTTATATCAAATTAGTTGCTGGTAAATTTTCTTTTCTGCAGCATTAAAATATTCATAACAGTTTTAAAGAAATGAAAAAGGGACGTGTGTGCTAGGGATGTATTTCAACTTGTTAATCCATATTTATGATGTATATCAACAATCAAAAGTATTAAACTAAAGAGTAATCATTCAAATCTTCTGAAAACATATTACTTTGTTTCTCCATGTTTTATTTTACAGATGACCTTTACAACAAATATGTGTTCCTGGAGCACCTTTTAAACAGAGACTTCATTTTCCATCCTGAACACACAAAGCTGGCAAGTACTCTCCCAATTAGGATATTCAAAACAAATTCCATACTCTACAAATTAAACAAATATTGTTTTTATTTTACATGACAGTTTAGCATGAAGCACTTACATGTACCATACTCAATTTCAAATAACATTTTAAAAGCAAATCTGACATGAAATATGTCAGCATGAACTGTTGTCAAATAATTTCCTATTCAGTTTTTATATTGTATCAAAATTGTCCTAATACATCACATTTGCTTGTAGGACTTTGAGCATTCCCTCCTTACCCTCACACACAACTGTGGTGTTGTAATCAAAGACGATTGCATCCTGATCAAATCCTCCACCAACAAGTACACTACATTCTTCAGCCAGATGTTTGAACCCTTCCTCCTTGGATACTGGGTATGTCTTTTTCTTTTGAGAAGATTTCTTTCTCTATTACCTTGTCAAAGATTTGAAGAGCTCACCCATCTTTCTACCAGTCCATCATTTAGACACAATCTTGTATTTAGTGGTGTTAAAATTTTATATCATTGCTTATAGATATGATTCAGAAATGTCTTTTAACAAACATGCATTAGTGTATTATTGCTGATCATATCAAATATTGTTGAAACAAATCTTATGCTTTCATCGTTATAGCTCAAATTTGTCATCATGCTACTTTCTAGCTTATTCAATAATGGCCAGTATCTTAATTTTTCTTTCGAAGCATTTATATGTTTTCTTACACTTTTTTTCAGATTATGTGTCGTTGCCTATTATCATCACACATTGACGTGCATGGTAAACCTAAGGCCAAGCCCCCCAAAGTGATCACTAAGGAGGCCCAGATGTTGAGCGCAAGGCTTTTGAGGGAAGGGGCTATTAAACACTTAGAAGTTCTCTCCCTTGACATCCTGAGCAACGGGCTCCATGCCCTCCACCACATGAACGCGGTGTCAAAGGAGAAGAGGTATACTGAGTAATGTTTGTAATTTACAAAACAACAATATTATCCAACGCTTTTCCCCAAATGAGTCCCTTTTAGTACACTGGAAGTAATTTACATTTTGTAATCATGTTCTCAGAAGAGTTACATGTAGCAATAAAAACATATCCTAACATTTAAAAACATAAAACAGTTAGTAGATGTTGAGAATCTCATTATTACTGAAGACTATAGATAACCATTAAAACATTTTGAAGTGGATTGTGTTAGAGAATCTTTTAGACTGTGGTGTATGTGCAGTAGCAGTTCTTACAAAACAAAAACCGTTCTGTTAATGTTTGATCTTGTATGTATATATTGAGTTAACCTAAGTATATATTATGTAATTAATGATGTAGTTATAAGTTCCCTTTGTACTTGACAGAGATGGGCAGGCCTATATGTACCCCAACGCCATTGTTCTCACCAACGTCTGTGAACAACTGGGTAAGTCAGGTTTAAAGGAGGGTCTACTTACATTAATCAGACAGTTAGTGAAGATATGTCTGATGTTTATCAAAACTAGATTTGAAATGATGCAGTCATTCCTTTTTTTAAAAAAATACAAACCCACTAAATTTTGTTTTCAATGTTTTTGATATGACTTACTAAGTACTACTTAATATGAACAAAATTATACTCTGACAGGAAAACATTCACACTTGCAGTGGGTATTTTTAATAAAAGCAACTGGAAAGAGATTTGTTATATACGCTGTATATTCATAATTGGAGTTATATAAACTTCACTTTATTTCAATTTGAAGAAAAAAACAATAATTTTATCTGATTGAAAAATGTCTACTTTTCTTTTGTAGAAAAATTCCTTGATGTTCCACAAATTCCCATGACAAGCATTCTGGTGGAATCTAAAACAGTGGTGATCAATGCTAAGTTATAGATGTATGAAGAGCCAGTTCCTCCTCCTAATAATGACAGATGATTCTTTGTATGGATGGCAAGGAATACATTAGAAATGTGATAGTTTTCTTAGACTCTGGTATCCAAGGACAAAGGCAGAGTGACAGACATGCGTTTCAGGAAAGTGTTCTGGGTCAAAGTAATGCTTAAGAAAAGGGTCAGAGTAATGCTTCAGAAAAGGGTCAGAGTAATGCTTCAGAAAGCACTTTTGATGATTTTTGGAAGTTAAGGTTATTTAACTGCAACAATTTTTTTTTTTTTTTTTTTTTTTTTTTTAAAGTATACATGTTCAGGTTGATTGAAAAAATCATAATAATAAGTTAACAACATATATCAGCTGACAACTGATAATGATGTAAGATCTTGTATTACATACTCATCAACTGGTAATGATGTAAGGTCTTGTATAACATACCCATCAACTGATAATGATGTAAGATCTTGTATTACATACTCATCAACTGGTAATGATGTAAGGTCTTTTATAACATACCCATCAACTGATAATGATATAAGATCTTATATTACATACTAATCAACGGGTAATGATGTAAGGTCTTGTATAACATACTCATCATTGATAATGATGTAAGATCTTGTATTGCATACTCATCAACTGGTAATGATGTAAGCTCTTTTATAACATACCCATCAACTGATAATGATATAAGATCTTGTATTACATACTCATCAACTGGTAATGATGTAAGGTCTTTTATAACATACTCATCATTTGATAATGATATAAGATCTTGTATTACATACTCATCAACGGGTAATGATGTAAGGTCTTTTATAACATACCCATCAACTGAAAATGATGTAAGTTCTTGTATTACATACTCATCAACTGATAATGATGTAAGATCTTGTATTACATACCCATCAACTGATAATGATGTAAGATCTTGTATTACAGACTCATCTCTTGATAATGATGTTACCAATTTTTTAAGAATACTCCTGTTCTGATCATGATTTAACCACATGTACCAGCTGTCAAATGGTAATGATGTTGCAATTTGTATCATCTGATAACTTTGTTGCTAAAGGAAAAAGTGGCCAGTGCAATTTAAATATGACTTCCTCCTCATTATATTGCTATTTTAACATATTCATGAGGGTGTGAAACCCTTCGTGGTATGATTAGGATTTGAAGTACACCTGTTTTTGTCTGTTTCAGGAAGATATGTTTGTTTTAGTGCCTATATTGATTGAATGTGACAGCAATTTGTAAAATTGTGTAAATGAGTCTGTTGAAATAGTGTGATCCTGAGTGTGTGTTATCTTGATTCATATGATAGCGAGTGTAGTGATCTTTCTAGGAATTAATTAATTTATGTTTCTTTGTCAAGTTGGAGCATTGTCATGATCAAAGATATAAATTGCTTTTCTGTCACTACAACGTATGAGTGTATATAACTGGGTATATGATACAATGTGGTACCATTGCAAAGTAATTATATTGTATATATTTATTTACAAACTTTCTAGTGCTTCGAATCGATGGGTCATTATTTCACTATTTTGTCCTTTAAGAATATCTTACCAGTGATAGAATTTTCATTTTATCTTGTATGCATGATTTTACACTTACTAAGTATGAGATAAAACATGTTTTTCATGATATTTCGAAAGAAAACTTGGAATGAAGTATGAGCTTTGTGTGAAAATAAGCCACTTGGAAATATATAAAGCACTACAGAGTTTTCATTATTATTTATATAGCCATAGATTAAAGGATATCTGCTATATTGAGTAAATAACATGCTACAGGAAACAAATTGGGAATACCTCATGATTAAGAATTAACATACATGTAAATCATTATTTGCCTAATAAATGTTTTCATGTATTAAAAGCAATTCTTTTACAATGTAATGTTTCGAGAAATTGACATTTATTTCTCCTGACCTTCACTGGTGTGTCTCAAGTTCTAGCTGGGAAAGATCAGCTTGTCGCCCCCAGGGGAGAGATAGCCTCATGCAGAATAGCATGTGCTAAATTGTGACTTAAAAATGAAGGGCAATTGTGACATCATAAAATGTGAATGGCATTATTCTTATGCTACATGTGCTTTTTCAGATGTGACTGAAATAATAGGTTGGGAGAAATCTACTTGACAGTATGAAAGAGAAATCTCCAACCCTAAGGGTGATTTTTCTTGATTTCTATCTTGAGGCTCTGCCAAGGGTAAGACAATAAAATAGTCACTGGAGGTTGATTAAGATTCCATTTATTGAAACTTTAAAAGAAATTTAATGATACTGGTGTGAATGCGTATCATTCTCAATATAACAAGTTTCACTTTGTAGCATAATAATATTTACATTCTAATTATCACATCTATGTAAACACTACAAAGTTATTAGTCCTATCTCAATTGGGAAGAAATGTTGATTTGTCCTTATAAGTAACTTTCACGTAATAGACATAACAACTCACAGAGCACCATATCTCTTGTGGTTTCTGTAGGATCAAGAACCTGTATGAGCCAGACCTTGTAAGAGTTATGCTTATTAAATACAATTTATGTTTATTAAACCTGTGTAATTCAGAGTTCTGTCTATTCTGAATAGGAAATCCATGTGGTGTTTGATTTAGACAGGTTTTACTGTGATATCTTTGTTTGTTTTTTATTTGGGAAAAGAAAAATCATTTTTTCCTCAGCTGTTTTTAGATATATAGGTAACAAGTCCCAAGAAAACAGTATATTTCATTCTTTTACATAAGGTATGTCTGAGATGTGAGTTGTGTGCATACTATGTATATGGTAACAGTTGTTGGTCACCTGTTTATCCAGGTGTGGTAGAAATATTCCATGATAAATCATTATATTGTTGGTCTATGATGCAATAAGTAATAATATATATTGCAATTTAATAAAAGTTTCCAAATTATGACATGAATAAAATGTTTAAAATGCTTGTTTGTTTTTATATTTTTACTATTTTTCCTTCTAAAGCTGTCTAAACAAGATGCACATGCCTATCAGTGGGGTTCCATTTCATCAACGTGAAAGAGAAAATATTTCACAGTGATTCCTACACTATAAAATGTATGTACACATTTGGTGAAAAGGTGTTGACTTGATTTGTTTAATGAAATGTATGGACTTGGATGATTGCATATAGTCTTCTAGCTTACATCAAACAAAGAACTCGATAAAGTTCAAACATAAAATATTCAGGATTGAATTCTTTTTAAATTTGTGTCCAAATCAAATCAAGACCATTGTGTCAAAAGTCCATATAGATTGTCAAGAGCATTAATATTGTTAGCTCACCTATTGTGAAGGACCATTGAGTGTACAGAGGTTCATCATCTGATGTTGGATGTCCATCTATTTTAGCTCGTGTAAACATTACAAAATGTCAATGATGGTACAGCCACAGTCGGTCATCCATATGTCATTTGTTTACTTTGAAAACTGGAAGACGCATATTTTGCCAGTAGGTACCTAGGATTGGATTGGTATACATTCTGCAAATACTCTTCTTATTTTCAAGGTTATATACAGATCTCAAATATGTTAAAAACTTCAAGAAACAATTTCTTAACTATCAGAAGGTCTAGAGTATTGATACTTGGTTATACCACAGAATAGGTTATCTAAGTCCGTGGTTATACTGTGTATATGTAGACCATCGGTGCAAATCCGTATTTTACAAATTGTCTAAAGGTCAAAGGTCAACTTTGAGCATTGTCCAGGGTCGAAGGATTTACATTGGCTATAATGGGTAAAACGAATTTTGTTCTTGAGTTCCATAAGGCACAGGGCCCTGATATTTAACAACTTACAAGTAGATACATGTATCTTGCATAGGGATCGAAATTGAAATTATATTATAACATTGCATTAAGTAATTTATTTCAATATTATAACCTTAATTCAGTTTAAACCAGCTTTCAAGGTTACAGAGGTCAAGTAAGTTAAATTTCATATTACTTCAACACCCATAAGACATAGTATTAATTGTTTATATTTTCCTGTAGATTGCTGGTAAATTAATAGGCTGTCAAATTTGTTGTAACTGTGAATGACCCAATTTCAATATAACAGGGACAGAATATTTTAAAATCTCCTTTTTCCATCCAAAGGCTTGTAGCTTACTGTAAATGAAGGACGAGTCTACCAACTTTGTTAAAAAAAAATGATATTATGGAGTTATTGTTGTTACAGCAAGAATAATGTTTGTTTCAATAAATATAAATACGACTTATAAGTCCAAGATGCTTGTTTTATATATTAGACATTCTGTTTCAATTTTGCATTTTTTTTAATATTTTGGTTTCTTTATCAAAATCATGAGTTTTTATTATTTCAACGGTTCCCGCTAGAAGTTATATTAAAATATTTGGTAGACTGCATCCACGTTCCCGTTAGTTACCTCCCTTTTTCTGCCTCTCATTCGTTGGAGATATAAAATTGAAAACGTGTAGTCGTGATTATACAAAATCTGAAATAAGATGAAATAGCGTTTTAGGAGACAATTTGTTATAACCCTTCAGCTATGGCATCAACAGCCGATGTTCAGACGTTAATGGAGATGGGGTTTACAAAAAACAATGCGTAAGTCGAGTTGAAATTATACAAATCAAAACTATTTACTGATCGAGCTACATATGTAGCCGAAGAAGTCATTACAATTCACTTATTTACCGATCTCCTTCCATAAATGCTTCCTGAAGTTAATAATTTATACATTGCTGATGTATATAAATGATATTTACAATACAATTTAGCTATACGTGAGAGTGATTAGCCTGTTGAGTGACGTAATATTCCTAAAAATAGCCCTACTTTCATTTTGGGTTTGATAAGAAAAATTTAACTAACAGGATCTCGTCTATTTCTCAATATCTTGGTATACTTACTGTATGGCTTTCAATAAGAGAAACAAAAACTAGTTACAGTTATTGTCATGCGTGATTATGATATATCAGGTCTCACGCTTCTCTGTATCAGTATGAAAAGTTTGGCAACTTACTTGCAGCCTCCTTGCCGAGCTAATACACTAGACTTTACCAATAAAAATAAAAAGGATGTGATCCATAAACAGCTGGAATGGAAGCTTTCACCTTCTTTACTTTACGGGGGCTCCATCAAAGCCCCCGTAAACTACCCTAGCTGTTTTTCCAACTGCAACAATCCATAATGCAGAAAATTATTGTCACCAGCATTATTCTAATTTGGAAAACCAGCAGATCCTTGTCTTTGGTCTAAATTTACAATGTTAGTAACAGTTAAAAGACGTGCTCATATTGTATGCGGTAATTGCTGTTTAAAAATAATTAAATCTCTACATTTATCTGCTTACTTCACCTAGCTTGCACAAATTAGTCCATTAGTGTGCTATTTAAATCATCATATTACATCCATCATCAGGATTTCATTTTAACAACTTCCACATTACCAGAAGACAATGTCATGTAGCCTGTAGCATAGGGTATTGGTTTTGTATACATTTTCTATAATCACTTTCTTGTTCAAGTGACAAATGTGTTAAAAAAAATCGAAAGACTACAGAAGCCTTTCAGCATTATAAATATTTATGCTATATATATATGTATATTTGTATGGGTAAAAGAAGTAATATAGACAGTAAAATCCCATATAACACTGGATCCTAATGGAGGTATGTCCGTAGGATACAAATCACTTAAAATAGTATATGGGGCAAAGAAGGATTTCCGACAGTGTGGTCCACACTGTTGGAATTACTTTGCCCCATATATATATATTTGTATATACATTAAGGTATTATTACCATTGAATAACAGGTAACAATACAGGCTCCTTGTGCCTTTTGTTGGTTATATGGTTCACAGTATAGTTTAAAACTAGTACAATGTAACCATGTAAGATTCCGAAGATCACCATATAAAATAAAAAATGTTTATTACTGATTTACAGGGAAAGGGCACTTGCAAAAACCAGTTACCAAGGAGTACAACTAGCCATGGATTGGTAAGTGGAGTCTCGTATACAATAACATTACCTCGAGCTCCCACCTGTATTATCTTAGAATGAGAGTGATACTCTGAAAAACCTGCAAGATACATGTATAGGGTTGTTACCATATTATACACACACAGATTCATACATTTGGAAAATAATGGAAGTAAACTTGTTGTAGTCTCATTAAATAATTCTTTTGCAGGTTATTTGCTCATGAAGATGATCCAGATATCAATGAACCCTTTGAAGCACCAAAAGGGAATGTACTAGGAGGTAAGTAATGGTTCAAGGTGTAGAGCCGTTTCTGTAGTTTAGGTTTGATTTGTTCTCTTTATCCCTTACCTGGGTACCGACCGGTATGCAGGGCGATTGAAGAAACAGTGAAAACTAACTATAAGAGTCAATCGCAACAGGTCCTGGATAAGTTGAGTTTTATTAGCTCACCTGGCCCGAAGTCCGTCGTCCGTCAATTTTTTCCTTTAAAACCCTACTAGTCCTGGTCTGGAGCATCATTGGCCAAAGGGTTCTCAGTTTTGGATTAACGGAGGGTATGGTCCCCCTAGGGGCAGAGGGGCGGGGCCAAATAGGGGGAAAATAGGTAAATCTTTAAAAATCTTCTTCTTCTCAACCAATCGAAGGATTTTGACCCAATTTGTCCTAAAGCATCTTTGGACAAAGGAGACTCAAGTTTGTATAAACAGAGGGTATGGCCCCTCTGGGGGCGGAGGGGCGAGGCCCAATAGGGGAAATAGAGGAATTTTTTTCTCCTGCTATACAAGTAAAGGGATTTAAAGCAAATGCAGTCTGAAGCATGATTAGGGACAAAAGAATCAAGTTTGTATAATCTGAGGTGTGTGGGCCCCCTTCTCGGGGCCGCTCGGTGGGGCCCCTTCGCGGAAATAGAGGAAAACATCAAAGATCCTTCTCCTTTTGTACCGATGAAGGGATTTTGACCAAATTTGGTCTGGAGCATCATTAGCCAAAGGGTTCTCAGTTTTGTATAAACGGAGGGTATGGTCCCCCTGGGGGCAGAGGGGCGGGGCCAAATAGGGGGAAAATAGGTAAATCTTTAAAAATCTTCTTCTCATTCAATAGAAGGATTTTGACCCAATTTGTGCTAGAGCATCTTTGGACAAAGGACACTCAAGTTTGTATATCCTAATTGTCTGGAGAATCTTGGGCAAAAGGGACTCAATTTTGTATAAACAGTGAGTGCCCCCCCCTTTAAACCTTTAAAATCCTTCTTCTACCATAGGGATTAAGGGATTTTATCCTAATTTAGTCTTGGGCATCCTTGGGCCAAGGGGACTCAATTGTGTATAAGCAGTGGGTGTGGTCTCCCAGGGGGCAGAAGGGCGGGGTCCAATAGGAGAAATAGAGGTTTAACCTTTAAAATCCTGCTTCGACCATCAGGATTAAGGGATTTTATCCTTATTTAGTCTGGAGCATCCTCGGGCCAAGGGGACTTAATTTTGTATAAACAGTGGGTATGACCCCCCTAGGGGCATAGGGGTGGGACTCTGTTTGAAGTTTGTTCTCGTTCTATCTCAAGTACTGGATGTATCTTTCTGAAATTTCATACGTGCTTACAGCACCTACCATGGAGTGCTATATCTTTACTTCATACCAATTATTTAAACATATTCAGGTGAGTGATACAGGCCCTCTGGGCCTCTTGTTCATTTTAATAATAAAGAAAAGTATCATTTTCTTATATAGATTGGCTCCTTACAAATAAAGTAGTTACCTGGTTGGTTGTCTATTTTGAGTCATACTCATAGGTCTGTTTTCTTGCAAATTGTACTTGTTCATCTTTATTTTCCTGTCTATGTGATCATATATAGATTAAATTTGATATCGCTGTATGAACGATACATTGGTTACATGTGCTCTATAATCATTTCCCAAATAATAGTGTTACCCATGTCACATTATGTTGCGTCCCATCTTGTCCTGTATAGGTCAACCATTACTATTTTTTCAACAGTTTCATCGTCATCGGTTTATCGACTTAAAACTATATTTATTTTACAACAATTATGTAACAAGTTAATTCTGACAGCTTATAGTAATCGCTCTTGTTTACATTGTTGGTCTGGATGTTAGCATGGTGGGGTGGGGGGGGGGGTATGTGGGAGACACCGGAGTACCCAGAGAAAACTCAAATGGTCAGGCAGGTGACCTCGTACCTTTTCACATCCAATCGGGGAATCAAACCCTTGCGGCCATGGTGAAAGGCAAGTGTGCTATCCACTGAACCACCCAACTTCAGGGACAAGGGGGCTTTCTTGCCTTACAAGCATTTCTAGTTCATAGCAGAATATAAAAAACTGTACCGCATGTATATTTTTTTTTCTTTTAAAAAATAATAATTTGACTCCTTTACACATTCATCATATTAGGTCTCCTTTATCACTATTTCTTGTCATTGGAATGTACACTGTATTACCTGTATTAAAATGTAATGTCATTATATATAGATATTCAAGAAGTATAGTACATACATTTGTCATTACAGCCTCTATTGTTGACACGCCTCAGACAGACAGCGTTGGTGAAGTAAACCTAGGTGGTGGCGGAGAGCCTGGAGTATCGGGAGAGACAGGAGAGGCTCCGTCACAGGCTAAGTCTCTCAAATGTGACGAGTACGTTAACCATCAACACAAACACAAGTTGAAATTGAATATGTCTCCATTTTGAATATACAGATGGAAATATTTCTTTAAAATGAAGATATATCCTGTCACACTTCATTCTTAAAAAATCATGCTTTTATGGTGTTCTTGTTATTTCTGGTGCCTTACAGATAAATCAAGGGGAGACAGGAAAGATAGATTTATGCAATATGCAGAATGCAAACTGACAGACTTTGATAAATTCTGTGGCAATATGATGATAAAAGACATTTAAAAACTGACAGTGCAAGTTAAAAAGCTTTCAATTTAGGTTTTTTTAACGGTTTGATAGGTAATGCACTTTTTACACCCAGGGAGACCAATACTTGTTACCAAGCAAGGACAAACTGAAATGTCGGCACTTCCTTAGGAACGATAGTTGGAAGAGATGGGGAAGATATCAAAACCAGAATAAAAATATTTTGAAAGAACATGTTTTTTTTAATCTCAATTGCAAGCTTTTTAACTTGCACAGTCAGCTTTAAGGTATCTTTATAGTAAAAAATATATAAATTATTTGACATGTTGTTATTATAACAATTCATGGTATCTCAAATTGATTATCTGTCAAGGATGAAATAAAATGTCAAAAAACATATTTTTCATAATTTTCATTACAAGGTGAATTTGTAATGAATTCAACATTGAACATTTAAAGTCAAGTAACACAACATACCTAACTATCTTAAAATGAACAATTCAGCACTGAGCAAATCAGTTCATTTTCACATAAAATTGCATCAAATAACAAACTAAAAGTTGTGTGAAATATTTGACATTATGACCAAATTAATATTCAGGCCTTATATAACGTAACTGAATACTTTGATTGAGCTGATGTTTATGTGTATCTTGAAGCTTGAGTAAGATTTTGAAAGAAGAAGAGAGGTACTTTAGTATCTGGTTATTTTAGATGTGGAAAGTTGCTCAAAGGAGAGATGGATGCCCAAGCACATGCAGCTAGAACACAACATTCTCAATTCTCAGAGTCAACAGATGAAATCAAACCATTGACGGCTGAGGAAAAGGCAGAGCAAATGCGAAAGTAAGCATTAATATGTCCTTTATATCACTAGTTTATTCCCAAATATAATGGCATAATTGTTATCTGTAATACATGAAATAAAAGGGGGGAAAAATGAAGACAAAATGTGTTCAAGTATTTGTATATTATTGTTTTTTAAATGTGGTCTAGACACAAAATAAAAATATCTAAATGCCAAGGATGTTGATATTTAGCCTGTGACATGCTGATGTTAAGGGTTACTAAGTTTGTTAAAAAATAATGACCTTCACTCATATTCGAGGTTACAGGGGTCAAATATGTTGAAATCTTTAAACAACTTCTAAATATCCAAAAGGCCTAGGATGATGATGTGCGGCCAGGTTCATGCTCAGATAAGAACCTTCGAAGATGGTTCTAATGAATGACCTTCACCCATATTCAAGGTCACAGGGGTCAAATATGTTTAAAACTTTTTTTAAACTTTATCTGCATAACCAAAAAGCATAAGGTGGCGATATTTTGTCAGTAGCATGCTCAGATGGAGAGCTTTCAATTTTGTTCATGTGAATGACCTTGACCCACTTTCAAGGTCGCATTGTCATATGTGTATAAATTAACATTTAAATTACCTAATCTCAATAAACAAATTTTATAAGGTGGCAAGTTGCATGTTGAGATGAAGGGCTATAGAGTTTGTTCAACTTAATGACATTGTCAGACTTTCACGGTCACATGGAGCCAAAATTGTTTAACTCTCTTTACACATTCTTTTGAATGACTTGCAGTCATAGATACTGATATTTTGCCTATAGCTTTATTTTAGTCCACTTTTAAGGTTACGAGTGTGATATTCATACCAGATGAGTGATGCAGGCCCATTGGGCCTCTTGTATCTAATTTATTGCAAAACCCTACCATTGTTTTGCTGATGTTTTGCTTATTGTTTAATAGAGGGTTTGAAAACATACACGACATTCTTTCCCTAAAAATATGGTAAAAATTGATAATGTTCAAGGAAACGTGTTACAAAATCTCCCTACTTAAAATCCAATTTCCCAACTTCAAAACCCAAATCTACCTACATTGTGTTCCAAAGTCATCACAGGATATGAATAAATTATAGAAACTGGAGTTATCTCCCATTTATCGAGTTATTTCACTTAGTTTAAAAACGGACCACTCCGAAACTACTGCACAAATTTAAAGGATACTTTAATTGGTTCACAATTCACTTACATCGAGGGATATTGATAAATTATTTAAATTGGTGCTACTTCCCCTTATGAAGGAGATGTGCCCCTTTGTTTAAGAATAAGTTTGCATTTAAGTGATACTTAATAGTGCACAGAGCCCTTATGTCAAGGTTATATAAAATAGTTGAAACAGAGTTACCTCCCAAATTCATGCAGTAATGCCCCTTTGTTTAAAAATGACCAGGAAAGAACTATTCCTACAGTTGTTGGCAGAAGCTGAAGGTATTAGTCTGCCATTCTGGCAACAGTTCTAGTTTTGACTGATTCTTTGCGAAGATGGAGTATCTTAATGCGCTATTCAATTATAGATTGCAGGAGAAAATTAAAATGAACAGACTGGAACGAGAAGAAAAAGAAAAACAGGAAGCCCTAGCAAGGGAGATACAGAGACGGCAGTCAGGAAAAATGATCGTTAATACGAAACAAAAGTAAGTTGCCATGTCTGTATTTTACACAATCCCATAAGAGAATCAGTCACACCAATAAATACACACCATCAAATAAAGTAAGAGGAGATGGTATGCTGGAATCACCCTGTCAGTTTGAAGACTGTAAATTGTGCTTATGAAACTTGATAAATGACTCCCCAAGGAGTGTGGACAATTCCTTACAAATTTGGGGTCGGGAGTGAAAGTCATAATGACCTGTTTTGTAAAAAAAAAATCATTTCTTGACACTTTAACATTCTTAGTTATACCTCAGAACTTCATAGGATGACTACAAATGGTGTTGGAAGAAATTATTTTTCATTTTCAGAATGGAATTGTATGATATGCATTTTAATCGACCATCACCTACTGATGGTAATTTGGATTATAATTTGATTGGTTTTAAATGCATCTTCTCATTTAGTAACAGATTTATTTGTATGAAGGAACACATGATATATCTTTTGCACAGATTCGAGGAGGCTGAGATAAAGAAGCTTGCAGAACAGCGACAGAGAGAGAAAAGAGACGATATGGAAGCAAGGTTTGTACCTTTCATTATGAGTGGCCAAATGTTCAGTTACATAGTCATCAGTTAGCTTTAATAGAGGAACCTTTCTTTTTTTCCCTTAATTAAAATAAAACCTGAAAAGGTGACCTGAGACAATTTCCAATATATTCAGTAGTATGCATGTTTTTGTTAGTGTTACTGCCTAATCACTGTCCAGCAAGCGATCATTTCCTAGTTGATTTCATTTTGATAGTGCACAGGTGTATATCTTGAAAAGGGTTGTAAATTAGTGCACATGTTCATTCTTGTTGAATTTCAGACGGAAAGTAAAAGAGGCAATAGAGCGTGACAAGGCCGAGAGAGCAGCAAAGGTAACTGTCACTGAGTAAATACATTGAGACTGAGCTAGGCATGTGTTTAATATGTGAATGAAATGTCATTCATTTGTTTAGCATAATATTAGATTGTGGCACATCACACTTAAACCTGCCTTCAAGACCACCTAATAAGATAACTTGTCTATTGGACCACCTGGGTATATTACCAACTTAAAGACTCCAGAAATTATATTTTGCCTTTAATAGTAACATTTAAATAAACATTGATTTTAGTTTTCTCTTGGTTTATTGGAATATTTGATAAATGTACACTGATGATTTCCAAATCTCACAGTAATAAAGATCTTAAACATGAAGTACTTGTATTATATTAACTCTATTTCATCAGAAAAACAAACCAGATGTTTCCCAGACTGCAGATCCGCAACCTAAACCTGCTGCACCTGTTGAGAAAAAGTCTTACACTGATTGTCAGCTCCAGGTAAGTACACATGTACTGATGTCGGTCACAGGTAACATGTTTAGTCTACACCAGCTCCAGGTAAATGCACATGTACTGTATGTCGGTCACCGGTAACAGTTTTAGTCTACACCACCTCCAGGTAAATACACCTGTACTGTATGTCGGTCACAGGGAACATTTTTAGTCTACACCAGGTCCAGGTAAATACACATGTACTGATGTCAGTCACAGGTTACATGTTTAGTCTACACCAGCTCCAGGTAAATACACATGTACTGTATGTCGGTCACAGGTAACATTTTTAGTCTACACCAGCTCCAGGTAAATACACATGTACTGTATGTCTGTCACAGATAACATTTTTAGTCTACACCAGCTCCAGGTAAATACACATGTACTGATGTGGGTCACAGGTTACATGTTTAGTCTACACCAGCTCCAGGTAAATAAATACACATGTATTTAATGTGTACCAGCTCTGGGTAGATACATCTGCTTTGAATATCAGTTACAATATATTCAAACCAGTGTCACCGCTGTGTGTATCAATCTACAAGAGACATCTGTGAGTTAAGACAGGTTGATCATGAAGTCAACAAACTTGTGCTGTCATAATGGAGACGATCAGTTGTGATGCTAGCTATTGACTGTTCCATAAACAAGAACAAAAACATAAGATACAGTGATTGAACAGCTGTGTACTTGTGCTATACCGGTCTTATGTTAATAAATCATGTTAATCAAGTTTACTATGTGATAACATTATATTGTTTTCAGGTAAGAGTTATAGGAAGACCATGATACTGATCGCTGCCCACCTTGTTTTCTGTTGTAGATTCGACTACCTGGAGGCGATACTATAAACCACACCTTTTCAGCCAAGGAGTCACTGGCAGCTGTGCGGCTATACATCCAGATGAACAAGCCAGAGTTTGGAGCTTTTAATTTACGCCAAAATTTTCCACCAAAAGTCTATCAACCAGAAGATTATGAAAAACCTTTAGATCAATTAGGTAACTATGTCAATCAAACTAAGGCAATGTTACTTCCTGGGTATGGTAGAAAGTGTTAAAAGATAAATGGAATTAAAAAAAAATCTTACCGTTATTATTTACAATTTTCTACCTACTTACCTACCTTTTATCTTGTTTTTTTCTTGTGCTGTTTTCAAACAAGATTTCATTTACAGTCAGATCTAGAGGCAATTAGTAAATACAACGATTTCCTGATTTATTCTATGTATGTTGTGTGATAACGGCTTTTTGCAATAATATTGTCTCGCATACATTTTTTGTTTTTTTTGTTTTCATTACAGGACTAGTACCAAGAGCTAATCTGCTCGTGGTGAAGAAGTAAAGCCGTGCTATGTGGCGACCATAAACCTATACATTTCCATATCGGCTCTCATTGAAGAAATGGCCGATACAATGCATCAAAGGACTCTTAGGCCTCTTTCAGTTGTATTGAAGATGACAGACATTGTATGTGCCATCTGTTACTTTCTGTGAAAGCTGTTTTAAATTTGGTTTTATATGCATTATGAAATTTCTTTATACAATCTGTATTTGTCACAAAATATAGTGCCAACTGACTCTCTATACTAGCAGTGTGCTGAACTAACTCACTTATCTTGTCCTATAGAGATACATTCATGTATGCCTGACATAGAGTGTTTGTTGAGGATTCATCATTCGTTTGGACGCCCATCTGTAGTGCTGTGATTGCATACCAATATTGTATTCAAGTGAAAATGTTTTATGTACTATTTATGAAATGCATCTTTCTTGAAAGTAAGTATATGCCTTACACACCTGGTATTTGTCAAATTAAAACAATTCTTGAAACAAATACTGAAATTTTTGTATTTAAGCCAATTCTAATGAAATGAATTAAATCAGAAGAAAGGTGTTGCTAAAATGAAATCTTATACAGAGTCAAGAATGTCCAGGCCCAATAAAGTAATTTGGAAATATCCTTGAGTCCCCATCATTGGATACCCACGGTTGATTTCGCATCAACTGGTGATGAGTGAGTAACGAAGCGAAATCAACCATGGGTATCCGAGGATGTTGTGTCCCAAGTGCTGTTATAAATAGAATCATGGAGACTTGGCTATCTTAATAAGTATTTTGATAATTCAGTTTTAGTGTAGATATTTATTTGTGAAAACTTAAGATGATTTTTGTAAGATAGAGTATCTGCTTAATATGTTAAATGTTTTCAACGTTGGATGGTACAGTTGCTGTTTTGAGTGAATGCGACTTCAAATTCACAGTTAGTACAATTATCAAGTCAAATTATAAAAATGGAAACATGTAATTGATATGTGGAATTTTTTCGTAGTGTTTCATTATGTTTGTTACACCTTCATTTCATCACTGTGATTCAGTTAATATGAGATTGGCAAACTTGCCACCCCGCAGTTTAAAGTGGGAATACATGTATGAAATACACAATTTTCCCAGGAGCTGCTATTGGTGTTGTTCAGTTCATGAAAAATGCTCTAACCAGCCTTCTTATGAGCATTATCACCTTGCACCTGAGTTCTTAGTTTAAACAGTATTTTGTTTTGTAAGCCAACACAATTGCTGATAGAGTCTGTAATAGCTACATTCCTGGTAACGATTGACTCTTTTTCTTCCACCTCTTAACCAAATGTTTGATAAATAGGACATATTCAATGCAAATGCAACGCTAAGGTAGCAGTTTACAGTAGCGTACAGTAGCCATGGGTAATATTTTTGTACGATGAACAACCCCTGTAATATTACATGTATCAAAAGTGTTAAAAAAATCGGCACTGAAATTGGTTTACACATGATGAAATGGACTATGTGGGCTTCATAAAAAAAAAAAAAATGGTTTGAGACTACAATTTTGGCCATTTACAAATCTGTGTCTGCACAACAAAAGCTAGCTTTTCATTTAGTTTATTTTTGTACTCAGCAAATGTGTAAATATTGTGAAAAATCCATCTGAACTACCTTTGCTAAAACGCGAGTATTTCTGTTTCCGAGTAAGTGATATTTAACTAAAGGTAGTTTTTATGCAGGGGTCAAAGTTTGGGTTAAAAATCATGTTTCAGTTTTGCATTTTTTGGTGTTTTTTTATATGGTAACTATTGTTTTCTCAAGTTCCAAATCAGGGGGAAACAATTCTTGAAAAAATATTCATTCTTAAATAAATATATATATATATGTAGGTGTGTTGTGCAGAATGAATCCACTATCTAACTTTATCTGAGACATGCCTTTTATTTTTCGGATCGTGCCATTTCTTCTGTACTCTGCTACCTAAATATCGCAAAATTTCTAGAAAATGTATGCTCAAACTAAGGCCATGTTTGGAAAGAGCAAAAAAGGTTACAAAGGTCACTAACAAGTAGAACCAAATTGTGTTGAACCATACACTTGTGTATGTGATGTTAACTCTTTCACCCTTAGGTAACTTTGGTAGAATCTACATTGATCTAGATTAGTCCATTATGGTCTACAGTGGTGAAAGGGTTAGTCAGCAATGCAAATCTTACTCTAATCTACTGTTTTAAATGTCAAGGTAAACTACGAGTGCTAATAAGGTCAAAGGTCAGCATGGGCTATATTGGGTAAAAGGCTCTTTAGTTCAACAAGTCTCAGAATCTGATATTTTGCATGTTAATACCTTGGATATAAAGTTTCCTCGCATAAATAACCTTGACATACTTTCAAATATGTTAAAAAATTCAAACAACATTGTTGAAATAAGCATATTGTAAAGAACCATGATGCTTTGGTATGGTATGCTACCTAGCTGTGCAAATATTTTTTATTTTAGCTCACCTGGCCCGAAGGCCCAGGGTCATAATATTTGGCCAATAGGTACCTGGGATGGAGTGCTATAAAGTTTCCTCATTAAAATGACCTTGACCTTCTTTCAAGGTCACAGGAGTCAAAAATGTTAAAAACTTCAGACAACGATATCCTTAAAAGCATTTGGTCTAAAGTCATGATACTTGGGTATGTTATGAAGACCAGCAGTGCGAATCTTTTTCTTATTAACAGTAATGAGGTCAAATGTCAACTTTAGGTGCTAGCCGGAGTCCAAGGTCAACCTGGGTTAAAAGCTTTAAAATTACAATTTTCAAATCTCAAACAACAATATCTGAAGCATTTAAGAGATTTCTTGTGTTCTAGTTACCAAATTTGGTCTGAAGTTACCTATTTCAGTTTCATGTAACAAAAGAAACATGTGAGTGATACATGGTGCGGCATCTGTTGTCTATCCGTCTGTACATCCGAATCCGTTCCTTTCAACAAATTCTTCTGAATGACTGAAAGACCTACAGTCATGCTATTTGTTTAATAGCTAATACTTGGTAAGAGCCTGACAGAGTTTGAGAATGAAAATGACCTTAACCTACTTTCAAGGTCACATATGTCAAACGACTTCTTCTGAAGAACTGAAAGGTATAGAATCTCATGTTTAGCTGGTAGCTCCTTGACCTACTTTCAATGTCATAAGGGTCAAATATGTCAAACACTTCAAACAACTTCTTCTTTAGTTGAAGGTCACAGGGGTCAAATATAACAAATAATTTCTTAATAACCAAGAGCCACAAAGTGATAATATTTTTGATTAAGAGTAACAAAGTCTGTTCAACTGAATGACTTTATTAAACTCTCAAGGTCACTGGGGTAAAATGTATTAAAATATTGTAACAGGTTGTTTTGAAACAGCATACGAAAGACGACAAACTTACACAGAAGGCTTACTTGATCAAGTCATTATCAATTTCTGAATCGCCAATAAACAGCATAGAACAAACATCTTTGATATAGATATTATCCTATAGTTTATTCAGATTTATTAAGTATATTTGACCTTGGTCCAATTTCAAGCTTTAAAGTGCGAGAATAATAGCAGGTGAGCGATGCAGGCCCACTTGGCCTCTCGTTCTTTAATATTGTGTGCAGGTCAATGGTCAACTTTAAGCACTGGCTGGAGTCAAATTTCAACAAGGGCTTTTATGTCGAAAAAGTTTTTAAACATTTTCTCGAGTTCAAAAAGGCCCAGGGTCGTGATATTTATGCAGAAGGTACCAGAGTTGTGAAAGTGTTATAGTTTCATATAATGAATCGGATCTATCAATGAAGACTTTAGTGAGAAACAAACACGAAACGTGAGGAGAAAAGATGAATGCATTTCGGTGTAACATGTACACTGGTAATATATTGATCATCCTCAATATCCAGGGGTTACACTCAATATTGCTCTCTACACCCCTGGAATATGTCATAGCAAAATTGAAAGCACAGAGATAGCTGTTTGATTTGTCTCAGGTAAAAAAAAAAAAAGGCCAATCACTAGGCTGATACCTATGTCCTTTGAAGATTACAAAGGAGAAACGCCTCACTTCTAAGCCTGTCAATTTTTTCCGTTATGTGACCGCAAGATTCTTTTGATGTAGTCTTCTTGTCTCATCAACAAGGTGGCACATACTGAGCCTTCAATTTTTCTATGACATATGATATTCCAGGGGTGCAGAGAGCGAAAGTGAGCGTAACCCCTGGATATCGAGGATGTACCGGTATATTGATGAACATTTAAATATAAATTCAATAGCATTTTATTGCATCACCTGATTTTTATGTATGCTGAACAACACTGATCTGTATCAACTATATATGACTATAGGCAATCAGTCACATTGGTATACGTCAAACAACGTGAGAATAATCATTAAATATTTACACAAAGGTGGTATCTTATCTGTTAAACTGACAAACTTAATTATAAATTATGTCAAGTCAATAAATATAAACAGAGTATTATGCATACAGTCTGGCATATATGTCCTCATTTGCATGAGCTAATACAGTTTCAAGAGTTTGATTGACACAGTTCAGAATTACAAATAATAAGTGTGTTTTGCATAAAACAAACAAGATTTAAAATTGTTCATCAGTCATGTTCTTCATTGATATTTAACATTTTTTGTGCGAACTATCCATTCCACACCATTTCCATCCTGGTCTACACGAAATGGGAACAGCAGTTGAAAAGGGATCTTCCAAATGGATCCAAATACTGAGCGGACATTTTCTAGAGATGTCCGTTGGTACCAAGGGATTCCTTTCCAAGCTTCGTAAGATGTCATACCAGCACAGGCTAGTATGAGCTGCCAACCCAGGAAGAATACGCCACCACAAAGACACATGAAGCAAAAGCAAGAATGAACAATTAGTAACAGTTCACCCAAGGAAATATACCCCATAAACATGTAAGCCAGTCCCACCATTGGAATGTACGCAAGTCCATCCCAGGACAAAATTGGAATGGTCTGTGTGGTGTAGGACAATTGTAGAAACAGGGAGTACAGGTTACCCCACACCATGTATATGCAAAACATGACAAAGAAGCGCTGATTGTAAAAGCCAACACATGAGTTGGTGAAGAAACAGTGGTGATCTCTCTTGAGTACACAGCGATTGCACAGGCGACAGTGATGGGATCTTGGTGGAGCATCAACCTGTGAACATAGTATGTAAGTATAAGCATTTATACATAATAACATGTACACCATTTACAATAGGTAAGGTGGTGATACCCTAACAGTATTCCTAAATGTACATGAGCTGTATATTACAGCTAGTAAAAACAACAATCCTAAAATTTCAAATACATCTACTACATACAACATCTCCAGAAGCAAGTGTGCTTTCCATACAACTTTCTCAGTTTCTTCAATACATCGGAGTTGTCTGGATTTCATTGGCAAATTAATGCAGAATTACCAGAACCCTGAGGTCCTATATGACAGTATATATATGTACATTACATACATACACGAAAACAGATATGTATATCACTTATGTATCGACAGAATGTGCCAATGGACAGAAAATTGGATGATGAAGCTGAATGTGGACAAATGCAAGCATAGAGGAAATTAGACAAAAAATCAAGTTATTCAACTACACGCTGACGCAATATGGAGACACCATCGAAATCACTAAGGTAAACAGTGAAAAAGATCTGGGAGTTAACATCGACGAAAAACTCATTTTTTCCATACACGTCCAAAAAGCAGCCAGTAAAGCAAACCAAACTGCAGGAATAGTATTTAGAAGTTTTACATATATATGAGCCCACCCATATTTGTAACACTCTACAAAGCTCTTATACGGCCCCACCTCGAATATGCTTCAACGATATGGTCACCCCTGTATACCAAGGACAAAATTACAATTGAAAAAGTCCAGCAAAGATCAACGAAAAGAGTACCAACATTAACTGACAAATCATACGCTGAACGTTTAAGAATACTCAGTCTACCAACCCTGGAATACAGGAGGGAGAGAGCAGACATGGTCAAAGTGTACAGAATCCTCAATAACATTGACAAACTTGATAAGGATAAGCTATTCCAACACTGCGAATACAGATCTACAAGGGGGCACACCAAGAAGCTGTTTACCGGTAAAAGGCCCTACAAAAAGGAGATCACAGGAAACTTCTTCAGCAATCGCAATATTAAACAGTGAAACTCATTGCCTGAGGAAGTGGTCTCAGCACCGAGCCTAAACTGCTTCAAGGAAAGACTAAACAAGTGCTGGAGAAATCACCCGAGGAAATTTAACCCATCATTTTGGTATTAAATTGCTACACTGCTATGATTAACTTAAGGAAATACTAAGTGGAAAAAGGTAAGTCGCGAGTGAGTGAAATAACAATGATGCATCACCACAAGCTTGAACTAGCTTTCAACGATGCTACATCAGCATTTCAGCAATTATATTTGTTGGGCTAATATGGGTAATAATATATGTAGTGATCATTTATGTGCAATGCAGGTGTCACTTCCCTTATAACCTACCTCCTGTGCGCAAACACACATGCAATTACATACATAACGGTACACAGATTAAGGCGCGTCCTTAAATTAGATGTTAACTGGACGTTAAACTCTCTAAAAACCATCATAAAAAGACTTGGACTTGAGCAAGTCTGTTAAATATATATAGAAACAGATATATGTATTCGTGATCAAATGCAGAGTTGAACTCCTAATACTGGAGTGTAATTAATTCATTGCTTGGTATGAATTGGTATTTGATCAATTATTGCTACCATACACTGGTGGGTTTTTTTTTTTTGTTTCAATGACAATTTACTCACTTGACATTTAGGACAGTTGATCCAGCCGGGTGGCGTCTCCGCGGTTCCGGGAAATTTTTCTTCCTTTATTTCGGATGTCACAAAATTATTTTGCCCGAAATACGTGCCCATCCAATTGATTGTACACTCAAATAAGGTGAACCAGACTAGGACTGTGTTTATTACCATGGACCAAGTGTCGCCCCAGTACAATTTTGGAACGAGAAAAAACTGACTCTCAAAAAACAAGGAAAATACCATTCCCCAGAAGAACATCTGTCCATATCGACTGGCATCTTTTTCGTCTGTTTGGAAATTGCGTTTGTGATAATGGTTTGTTAACTTTTCTTTCAGAGTATCTGCCTTTCTCTCTCTGAGTTCCATTTCGACCCAAGTCCAAATGCAAGCACATGCAAAGTGAAACCGGAAAGGAGTGTTACTGCGCAACCGTGTAAACACACACGATGTCGAACAGACGGGAGCGGTCATTGTTGCATACATTAAGATGTAAACGCATAGCAGTATCATATCAATAGCTATAATACATGTATGTATACGCGTGTTATACAGCATATAATATTTAAATTTCAGTTTTAAATATAATCTATTACATAAAGCACTAAGGGAAATATTTCTACTATCCTTCATTTAATACAATGAGCCGATCCCACTGTAAACAAGCATGACAAGAAAAAACACGTGGAAACTTGACATTTCGTCTGGTCCTGTTTCAAAGTAGAGTGAGATATACGGCACGCCAGTGTTCACAATGGATATTGTCAATTCCATATTTCATAAAATTATATAAAATATTTATTTTATGATCTAATTCCGCGGTAACAAATGTAAATCGACTTTTTGATGAGGCAAATTCGTGTACGTAACGTTCTAGTGCAGGCAAATTCGCCATGCACCCAAATTCGCCACCCTGTTACGAAAATGCCATATGACGTCATAATACATAAGATGTGACGTAAATAAGTTAACGTCACCATAGTTTTCAACACAGTTAAAACCTTCACATATTTTTACAGGAAGAGGTATAATAAGAAGGGCCGAAAAAGTTATATTATTAATCAAAACGGTTAAGAAATATCTTAAAATTGTGACACAACGAATCCTAAAAATTTGGTCTGTGCGACCACGGAATTAGATTATCTAAGTCCGTGGGACGACGGACATCTCGTTAACTAAACTCATTAATCTGAGGCCCGTTGGTAGTTTTTTAGTTTAAATTCATTACATATGCACATTGACAAAACCCATTGAATGGTCGACTGAGCCGTCAATGCAAGTAAATTGTTTTTCTACAAGTGTACTTTTAGGTATATACAATGTACTGAAGATCCAATGCTTGTTTATTGAAATGACGCTCGGAAGGATTTGATTATTCATTTTCCATTTTCACTTATGATGCCAATGCGTATTTAGCGGAATACAATCAAGTCCCAGTATCTTTTTAAAAGTATTGTTTGCGTCTACAATTCAACCATCTTACAACACTTAAATCAAAATACCATCCCGAAAAGAATTTGTTATCGGCCTGGGGGTACTGCTGTACAATCACATGCTGATTGTACGTAGAGACCGACAGTTACCAAAGACTGATTTTTATATGAAAAGGTAAGCACATTTACAACACCTGTCCGGTGTAAGTAATTAAGACCAAAAATTGTTTTACTTTGTCAGATGTTTCCCGTTGACGTGCAAGACGACCGGATAGTACATGCATGTGACAAATTATCCAAAAATATAGAACTTCATTATTTCTGAGATTGTGACAGAACTAATTTCCTTGCCGAGCGGAGATGTAATACTTTATTATTTCAAGCACTGCCGAGCGTAGAAAGCAAGATTTTTTCGGACATTATTTCCATTGTCAAACAGATCGAGTGAGGCATAAAATAGTTTTCTGAGTTTGCGGTATTATTCCAGGTTCTATTTTATAACATAGTGTATTTATATTTTGTGATTGCCGAGCGCTATTGGTAAGATGTAGGTTTTTGGTTAAAATGTTGATGTTTATGTCTTGCCCTTCATGTGCTCGTAGTTTAGGAGAGCATTTTAGCTTTATTTTGTCATAAATATGAATTATGATTTAACTATTTGTCTTTTATTGTGAATTTGTACGGCTACATATGTACAAGGGCAACACCTAATGAAAAGGATATACATGCTAGGCTTTTATGCTGACATTGGTTATTATTCACCTGATAAAGTGATGCTAAGGAGGGTGCTTTATTGTCTTTAAATTTTTTGAAATTTCTGTTTTTTTAATTGGTATAATCACGGAATTAGATTAGATGTTATCTAAGTCCGTGGTATAATCATGAAACCACCGGTGAAAATACAGGTTTATCTATCATGAAATGGACTCAACCTTTGAAAAAACACTTTACCTGTATACCTAATTCCAACAGATAGTTGATCACCCCACCGTGACATTAGAACAATAAGAGGATTAATCCCCTATTGTTAAGAGTATAAGTATAGTGGACTCCTTGTTTGGGCAACACCCTTAGGCATATATAAATATTCAAACTGCTGGCAAGGGGAAACCATAGAAAATCATGGTTCAAGGGATGGTTGATATTAGAAGGAAATCCCATATGAAATAGGGGGAAATCTTCAAAAACCTTAGTCCATATTATTTTTGGACACAGAAAAACGGGTGTTGCCCGGGCAACTAGGGCAACACCCCTGAGTCCGCCACTGGCGATCGTTGCGGAAAGCCCTGGACCCTCTCATCCGGACCCGATGCAAAATATGATATTGGGCAGCGATTTGGAAGTTTATATTTGTGCAGGACTGAGTCTTTATTGTGTATCATATAAGTTTCTCGGGCAAGTTTTTTCCAATGAGACAGTATTGGATTATCATACTCAATACGCACTTGTCTGCTATGAGGTGGAGTCATTTATATGAAGTGTAAACAATGTGCTGGACCATTTTTTCTTATTTTAGGGGCCAAAAACAACTTAATTGGACATGGTTGAAGTTTCGGGTCAAGCTTGAGGTTAAAGTTTCTGGGCACAAGTCTTTTTGTGAAGTGTTGGATCACCACCATCAATAGGCTGTTGTCTATTATAAGGTTGAAGTATTTATATGGAGTGTAAGCAATGTCCTGAACCATATATTTGGGCAAGTTTTTTTGCTAATTGTTGGATCACCACCATCAATAGGCTGTTGTCTATTATAAGGTTGGAGTATTTATATGGAGTGTTAGCAATGCTCTGAGTGATGTTTTCATAATTTTAGGGGCCAAAACTGGTTAGTTGGAATTGGTTAAAGTTTTGGGGCAAGGTTTTTTATCCCGTGTTGGGTTGGTCACTAATCGCTAAGAACGTGACGATTGATAAACTGGTAATTAATTGGAGATAACTCTTTTTGTGTTAGAGCTGTAATTTTCTGCTGATATTGATCAGAGACCTCAAGTAAAGGTCATGCAGTCCCACCTGTTCAAGGGCCCACGTGACCCTGATTGAAGTTTGCGTTCTATTTATAGAACCACACGCTGGATATACCAACTTGTAATAGAAATGAAAAGTTTAGACAATATCTATTTATGAAAAATGAACAAACATTTTTTGGAATTGATAGTATAGTATAAAAGTACATCGGTATTTTATCTAAAAAGGGTGTCCCGATTTGGGTACAGTGATTTTAGATAGCTAATCTAATTCTATGATAATATATATATATATGGTAGGAGTGGAAACATGCACGGTCAGACCACAGGGGTTCGTTACAAATGTCTGAAATGCACATATATGCTATACCGATATTGGTCACAGCACACATAAACAAATGTCTATTTTTCTTTCTGGAATCACACTACCTATACCTTATATATGTTTAATAATGTTTCTGTTTAACAATGTCATATATGTGCATGCTTGTTATGTTTTATATAATGCGACCTCCGTTTTTATTTATAAATTATAGCCTTCCATAGGTTTGTGTTGCCTTGTTTAACCATGTAGCGACTTTTAAATTAAATTGACTTGACTTGACTTGACTTGTCTGAAATACAATTGTGCTAACATTATATGCTGATATACGTATAGATACATTGATTTATTCTGACAAAATTAGGATTTTACATTCCTTTGACAATCATCTCTGAAATAAATAAAAAAATAAAAAAAAATAAAAACATTTTAAAATAAAAACATATTTCAAAAGTTGCGACGTTTACATTTAGATTTATTATTTTGAAAACTGTATCATCTAATTTATATTCAAATTGTTAAACTGTGCTTGAGGTCACAACATTTGACGGAAGATTTATCCGTAAATCAACAGTTCTCTGTGAAAACGATTTTTTTCTGATATTTGATCTTGAATTCGATTCGTAAATTTTATAGTTGTGTCCACGGGTAAATGAACGTTCCCTGCTATTAAATATGTCGGATACTTCATGGTCCTATTTCCCGAACAATATTTTGTAAACCTTTATCATGTCGCCACGTGATGATTGTATTTCAGTTCAAGATTTTTCCAATGCGGGAGTATCAAGATTAATTTCAAAGTCAAGTTAATCGTTAGAGATGTAATAACATAATCGGGGAGACTGTTCCAAAATTTCCGAATATCACGCTTACAATGGGTTTTTTCCTGATTTTCTGTGCATGACCTCATGTTTGTTGTTCATTATTTCAAAAACATTCCTTTTCTGATCCCGTGATTTACTCATATGGAGTTGCATCTTCATGCACGAATACATTGTCAACTTATCATTTACAGCTGTAGTTTGATATATTAGAGAAAACATACGGCGTCCCGTTAAATATGACAGTATGAAAAACAATAATTCATATCAGAATAATCAGGGACGTATATATACTGTCCCTGGAATAATGTTCACGGTCTACAGCTCAGTTTATCTATCTTTGTCGAGTTATCTCCCATGACGGAAGTTTTTACGAAAACGTTCAGCGTGCGTAGAAAGAAGCCATGTTGAAAATTTGAGCGCCACACAAATCACAAAGAAAAATCAAAATTATTGAAAACATGTTGCCAGTCGGTAAGTCAATATGTACATTGGACGAGGATGATATGTGTGACCTTGATGACTTTGAATCTTCGTCTTCGAACATAGACTTGTTCGAAGGTGAAGAAACTAGCTCGTTTGATTTATTTGACGGTCTGTTGGAAAGAGAAACGGACACAAAAGAAATCAAACCAAAAAACTCTAACGATAAGAAGCGCTCAGTCGTACGTGTTTATCCTAATGGCGACACCCAAGAAAAACAGCTAAATTTTGCAAGTATTAGAACATTAGAAGAAAAAGAATTAATTGATTACTTGGGTAATGGAAATCGAGGACGTCTGATTTCCCGGTCCAGTAACGTTACTTGCAAGAATTCGCGACGTTCGAACACGACAAACGGGAAACGCTCAAGTTCGAATGACAGTGTGAAATCAAGCTCACCAGTGGGTTTAGAATCTCGTGACGGCGCATGCATGACCAAGAGTGCTGTTGCAGCTCGCGAAAACCGCAAAAAGAAAAAGAAATACACAGAAGAACTAGAAACAACAGTTGATATACTGAAGACAGAAAATACAGGTCTCAAAACTAGAAACAATATGTTACAAACGTCATTGGATCAGCTGAAAACAGAAGTTCAATATTTGAAAAGCGTGATAGCTAACCAAACAACGTTGGCACACTTGATTGGCAATATACAAAATACACCAGGTGTTAAATTCCAGACTTCATTAACAGTTGATAGATATGACAAAGAAAATATTAAGGACATAAATGAAAACACAGTTGATAAGTCTGTAAGTGTACCAGTAGCAACAAAAAAACGCAAGGTTGAAGATGCACATGTCCCTACAATGCAAATGAATACAAGGTATGGGAAACTCAAAAGGGGTACCAGTACTACTTCAAAAGAAATAAAACCAGAAAAGATGGATGACCAATGTGATTCATCACCTTCATCAACATTAGAACAAAATTCCAATGAAATGCCGGGCCATGGACCAGCTGGTATATGTCTCCATGTTTCTAATGGATCTGTGTCTTTGGAATTCTGTGCAAATTGTGCTTCCAGTGCTGCTCATGCCAAGGCTATCACCTGTGACCATTCCTATGGAAAGGTTCAGGGAGAAGGGTGAAATAATATTGTGAAAATGGTCGGTAATTTCATTGATAATCAGTGAAAATTAAGAAAAGTACTTAAGCTTTTAAGTTTCATGTAAAATGAAAAGTCTTTAATATGAAGGTTATGTAGCCTAATGAATGACATGATTATTTGATAGGAAAGAATAGAATATTCATGAAAAGAATGAAGAACATGATACCAATCAGATGTGTAGATAGATCCAGCAGAACTTTCGTTCAAAGGAGATCACTAAATTATTTTTAAAATGAATTTTGAAGATTCAATTGTATACAATATGTTCAGTTTAAATGTGATACCATTGCTTTTTTAAACAGTTGAACTTTTTTTCAATTGGGGTGACTACATTTTTGATAGATATTTGAAATAATTTTATAACAATCTATACAAATATGTTTACATTTCCAGCCACACCCGTGCTTGATTTGAGAAAAATGAAAAAGTCTGCACATCATTAGGAACAGTTCAGAACTAAGCAGTTCGCTTTGGTGGAGTATACAGTGCAAATAAAATGGTCTGTGTCACTTTGTGAGATTGAAAATTGTATGAAATCAAAGCATGTATCACTTACAACAGAACTGCAGAAAACTGATTGTATATACACACATTTAAATTTCAACTACAATAACAAAATGGATACAATTGAAAATGTAGACTTTTCTATTGAAGTGATACAAGTTTTTGATGGAAAAAATAAATAAATAATGAGGTCAAGATAAGATGTTTGTGTTTAAAATTCCTTCAAGTGTTTAAAATTCCTTCAAAAAAGGAAATTTGAGCCGAACATCAGATAGCTGACCAATATTTATCTCCCTAACTACATGTATCTCCTAACTTCCATTCTTTTTCTCCTTACTTTCTTTCTTTCTTTTATCAATTTATCATCATCTGAAATGAGTTTCAAAAATAATTGAAATTTCACAACAATATGCAGTATTTCATTCATTGAAAATGTTAACATTTTATACAAGAATGGGTTATGAAATATGAATATACCCATGGTATTTAATAAAAAAAATCAGGTTTAAGTAAAACTTACCTGAGAAGAAAATTCTTTTCGCACTTGAAGCAAGACAAATTAAAAAGTACATTTCAGGTGATGAGCTGCAAAAATGTAATTTTACAATTATACTAAAATGTTACTTCAATTTCTTTTTCAGTTGATGTCACACTATTCTCTGGTCAGAGAAGCGATTCCCAATAACAACCTTACTGTAAAAAGTGATACTGAATGAAAATGGTAAGGTGTTTCCTTAAACAATTTTTAAATCTAAATATATGCGAAAATTTAGTCACCCCAAAAAGTTGAGTCGCTACATTTTTTACTTTGCTGAATGCAGACCTGATATTAATTTGTTCAAAGTGAGTTTTAAATTAGTGCTACTGTTAAATCCTGTTGATTGTGCTTGCTGGAGTCCTATGTTCCTGGGCCAATATTCAAGAAAACATTCTCGTGCTCAAACTCAGATTTTGTGTTTAACCTCATTTTATTGTTTAGGCCAAATAAAAATATATATGTGTGTTTCCAGTCTTGGCTCCAAAAAAAATAGGGTAGTTAGGAAAAACTTTTTGTGTTATTTGTTTATTTTATTTATTTTTCTGGTGAAGAAAATCTCCTGATTACCCCTTATAAACAATGAATGTTACAAATATGGTATTGTTTTAAAAGTATGTATGGCACCAAATATATAATTTTTTATTCATGTAAAATAAATACACAAATAAAAAATCCCTGCATTTCTAGTTTTTGCGTTGAGCAGACTCAAACGACACATTGAAGTAAATTATTACAGTAGTGCTACAACCATGGCCAGTGTTACATTTCTAAACCATCCTTACTAGGACACTAGTTTTTAGTAATCCAAACTCAACTGATGGTCACCGGTGTTACTCTGTTCTCAATGTCCACTGTCACCAGTTCAAACTAATTGAACAACAAAATAAGTGCATTTATATTTACACTATATTGACAACACAAGACTATTATAACTTACTTCCTAATTCTCACTTTAACTCTTAACTTTCTAGCTCTCTAGACCTCTCAACTCTGTCTCCCTAATTCTCAACCTCCTTCTTCAAGACTCCTCAACTCAACTCCCAAACCCAACTCTCTTATCCTCCTTTGACTCCCAAGCTGAACTGTCCATTAGCAAAATCCTGCTACATTAAAAATGTTGATCTAGGTTCAACTGGCCATAAATCTTGCTAAATTTGACTCCTGCGGTCAGCATCAGCTAGAGGCACAAACACTGACATCACAGACTGGACTTCCCCCACCTACACTACAGACGGTCATACTAATTTACAGATTCCATGGAGGCACGATAGTCACGTGGTAGGACGCCGGGCTTGTGACCGAAGGGTTGCAGGTTCGCACCACGGCACATCAATGTGTTGTATCTTTGAGCAAGATACTTTACTCCGCTTGTTCCAGTCTACTCAGCTGTAAATGAGACGTGGTTGGGCAGTGCTAGAATTGTTGAATGCTAGCTTTTAGCTCGGCTGTATGCTCCCCAGGGAGTTGAGAAATGTATTGGCTGGTTGCAAAAGCCCTATAACCACGGATAATAATTTGTGAACTGCTTTGAGATGACCTACGAACTAGGTTGTGATAAAGCGGTATATAAGAACCTCCAATTATTATTATTATTATCCCATTATCTGTATAATAACCACAGTTATATACGGCTACTTAGCAACTATCTTCAAATAAAACTCTTGCTGACCAGGAGCCAATGCTAGTAAAATGCATAGCAAACTATATATACACTTTGAACAATTAAACAGCTAATCAATGCATAACAATGACTGTTAAAGACCAATAAAATATATTAGGGTCGGTAGGGAAACACAGCTTTATTTTTATTTGGCCATAATACTTATATATTTTTTCCATAATTTGGAAGAATTTCATAGACTTAAAGCAGAATGCTGTTTTCAATATTTATACTCGACTTCTTGACTGTGTCAGATTTAAGCCAGTTATAAAAAAGTGGGTCTGAGCAGTGTCAATGCTTGAGCACGACAATGGAATCATGAATACATGCCCTAGTCAAGACACCCAGCAAATGGAATGGCATTGAGACGAATATTTCAATCCTTAAAATACCTGTCAAATATGTGTTATATGAATTGAACAACCAGGACTTTTACTGATTAGCACAGACATGAACTTTTTTTGCTGCAATATTTGTAAAGCAATGTTTTCAAGACCAGGAATAATATAATTTGACTGGGAATGTACACCACCAATTTTGGAAAGTTGTTTTTGAGACACCAGTTATTTTCTTATATTTTCCTAAGAAATCTGATAGAATTTGATGTTAATCATATTTACACTTAATATTCTGCAAAGCAGAATTTTGAGTAACAGGCTGTACCGTACGTATACTTTTAACTGGATTTAAGATGCATCAAAATGATGAATAAAATGAACTTGATCTACTGATGTTTTCAAAGAAATATTTAATGCAAAAAATCTTTGGACAGGCACACAGTTAATACTTTTTAAAAATATCTGTCTGTGTTGACTTGTAAATATTATATGTAGTTCAGACAGTGGTATAAACCATCATATGTACATCTGATTTAATCCATTTTTTGGTTTCTTCGGTTTCTACTTGTATAAAACAATCACTTTTCTAAAGTGTATTTTCTTTACTATTGTGAATTTTGTATGTTGAGTGTACATAATTCCAATTTTGTTTATATTACCTGAGACATGTAAATATGATGTTGTTAATTGATCATTAGACAAGTAGGCTAGTACACAATTGAACTCTTGATAGCTGTTTAGTTTGTACTTTTTTCATGGTGCTGAACCAGCAGTGGAGAGGCAGACAAAGCTGAACTTGTAATGAAAGGCTGGGGTAGTAAGTATGTTGACAGACCTCGTCAAGATGAAAACAGTGAAATAGGTTCATAGAAATTTATCAAAGTTACCAGTGGTAGGTAAATACAAAAGAAGGAACAGTCTGATTTTATTGCAGTCGTAAAAGATTGTGTTTTGTGGATTTCTAAAGTCCTCTTTGAAGTGATTTGCTAACTGGCAGGAAATATTAGTAATTACTGACAGATGATTCTAGTAAAGTAGGACTGTCACAGATGACTTCTGCTAATGTTCTAAGTGTATTGATTTATGCACAAAGACACTGCTATTATTTTTTAATGCTTCATCTACCATGTGATAAGTTAGGTCTAGGACATGATGGTAGATTTAAGTATATTTATTTGATGGTGTATTTGTTATTGATATTTTTGGGTATTAATGGCTGTATTAAAATTGAATATTGCGTTCTTGTTTTCTGTTGTATTGTTCAGAAATAATCAACATGTGCATGTATTATGGTGGAATATATATAATGAGGATGAGAAAATGTTTTGGAAAAAATGATTAACGACATTCGCTTTGCTGTCTGAATTGATTATTTATCCAACATTCTCGATTCCCGAGTTGCATATTCCATCATAATGTATAAACATATGTTGATTACATCTTTTCTACCAAGTAAAATGTAACAAAAGCTTTGTCGCGTCTACTTTAGTGTCCATATGTCTTTGATAAGCAAGGTGGCCTAGATAATCTTATTTATTTTAAATTAGGCTGCTTTTTTGTGTGCACTAACATTTGTCATGTGATGCCTTTATGTCGTCAATTTTCTGACCCTGTGGACATATGTCCTATTTTACCTGGATATATTTGGGAAGGATTTTGTTTTTCATTTTCAGTAGTCATTCAGTTGACGGACTGTAAACTATAAACACTGACTGACGTAATGCTTTATGACAGATGTTTCCCTCAATCAATCGGCTCCACCAATGTAGCAAAATCCCTCGTCAACACTTGAAATCAGCATTTGATTGATTTACAAACACTACTTCAAGTCACCTACACACAAAGTTCAACGGAACATTCTGACCATAAGCCTGACAGGCTTTAAGTTAATCGAGAAGTAAAATAGATTTTTGGCAGGAGTGTAACACAATCAGGGCTTATACAAGGTAGAACGGCGATTCCCGTCTGTCCGTCCATTTGTCTGCACTAGGGTTAATAAGAATGGTTTGGCTCAGTTTCCAAGGTATTAATTATCCTGCATCAATTAAACTTGCATGGCTTATTAGCTCACCGTCCGTACGTCAACAATTTCTTTAAACGACTTTGTTGGAAACGTTGGAAACAGACTAAATTTGACTGGAAGCATCCCTAGGTGGTGGTGATTAAAAATTGTACAAAATTGTACAAACGACTCCCCAGGGGGCTTAGGGGCGGGGCCAAAAAGGGGCAATTTGGCTATATTGCTACAAACGACTTCTTCTGTAGAACTGTGCACTGGATATCAATCATATTTGATCAAAAGCATTCCTGGGAGGCAGGGATTTAAAAAAAGGACAAATGGTGTGGCTGAGGGGCAGGGCCAAAAAGGGTATTTGGCTTTACTGCTTTAAACGATTTCTTCTCTGGATCTAAGTGATGGATATCAACCTTATTTGACTGGAAGCATCTCTAGGTGGTGGAGATTCAAAATTGTACAAACGGTTGGGCTGACCCCCCAGGGGGCTGAGGGGCGGGGCCAAAAGGGGGCAATTTGGTTATATTGCTATAAATGACTTCTTCTGCAGAACTATGCCATGGATATTGATCATATTTGGTCGGAAGTATTCATGGGAGGCAGGGATTCAAAATTGTACAAATGGTGGGGCTGACCCCCCGGGCTAAGGGGTGGGGCCAATAAAATGTATTACTTGGAAATGGTTGAGATCCCCACCATATAACCATATATACAATTGCTGAGTATAAAGAGAAGAATGCACATTTGCTTCCAGGATGTCCCTAGGGTCTGGCCCCACCCTTGGAGACATAGTCCCTGGGCCATAACTTTAAAACGGTTGAGATCCCCACCCCAAAACTATATATACAAATGCTGGGCATAAAGAGACGAATGCAATCATGATATCAGAAATGACCCTGCAGGGGGTCTGACCGAACCCCTAGGGACCTAGTTTCTTAGTCACAGCTTGGAAACAGTTGAGAACCCCACCCAAAACCCTATATATACAATTGCTGAGTATAAAGAGATGATTGCAAATATGCTTCCAGGTTGGCCTTGGGGACTGCCCCACCCTTGGAGACTTAACCCCTGGGTCATAACTTCGAAATGGTTAATATCCCCACCCCAAAACTATATATACAATTGTTGGGCATAAATGGACGAATGCAGTCATGATAATGTAATTGATCCCAGGGTCTGCCCCACCCTTGCAGACTTGGCCCCTGGGTCATAACTTTGAAACGGTTGAGATCCCCACCCCAAAACTATATATACAAAAGCTGGGCAAAAAGAGACAAATGCAGTCACGATATTAGAATCGATCCTGGGGTCTGGCCACGACTCTAGGGACCTTGTTACTGAGTCAAAGCTTGGAAGCAGTTGAGATCCCTACCCCATAACCATACATAAAATTGCTGGGCATGAAAAATCTAATACAGATATGCTACAAGGATTGGCCTTGGGGTCTGGCATATTCCCTTGATCTCATTTGGAGAATATTTTGCCATGACTGCTTAGGTATCCAGGTGAGCGATACAGGCCCTCTGGGCCTCTTGTTTATCTAAGGATGCTTATCATATGCAAAGTTTCGGATACTGATTCTGACCTACATTTTCCGCTTGACTGACCAGGTTGAGAATATTGGTTAAGGTCAGGTACTAAGTAACTACTTGTTGTACATCAATTAAACTTGCATGGCTTATGTATCTAAGGATGCTTATCACATGCAATACTTCAGATGCTGTTTTGACCTGGATTAAGAAGGTTGGTTAAGGTCACGCCCCATCTGCACTGGTTAAGAAGATCCAAGTAGCTACTTCAACTAATACATCAACTAAACTTGCATGGCTTATGTATTTAAGGATGCTTATAGCATGCAATGCTTCAGATGCTGCTTCTGACCTATATTTTCTGCTTCAGTGACCAGGTTAAGATGATTGGTTAAGGTCAGTTCCTAAGTTACTAGTTGTACATCAACTAAACTTGCATGGCTTATGTGTCTTAAAGGATGCTTATCACATGTGATGCTTGGTATGCTGGCTCTGACCTAATTAAGCTACTCTAAAAACATTCAACCGTTTACATGAAAATGCACTGTAGCGATCCAGCCATATTACATTGGTCTGTTGGAAAATAATACACACGTGGATGGTTTATTATCCATGTTTCTTAACCAATGAAAAGTGTTGTTGCATCGCAAACGTGGTAGAATAACCAATAAATTGCATGTGGCTGCCCCAAACACCCAAAATCAATGCTAACTGGGTAGTTTGGTGGTGCATTGTCTGTTGTCAATCGTCTGCTGTTTGTTTACTTTCGCACTTGACAGCCTTCTATAAAATATAACCAAATATCAGTGCTAGCATACAGAGCCTATGGGGGGTCAAAAGTTTCACAAATTAATAGGGGTTGTGTCACACAATTAGAAAACCTGTATATTACATACAGTACAAAGGCATATCATATTGGTGTGTAATACAGAAATTTATGACCTAATGTTATTCAAAAGCTTATTATCCTCCATTCATTGAGTTGGCGAGGGATTGAAAAAATGGGGTCTGTCCATGCACCTGGTTGAGAAGAATTGCTCTCATCTATATCTTGCCTACTACAAGTGCTACGTTGGTTAGACTTAAATCAATTGTGCATCTAGGGTTGCTCTATACTGAACGCATATTATGGAAGCTGATTTTGACCTATATTTTACGCTTCACTTTGTATTTGTCAGGCTAGCAGAATTTCATTTCAGGCTAGCGGATTATTAGCCCCAGGCTAGTATCCTAAAAAAACACCATAAAGAGGTCCAATGGGCCTGCATCGCTCATCTGGTATTAAACTCGCACTTGTTACCTTAAAAGTGATATAAAATAAAGCTACAGGCAAAATATCAGTATTTATGACTATTAGTCATTCTAAACAACCTGTTAAAAGATTTTAAAACATTTGACCCCTGTGACCTTTAAAGTATGACAAGGTCATTATGAAGAACAAACTTTATAGCCCTTCATCTCGGCATGCAACTTGCCAAATGTCACCACCGTAAACCTTTTTATTTAAGGAGATAAGGTCATTTAAAGGTTAAAACATATCTGACCAAATGTGATCTTGAAAGTGGGTCAGGGGCATTAAAATTACTTGATAACCCTTCATCCAAGCATGCAACTGCCCAAAATACAAACATTCTGGGTATCGGGGTCATTCAGAAGAAGTAGTTTAAAGATTTGAACAAACATGGTAGCCCTTCATCCTAGCATACTTCTGGCCAGATTCAGAAGAAGTCGTTAAAAGATTTTAAACATATTTGACCCCTTGAATAAAAGTCAAGGTCATTCATTTCAATGAACTTGGTAGCCCTTCACCCGTGCACGTTACCAACTAAATATCATCATCCTGGGCCTTTTTGTTATTTAAAAGATGTAGTTTAAAGATTTTGAACATATTTGATCCCTGTGACCTTGACTAATGGTCAAGGTCATTCATTTCAATGAAACTTGGCAGGCCTTCATTCCAGCATGCTACAGACTAAATCATCATCCTGGGCCTTTTGGTTATTCAGAAAAGTCGTTTAAAGATTTTAAATATATTTGATCCCTGTGACCTTACATATAGGTGACTTATTTTAACAAACTTGGTAGCCCTTCATCCAAGCTTGCTACTAGCCAATTATCATCATTCAGGGTCTCGTGGTTATTCAGAAGAAGTCATTTAAAGATTTTATACATATTTGATCCTTGTGACCTGGAATAAAAGTCGGAACATTCATTTTTAACAAACTTTGTAGCACTTATTCCTTGCATATTTCTGGCCAGATATCATCACCCTTGGCCTTTTGGCTATTCAGAAGAAGTCATTCATTTTAACAAACTTGGTAGCCCCTCATCCCAGTACATTACGGGCTAAATATCATCACCCGGGGCCTTTTGATTATTCAGAAGAAGTTGTTTAAAGGTTTAAAACATATTTGACCCCTGTGACCTTGAAGATAGGTCAAGGTCATTCATTTGAACAGACTTTGTAGCCCTTCATGCTAGCATGCTACTGGCCAGATATCATCCTTGATCTGATGGTTATTCAGAAGAAGATATTTTTTTAGACAATTGACCCCTGTGACCTTGAATATCAGTGAAGGTCTTTCATTTGTGAAACTTGGTAGCGCTTCATCCCAACATGCTACTGACCAAATATCATCACCCTGGGCGTTTTAGTTATTCAGAAGAAGT